TCTCTCTCCCAATGCTCTCACATGGCCATGCGTATACAGCCTCTGCCATGGAAGTCCTACTCACTGCCTCCTCGCAGCGGGAGCATTGTTTACGAAATTGAGAGGACGAAAAGCGAGTGTCCGGCGCTTTAAATGTGTTGGTGGACACGGAAACCCACCTAGGGGAGTTGGAAAACCCTGATTCCAAACCATTAGTGCACATGGGCTTCAATATCCTGGGGGAACAAATGGCGTATGGACCGATCGTCGGTCACTGGCTACCATGGGACTGCATCTCCTCACGATACTCCACTGCTTTGTGGATCAGACCTTTAGGTCAAAGGCTCCGGGTGTGGCCCCCTAAGAAAACCATCTGCTTCAGTCTGGGCACCTGGTCAGCATCACAGCCGTTACACAAATCAAATGAGATTTGTGTGGCGCATATGTATCTGGTACCCTTCTGTATCAATATATATATATATATATGTATATATATATATATATATCTGGAGATATATATATATATCAATATATATATATATATGTATATATATATATATATATCTGGAGGGCCAATCAGAAGTAGCCTAATGAGAAGGTCAATCAAATAGCAATCGGAAGTGACCTAAAAGACAAGTGCATTTCATTGGCACTACATATCATTATGTCAGTGTTCCGAATCATACAACACTATTTAGTACTACTAGCAGTTTGAAAAGTTGTATTTTGTTCAATTATTAGTAATATGCTGGTTAGATTGTCATAGGATGAACAATAAAACTGACTTCTCTTAGATTTTCTCTTTAAAGCAACCATAAGTATTAAGTACTTTCCTCTATAACCTCGAGAGATTATTAGCTCTACTTGGTCTTCGCTTCTTTTCCTATTAAGGTGTACATCATTTTACTTTGGGTCAAAGAATTCCTATTAAACGATTTAATGGACCTTATTATGTTAGTAAAATGGATTGTCACAATCAAATAATTTATGTAGTGAGTAGAATTCCTTTTGTTATCGTAATTATTTATATTTTTCAATATCAGGCAAATTGGGCTGTTATTTTGAATCGATCTAAAAACCACGACCAATTGATTGAAGCTTTTTTGTGTCTAAGAAAATATTTTCATAATGGTGTTGATACATTTAGTATTTAAAATTGACCGATCACTGAATAGTAAGTAACCTCGATTTCGTATTAGTTAGTACTCGTTAACATGGCGTACCTGTAACTCGCTGGAATTTTAAACGTGCGTAACCCTGCTTCATAGTCTGAAACGTGAACACGTCCATTCAGGAGGCTTTTGCTTTTTTTTTCATCAAGCCCAGCTGCTACATGTGCTTCCAAAGATAATATCTTTTACTTTTTGAATAGCCTGGAGTTTATTTTCAAGTACATGTGTAACATTGTCTTACGTAGTAAAGTCCTGTAGATACGGTCGTGAATGTAAGAATGCTTTGCCGGACATCAAACGAGATAATATGATGCCTCGTTATACAATAGAGCTTGATGATCGCCTCATTGATATGATACACAGACTGTAGGACTAAATGTCGATGAGGTTTATGACACAGCATCTATCAGCCTATTTTAATTAGTCAATCATGAAATCTGTCACATATGTACACTGGATCAACAGATCAATCTGTAAGAATCAGTCAGTCAGTCAGTTACAACGTAGAACTTCGTACGTACGTACATCAGTTCGAGTTGCTATACCACATTAGCACAGAGATGAAGTTGTCGATTCAAATCCCATATTGGTAGAAGTAGTAAGAGTATAAGCATTAATGTGAAAGATTAGGGTTTGAAGATGTTATTGAAGGAGTATAATACAATGAAATAAATTTGGAAAGAGAAAAAGGATACAGACATGAAGAATTCAGATTGGAATTCGGTAGAACACAAAGAGTGGATGCACCTTCGCCATTGCAAACGATTTTGAGCCATGTCATTCAAGATCTCTAACCATCGGTTGCTATCATCTCGCGCATCCCAACCAGATAGTCTACACCTACCAACATGGCCCAGTCCACTTGTCAGTGACTTCATGGATTTATGCCATGTTTCGGTCTGGCCGCTCCTAGCTTTCTTCCAACCTGCTCCTACACCATAAAGCATTGCACTTCGGGGCAGTTGGTGGTTGATCATACATAACACATGTCCCAGCCATCTCAACTGGTGAAGTTTCACTACTTCATCAATTGATTTGCCATCCTTACCTAGTACCCGTTTCCTAACAACTGCATTACTTACCCGGTGATCCCAGGATATACGAGCAATGCGTCGAAGACACCTATGATCGAACACTAGTAGCCTACGAATATCCTCTACTCTTATCGGCCATGTTTCACTTCCATAAAGTAGGACGGAACGGACTGCTGCACAGTAAACCCGTCCTTTTGTTGCTAGACGGATAACTCGCCTACGCCATAAATGGGGTAAAGTTATGAACTGGTGGGTTGTAAGTGGCCAGTTGAAGGTGAAAAGTGAGTGCGATTTATTTATAGGCAATAGTGGATTGAGTGCATTTACACCCATAACGCAACATTTGTTGTAAGTGCGTCATCCTGAAATATTGATTCAAGCTGAATTCGAGTTCAGTTTTCAATGCATTTTTTCATTACAACTTGTGTTCAGAGAAAGTTACGAATTTTATAAAATTTTATGTAAATTAAAGTCATTTTGATCGACATATATCTAGTTAACGTGAGTGTAACTTTATTTTTCTGGGGTCTTGATCAACAAAACATCTGTACAGAGACTGTGCTTCTCATTCTAGTTAGCCAAACAGAGAAGAGGATAGAATTAGTCTCATTCACTGAATCAAACTTGGAGTTGTGAAATATTAGCCTAGTGCACGAACGTAGAAACGTTATGATTCAAACGAGATGTTTCATAATCAGTGATATACAACCTGAAAGAAATTCCAAGCTTAGAAACATTATCAGATATATTTACAAGTTAAGCTTCTCATACTATCTGTACATTATTGGCCATAAAACAATGATATTAGTATGCTTGTAAGATTCGGGATCACTAATTATTTGCTTGCACTTACATATATTTTAGGTACGTGATCCAGCCCATCCAAGTTTGTTTATGCGCAAGTGTTGGTGCGGTCCTGCAGTCTGGATAAACTCTGAGCCATTTTCATCCATAAACTCGAGGAATATTCAATTTCAATGGCAAAACAAATGGCGTCCAGTTAACTGTATCTTAAAACCTTTCAGTGATGTATCTTTGGCATCAGCTTACTTTAGGAAAGACATGAAACGATGTCTTTTTAACTCAGACAATGCAACACTAGCCAGTGTAATCGATGCATCTATTGAAGATAACCGAGAAATTGGACCATGTTTATCAATCGAATTAGGAGCGCCAATGCGTTGTATTGCGCCAGGACAATGGTGTGCATTCTATGATAATGACATATGTTTGGGTGGAGCAATGATATGCGGTTCAATAAGTCTTTGGGAAGAAGGGCAAAACACTTCATATCATGAGTGGAAACATGTCGACTATGAATTGACATATGGTTAAATCTAAGAACAACATCTATCCTTTTCAAATTTGTAAATAGTTTAGGAGACTGAGAGTCGATCAGTTCAAGTTTTTCACAAGTTGCATCAATAAATGATGTTATTTGGCGGGCTTTTATAATGAGTTAGAAATAAACCAACGTACTTATAGAAATCATATGCGAAACACATTACGCAGCATTACCAAATGCAGCAAGACAGGCTCCTACAATCAAGACAAGTTTTTGAGAAGTGTTTAGGGTGATAAAAAAAACTAATAAAGATCCTCGTCACTGGAACAGTTGGAATTCGTCACAAAAGACATCCGCTTGTATGAGGCAAAAGCATTATTACTAAATGTTAACATTTGTTATGTTTTGAAACGCGATTTTCGTCCCAAGCTGATTGCTGATTTTTCTGGGAATGAATTCTTTGAAAATCAGAATTAGTGGTTGTAGACCAGTCTCACTCTAAGAAGATCCGTATTTTGACAAATGTGTAACTCAAACAGGCTCGTTTATGTATTAGTGTGTAAGAGATTTGTGATGTGAAATTATAAGTGTTAATATAACATATTATATAGATAACGTAAGTGGTGAGAGGAGAAATTTCATTCACACTATATATTGTCTGGTATCGGTGAATTTATAAGAAAAAATTCATTCGCTGAGATTTTACAAATATATTGTTTATAGAAGGGGTTTTGTGGAGATTTAGTATTTATCATTGTTGAAAGCGTGAGTCAATTGAAGCTAGACCACCATGGAAAACCTGGAAACACTGGACGGCCGTTTCGTCCTATTATGGGACTCCTCAGCAGTGCGCATCCACGAACCTGCTCTCGCGAGCGAGATTCGAACCCAGGACCTACCAGTCTCGAGCCGAAGCCCTTAAATGGTTGCTCAACTTCGTGGATCAGTTGAAGTTAGACATTAACACCGTTGGATGCCAGCTCAGTGGTCTATCGGTTAAGGGCTTCGGCTCGAGACTGGTAGGTCCTGGGTTCGAATCTCGCTCGCGAGAGCAGGTTCGTGGATGCGCACTGCTGAGGAGTCCCATAATAGGACGAAACGGCCGTCCAGTGTTTCCAGGTTTTCCATGGTGGTCTAGCTTCAATTGACTCACGCTTTCAACAAATATATTGTTCCTATTTAATGTCACACTGATTTAAGTTGCATAACATGTAAGCACTAGACAACCGTTCCGTCGTAGTGTGGTGAGCAGTGCGAGCTCGCGGATCAAACCCAATATCTTCCGAAATTCGCTGATTGGTCTACAGGTTAAGCATTCAGTCTTCAGTGGTGGAGTTGTGGATGAGCGCGTATGAGAAGTTCCATACCAGGACGAAACAGTCATCTAGTGCTTTCAGATTTTTAATGGTTGCTTAACTTAATCCCAATGAAAGAGCAGAAATTACTAGTTTCATACTCAGCTATCCCAATCTATAGTCTTTTCAAAAATCTTCCTGCTGAATATAAAAATTCTCTAAAAACAAATTACATGGACTAAAATCATTTTATTTAATGTTGTCGCTAAAATCTAAAACATGGTACAAAATAAGATGATCAATGTAGTTTTGTGTAACAGTAAACTTAGATGAAGACAATGTGAAGAATTTTTCAAAAAAAAAATAAGTTGACACATGCAGAGACCTAATTTTTTGTTTTCTTCATTTAACTTGATCCAATATTTACAACTTTTTCTTTTAAACTTTCAAAGACTGCAATCATTATTGCAGAAGCGATGGTTGTTTTAATGAGTCTAGGTGTAAAACCTGTGACAAAAACATCAATAAAAACGAGTGTATAAATGTGTGATCTAACTAAGTAGTTTATATACATGATCAGTGGTATTATTAACAAGATATTATAAAACTGAAATTTTATAATTAGTAAAACAAATTGGTTGGAAATGAAAGTATGAAGGATTCAGGTGTATTTGTAGGTATAGACCCATGAAGTCGTGTAGTTGAAAATTAAAAGATTAACTAAACAGGTTAAGGTAAGAAAATAAATAAAGTACACTGATTTGATGTCAACCTTATGACCAGTTTCAACCAAATGTTTCGCAATGGAGAAAGATGTTTGTTTATCCTGTGATCTTATTTGACCATTGGAATTCATTTGGTTCTGCAGCCATTTATGTATGTGTTCCGCCACCCTTATTTGCAGATTACGATTGCTCCTCCCTATGTACGTGTTTCCGCACATACATGTAAACTGATATACACAATGGGATGTGACACAATCGCTTATGTGCTGTTTAGGTTTTTGGTGAAACATTGACCTTGTCTTTTCAATGATGACAAGTTGAGCTGTCTAGTCTCCGTCTCAACATGAGACTATTTGAGTCACTCCTAAATGGTAATGTAATATAAACTCGCTTTTTGGGTGCCAGAAGCGTTATAGGTCTAATCGTATTGCAACCCTTCCAGCGGTTTATGAACTTAAATGAATAACCATTATTCATTAACGTATTAGTTAAAAGCCTCGTTTCTACTTCAATAGTATCTCTAGTACAAATACAAGTTGTCTTCCATGACTGAAGACCAGTTCAAATGCCTAGTATTTGTCTGTAGCCTGTGTTCACCTGAGGATGCTGACATCCGAACTAGAATCCTAATCAAATTTGAACATTGTCCCAAGATGACCCTGCAGGAAGGAACTACTGAATGTTAAAGGTTAGTGAATTTGAAGCATGATACCTCGATGGTAGAAAACGCTAACCAGTTCCCCCACGTTAATATTGTCGAGAGAAAAGTCTTACAAGGTTCCAGCATACAGAATTATCGAAATGACAGCTGTAAACCATCATCCCCATGCTGGTTATATGGCGGTTGGCATTTCAAGAGGTTTTGTTCGTTTAAAAGTCATCCTTGTACTACGTGTTCTAGGGAAGGACACAAAGAAAGTCATTGCAAAACCCGAAAACACCGTCAACCTAAAGCTTATTCTAAAAGATTCAAGTCACGTACAGCTAAAGTGACGGTAGCTGCTACAGAATCGGCTCCCATAATCGCAGAAAGTATGTTTCCCTAAATATTAACGATGCCCGCTTACAGCTAGACACAGCCTCCGATATAACGCTTATAAGCAGGAGAACGTGGGAGGCCTAGAATATATTCAATTTATCAATCAGCACACAGCGCATCTGGGTGATTTCTAAACATTGCCGGTGAGGTTCACTGTGAAATTACATTCGAAGAGCTTACGGAGAATGGAGTAATCTTTTTGACAGAACGGCACAAATACGATTGATTCTATTGAATAAGCTCTTTATTAAACCACGTTTGTAATGAATTGGGCAATGACTATGGAAATTAAGATATTGCCCCGTCCATGTCGGCTTTCTATATATAGAACGTTGGGTGGAACCATCTTCTATCCTACTGATCAGTATATCTAGAAAAGGAAGTTGGTTGTTCTCTTCTTCGCACGTAAGAGAAATGCTTCTGGTTTAAGTATAATAATATCGGCATTGTTTAACAATTCTTTTAAGGATTTGAAGTGCTGAGAAGTTAGTATGCTTCTTTTCTTCGGTTCTAAGGAGTGAAACTGATGCGCTATATCCAATAATTTAGCTTCAAACCGCTTGTTAAAAGAACTCAATACAAGTCAGAAGCATATTTCTCTTACGTGTGAAGAAAAGAACAACCAACTTCCTTTTCTAGAAATACTGATCAATAGAATAGAAGATGGTTCCACCCAACGTTCTATATATAGAAAGACGACTACTTCTACCACTATGGGATTTGAATCGACAACTGCATCTCTGTGCTAATGTGGTATGGCAACTCGAACTGATGTACGTACGTACGAAGTTCTACGTTGTGACTGACTGACATGGACGGGGCAATACCTTAATTTCCATAGTCACTGCCCAATTCATTACAAACGTGGTTTAATTAAGGGTTTATTCAATAGAGTCAATCGTATTTGTACTAGTGATACTATTGAAGTAGAAACGAGGCTTTTAACTAATACGTTAATGAATAATGGTTATTCATTTAAGTTCATAAACCGCTGGAAGGGTTGCAATACGATTAGACCTATAACGCTTCTGGCACCCAAAAAGCGAGTTTATATTACATTACCATTTAGGAGTGACTCAAATAGTCTCATGTTGAGACGGAGACTAGACAGCTCAACTTGTCATCATTGAAAAGACAAGGTCAATGTTTCACCAAAAACCTAAACAGCACACAAGCGATTGTGTCACATCCCATTGTGTATATCAGTTTACATGTATGTGCGGAAACACGTACATAGGGAGGAGCAATCGTAATCTGCAAATAAGGGTGGCGGAACACATACATAAATGGCTGCAGAACCAAATGAATTCCAATGGTCAAATAAGATCACAGGATAAACAAACATCTTTCTCCATTGCGAAACATTTGGTTGAAACTGGTCATAAGGTTGACATCAAATCAGTGTTTGTAGTGTTGTACAAAAGCCTTCAAGGACGTATACTAAGGTTTATTGAAGCCTTGGCCATACGGAAATTGAAATCCCCTTTATGTGTTCAATCACAATTTGTTCTTACCCTTAACCTACCCTGGTAATACATTAAATAGAAATAATATATTTGTAAAATCTCAGCGAATGAATTTGTAGTAAATCCAACGTTTTGCCTGGCGATTTGGTCCAGGCTTTTTTCAAGGAATTATAATCAAAATTATCGAATATAAATAGGTACATGGTTCTCCGAGTTCATTATACACTGAATAGGTCATCCAATCAACGTTAATAAAAAGTCTAAACTAGGTATGTTTAAGAGATATGTGATGTGAAGTGATAAGTGTTCATATAACATATTCTTAAACATACCTAGTCTAGACATTTTAAACGTTGATTGGATGACCTATTCAGTGTACAATGAAATGAAGAACCATGTACCTATTTATATTCGATAATTTTAATGTTTGATTATAATTCCTTGAAAAAGCTTGGACCAAATTGCCAGGCAAAACGTTGGATTTACTACAAATTCATTCGTTGAGATTTTACAATATATTATTCCTACTTAATGTCTTACATCAACTCGGCGCTCAAATACTGTGAAGCTATTCGCTCTAATTTAGACGAGAGTTCTTATATACCCTGGTAATGCTGATTTATTATCCAGAGTAGTCATCACACTGTTTTTGTGTACTTTATCTATTTTTTTACCTTAACCTGTACAGTTGACCCTAGAATATTCATATAAAAATGTCTTAACAAGTATATTATGTGTGATCAGATTGTTCGAAATGTATTGCGCTAATATATCACATAATTCTGATAAACTTCATCTTCTCATTACATTATCGAAATTTATCAAAGGGACTAATTGTTTTTAAAACAGGATTGTTACCCCGTATGATGACGGTCTGACTAATGTACTTACTCATTTTCACAGTCGGATTAAAGGTTTATATGCTTTTGTGTTATCAAGATATCGATCGGATGTAAGGATGTTCCATGTTGGAGCACGCTAATTGTTAGGTATTTGTCAGCAAGTATTAAACTTCAATGTTACTAAAATGTTTAGTACCAAATCCTCAGTCTGCTATGCCGAAACTGTATTCACATAAACATAATATTTTCAAAACGCAGCTTAATGGCATTGATGAGCGAAATTGTTATATTTCACTTTGCACTGAAAAAGATACGATCCTGTCAACCAACACTTACCAGAAAACAAGGCAGGAAGACCATTTTTGATATACAAATTATGCAGTGATGTCCACGTTGATGTTGGGTGAAGATGATCTATGTTTAAAGAATTACAGAAAAATGTATTTCAGTTAACTGACCAAACAAAGTTAGGATTTATCTAAATATGATAAGTAATGTGGCTTTTATCATTCGAGGATAAGAAAAAGGATACAGATAATTAAAGATTGAATTTATGCGTCAATCAGAAACAATCCAGATACTTATAGTTGTTTACCACTATCAAAAACTTTGAATGGAAGGTCGATATAACTAACTTAACTACTAACAATGAAGCTGGAAGTTTCACAGTTGATCTGAATAAGAGAAAACAGTTGCATCCGATGTAATAACTCCGAAGATCTTTGAGGATGTTGGTCACGTTTCAGCATTCAGGTTGACTGAAATATTAGCTAGGTTTTGAGGACTAAAAGTGATATATTCTCACTGGTCTCAATTGCCGATTTCCCAAGCTTAGGAAAAAGGACTAAATCCTTTTGTGATAACCACAAAAGGATTGATTCGACTACCATAGTGTTTAAAATGTTAGTCTAGATAATCATCCAACGCTTAACTAAAGCTCGTGAACGGCGAGATATGATCCGTTCCCGACTCGAACATGAATGTAACGACCAAATATCCGTCCCCTCATTAGGTTCTAGAACATGAACATAATGAAGTCCGGTAATGATTTTATTTGTTGACTGGTAAGCAGGGTTGCATCTGAACTGAGTTTTTTGACAGTATTTATCGTTAAAAGGTTCACTGAAGTACGTAAACCATGTGGAGCCCTTTTACTCGAACGAAAATTTTTCCGAATGATATTCGTCAGTTCTACTTACTATCCCTATTTTATTTAACTCCGAAATAGACATTCTTTTTAAAGATTTATTTATTTAAACACATATATATTGGTACAAAAGGGCACCAGGTACATATGCGCCACACAAAATAATGAAAGTAGGTAGATAAAGGATGAAAAGATAAGGCGGGCTGAAATGTACAACCAGAAGATTCTTTCAGTTAGGAAAGTTAGAACCATTCTTTATGTAGAAAGTAAAAGTAGGTTGCAGCAGGATCGCCACTGGCTTCTGTTCTGAGCCACATCTGATAACATCTGTAGCCAATGTGTTGCACCATCTCTCGGACCCCAACCAGGGAGTCGTGAAGGACCAACGGAAGCTAGCCCTTTGCAGCTCTCTTTCATGCCACGACACCATGTCATACACTGACCTCCTCTCCGCTTTCTCCAACCAGTCCCAGAATCGGCAAATAATGCACGACGCGGAAGTCTCTGGGACGACATTCGTAAAACATGTCCGAGCCACCGAAGTCGGTGTTTCAAGATGGTGACACCAATTGAATTATCGTCTCTGTGCCCGAACACACGATGCCGAACCTCTGCATTACTAACATGGTGTTGCCACTGGATGTCAGCAATCCTTCGGAGACAACGATGATCGAACACAGAGAGACGTCTAACATCCTCAACTCGGAGAGGCCAGGTTTCACAAGCATAGAGCAAAACTGCTCTCACCGACGCGTTGTAGATCCGACCTTTTACAGCCAGACTAACATCACGAAGGCGCCAAAGATGGCCCAGGTTGGCATAAGCCGCTCTGGCTTTCATTATACGTGCATCAATCTCATCACTCACGCCACCACCAGCACTTATATAGCTACCTAGATACACGAACTTCTCAACTACTTCGATCTCCTCACCATCCAGGGTGAGTACAGGATGAGAATCCTGCCAGTCTTGTAGAAGTACTTTGCACTTGGAGGGTGCAAAGCACATGCCGTACCTGCGGACACTGATTGCCAACTGATTAAGTGCTGATTGCATGCCTTGGGCATTATCGCACAGTAAGGCAATATCATCCCCATACTCAAGGTCGAGAAGTCGTTCTCCAGGCAACATATCCACACCGCCATTACTTACATCCATCAGAGCTGTTTCTAGGATGTCGTCGATGGCAAAGTTGAAGAGGAATGGGGAGATCGGGCAACCCTGCCTAACCCCACTGCTCGAATGGAACAAGGGAGAAAGGTGGTTGTATGCCCTCACTCTGCCTGAGGTGTTCGTATACAGGGCCTTTAAGATGTTAATGAACTTCTCAGGCACACCCTTCTTCAATAGACAATCCCAGAGAACAGTCCTGTCCAACGAATCGAAGGCCGCCCTGATATCAAGAAACACTACGATTGTTGGCCTGCGATAAGTATGACGGTGTTCTAACATTTGGCGGAGGGTGAAGATGTGATCAATGCATCCTCGACCAGAACGAAAACCAGCCTGCTCCTCGCGAGTCAATCGTTCTCGGGTTTTAAACAACCTACGAAGAATGATAGAAGCCAATAGTTTGGACGCAATCGAAAGTAGACTTATCCCCCGGTAGTTATTGCAGGAACAACGTGAACCCTTTTTAAAGATAGGGACGACTATCGACTCATTCCAAGATGTTGGAACACTTTCTTGCTCCCAAACCTTTCCAAACAACACAGTCAATTCCTTAGTCAGAAAGTCACCACCATCTTTAAAAAGAGCCGGAGGTAAGTCATCTGGGCCAGGTGATTTATAACGTTTCAAGAGTTGGAGTTCCTTGCGGACTTCCGCCTCGTTTGGTGGATCAGTCGTCACCGGCCATGGGGAGCAGGACAAGCTGGTTGATGTTGCCGGAGCAGCAGGCCAGTTGAACTGCCCTTCGAAAAATTCCGCCCATCGTCCAAGACGTCGAGAGATGTTAGTGATTGGCATCCCGTCATCCTCGTAGATTGTTTCACTCACACCAGACTTCTTGCTGCCGGTGGCTCGGATGAGTTGGAAGAGCTTCCGGCAGTTACCAGATGCAGCTGCTGCTTCCATCTCATTAGCACGCTCCGACCACCAGGCTTCCCGGTCCTTACGCAAGCTTTGCCCGATTTCATTACGTAACAGCCTTCGTTTGTGGTCAAACTCACGGTCACCCGGAGTAGACCGACGGGCTTCCATCAGTTGTAAGGAGCCAGAAGAAACCCAGTGCTTGTAAGCGGGACGTTTCGCGAAGCCGCAAGCGGCTTTACTCGCCATTTTCATGGCGTCGTGAAGATGCAACCAATGCTCATCTATACTTTTCGGTGGGGTGGTAGCTAGCCTAGAGGCTAGCTCAGCTCGATACTTACTTGCAACAGAAGTTGCAGCCAGTTTACTAATATCAATCCGTTGGTGGTGGTCATTCCTTCGGCCACTGAAAAGTAAGGTGAGATTGGCGCAGACCAGGGCATGATCAGACTCCAGATAGGTACTCCAAAAGGAGCGGCAGTCTTGTACACAACCACGCCAGCGGTAGCTGATCGCGATGTGATCAATCTGAGTCCAGGCTTGAGATGCAGAGGGAGGACGCCAGGTGGCACACCGGCGATGACTGTGCCGGAAGTTAGTGCTGGCCAGAAACAGGTTGTGGTCTGTGCACAGTTGCAGCAAACGGTCCCCGTTATCTGTCCTGCGACCAACAAGTCCCCATCGGCCACCTAGACGACTCTCTTCTGTGCCTAGACGCCCGACCTGTGCATTCAAGTCTCCGGCTAGTACTACAATATCTGTCGAACGCGCTTTCTGGAGAAGAACTGTTAACTGATGGTAAAACTCATCCTTGATTGCATCCGGGCTGCAATCTGTCGGGGCATAGGCGGAGATGACGAAAAGACACCGTCTCTCACGCCGATTTCTTCTCACTTTGATGGAACTTTCTAATCTAACAGCACATAACCGACTGTTAATGGGGATCCAATCGATTAGTGCTGCCTCAGCTCTAGCGCTTAGTGCGACACCAACGCCAGCAAGACCAGACGAAGATGCCACAGGGTCCCCGGATAAGCGCACGTGGAACAAGCTTTTCGAGACAGATGGAGAGCGGATTTGTAGTACTTCACTAGAGTCTTGAATACGGGTCTCGGATAGACAACAAACGTCAACATTAAGACCTTCCAAAGACATAGCCAGCCGCATCTGTTGTCTGATCTGCATTAGTGTGCGAACGTTGAAGGAAGCCAGCTTGAACGGCGTACGTGGTTTCAGAAAGACTGCCTCAGTATTCATAATCGGTGGAAGCATTCACTTTCAACCAGACAGTGACTGGAGATCGTTTAGATAGGACAGATTTTCCACCAAGAGCGAGCTGCTGCATAAGTTGAAGAGTAAGGTTACACAAATTGGGGATAAAAGGGGGTGAGTTAGCGATATGGTAAATAATAATAATAAAGGTAATAATAATAATAATAATAATAATAATAAAGGTAATAATAAAAATAATGTTAATTGTCTTGCTTTTAGTATGACCAGGGATATCGTCAATAGAGTTCATAATTTCATTCATTTGTTTGTGTGTGGGCTGTGATACTGCCCGGGTGCCCAAACCGAAGCAGGTGGTTTTCTTAGGGGGCCACACCCCGAGCCTTTGACCTAAAGGTCTGATCCACAAGGCAGTGGAGCATCGTGAGGAGATGCAGTCCCATGGTTGCCGTTGACCAACAGCAGGTTCTTCCGCCATTCGTTCCATCAGGATACTGGAGCCCATGTGCACCACTGGTTTGGAATCAGGGTTTTCCAACTCCCCTAGGTGGACCCTCCGTGTCCACCAATCCGGTTATAGCGCCGGACATTCGCTTTTCGTCCTCTCACTTTCGTAAACAACACCCCCGCCACGAGAAGGCAGTGAGTAGGACTTCCCTGGCAGAGGCTATATATTCGCTGGCCATGTGAGAGCATTTCGAGAGGGAAAGTAGACTCTCCCCACTCTCGGCCGTACCAGGGCATTTGGGGGCCTTTTTAAAGATAAAGATAGAGCTTCTTTTAAAGATAGAGTTTCTGACGTCCGACTTTCCAGGGACTGATTTTGATAAGAGATTTATTTCTTGACGTGGACCAAAGAGATGACGTAGTTCTGTTTTATGAGGGGTGTCATCGTTGATAATGACTGACTTACTGAAGGACCTCCTGGACACCTTATGTAACAGTGTAAACATACTTGGAACGCATTTACCCTTTAGAAACAAAGTTACTTTAGGACCGGTCTACACTAACATCCAGACCCTTTATATGGGATGAAATAGTTTGGCTCGTCGAGCGCTGTACTTATACTGAAAGTCTCAGCCCTGATGATTCGGTGTTTGACTCATTTTTTAATCACTGGAGGAGTAGGGAAGACAACCGTCTACCAACTAAAAGATGCGTAATGTGCAGCAGTCAGTTTTATATTACATAGTAGCAACAAAGAAAGTTCACGGTAATAAAAGAAATGCGTAGTTCACAGGCTTCTGATCATAGATATCTTTGAAGCGTTGCTCATATACTGTAGAACAACCGAGTAAGGAACTGTGGAACTACTTCCGTAGTATTACGGAAATATTGCAAATTGGTTAGTAAGGTAGTAAATGTTCATCGATTGAGGTTATCTGGACTAAACACTGTCTACCTAGGACTACAATATTGGCTGGTGTAAGAGTAGGTTCAAAAAATATCAGGGGTAGTCAAATACAGATGAGTTCAATCCGAGAAGTCGTTGACTGTCGGACTGAGCCACATTGGTTCGAGTTCGCACAACAACAGCGATTAGTGATTGTAGACGTTGTATGAAATGGCTTAGAAGCAGTCATAATGGTACAAATAGATTTCATCTTCCCCTAAACTTTGTGTTCCAGTATCCTTTCATATAAACCATTTTACTCCGTTTTCTTGAGTCGTATTTTCAATGTTTAGTTTATCTCACTATTATTGATGCCACAGTTATTTTGACTTTGGTCGACTCTCTTTTGTTCTAGATTGGGCATTTTCAGTACTTTCTTCCCAATAAACTAGTAATGACACGTTACTCTTTATACTGCGTTTAAAAAGGGTTTAGTAAGCATACACACTTTAAGATTCGTAACGTTTCGCTAACTTTTTGTTAATTCTGCGACTTCTATGGGAGTGTTGTTGATACAAACTAAAGGTAAATTTGAACGAATGTTGTGCACAAAACTACTACGCCATGTTCATGGTCTAAAGAACTTACTAAATGCAAACGAATGCTTTCCGAAATCTACTTGTCTGTGAGTTTTAATCACATCGAATGGATGTGTTAATACGCCAGAAATCTGAAATTTAAGAAAATCAGGAGAAAACAATCAACGTTTGCATGCGATATACAACGATTTAGATGTTACAATGGTGATATATATATATATATACGAGAAATCGAATCATTTGTAGGAACATTACATTTGGAAGGTTCAATAGAAACAAATTCCTTCATAGGACTGATATTTATTCACATTGTCATAGATTTAAATTTGTGGGAAAAACCAAACCGCTTCACATAAGAAGCTTAGTACACAATGGTATATGTGGGTTTTGGGAGGTTTTATAACTGGCGTAACTTTTAGTTCGGTTTCTGAGGATTTTTCCTTATTCCAAATCACAAATGCTTAACATTTTGCGAATTTAACGATGAAAGAGAAAATTTCAATAAAAGATTACAGATTTTAAAAAATATTAAATATTTGTAAGTATAATTAAAAACACTTAAAAGAATCTCTATGTTACTTGACCAAAATAGTAAGATGTGATGTGATTTGCAACATTAACGTCAAGCTAAAAACTTTGATTTTGAACTTATCAAAACCTTAATCTATTATTTTTATGTGATGAACTATGTTAGATATTTTAGTGAAAAATCTATGAGCACTTTATAGATTAATGCAGAAACCTAGATTTGTGATATCATATTACTTTGGGAAAGCTGAGAAATACATACAGGCTTAACCTGGTGTTGCTGGTATATATATATATAAATATATATATATATATATATATATATATATATATATATATATATGAATTTGAATTCAGTGAGACTTATGAAGTCCCCTATTATTGACTTTATTCAATATTATATTTTTGGTATAGCATAGAATTCTCAGCACTAAGTCAACAAGCTTCTTTTTCTTATTTCTCGATCGATCCTTGCGATAAATATTGAGTGGTTGCCAGTTAGATGTTGGTAGTTCAGGAATTGATATCTGAAAAATGTATGTTCTTTTCGAAGCATATTGCTAGCAACAACGATGTCTCCGATTGGGCTCTTTTGTACAGCTAAATGTCGTAAACTTTTCACAAACGCACCTGAATAGGTTATGAGAATAATAGGGATAATGATATGTTAAAACAAACAAGAAAACAGATAACTTGTTGAAATATCCAGATTGCAGGAACAGGTAGCCCAGATATTCAAACAGGCCTTGCTATACGAAGTGCATCTACACTGAACTATACTGTAAGTAACATCGAGAATGAGACAAAAGGTCCTAAATATGTTTGTCCAGATGTTTTTCTTTAGCTCACGAATTTGATCTCCATTTTATAAACCAATGTTTGAATAAAATAAAGAAACAAATAGTAAATAAAGGACTTACAAAACCAGCAACTGCTCCAAAACCAAATGTGTGCGAGAAGTGGATTCTGTCAAAGTTGGCAGGCAGTTCACTATTCGACAACAAATTTGTTTTTATCTGTTTATTTATAAATCCAGATTTCATATAGTCGTAAGTTAACCAAAATACCATGGAATAAGGAACATCACGTAACAGAGTTGGTCCAGCACCTAACCACAAACTTTTCAAACCATCCTTAGTAATAAACAATATGTCAAAATAGTTAATTTAAAATTACATTTGCGAAAGGTCTTTAAAAAACAGAACCGAAATCTGAGTACTTAACAAATCCTGTTCAAAGTGGAAAATCCGTAAGCTATCTTCGTTAACAATCTATCAAGGAAGTGAAACGCTCTAGTAAATATATCACTATGATAAGAAACTAAGAACCATTTTTAAGGAACTATAATTAAAATAAACTGCCGGGATACCCGCAGTATACGAGTGAGGGTTAGATTCTACTAAATCGCTTATAAGCAACGTTTGTAATTCATATGAGAAAAGGTACTATACTGCATTCAAAAGTTATATCATATCCTAACTAGGAAGTTTAATAGTTGAATGTCCTGGAGTTCAACTAAAAGGTCTCAGATTTCAACTACGCTCCAACTATTTAGGATTAGGGAGCCGAATAGTGTTACAAGCTCTTAGATAAATATTGTATTTGAAAAGTGAGTACATGAAATCGTACCCGTTAAATGAGTTTTAATTAATTTTAAATTAACCATATGAATCTTAAAACTCAATAAACAACTAACTGAACTGAATACACTAATCTGTGTGTGAACAGCGAGTTGAGTAACCTTATTTCTGTGCATCTGTTTACATGTCTGTAATTGTAAATTTAAAAAAGACTGCTATCCACTAAGAAATATATCCCCAATTATCAAATTTGTCTTATAGTATAACGAAATAGCAATACCTGTCTCACTGTTGTGACGACTAACGCTGCTATATCTCGGTAGAGTACTTTCCTAGCTTGGATTTTTGTACGTAATAATTCTATTGGTGATACAGCCATTACCGCGAAAATTCGAGATACACCTCCAACTAATGGAGGGAGGAAATCTTTAGGGGAAATGAATTTTTGAGAAGATTCACTTGTCATAACTGGTGATTTGTTGATAGTCTTGGAAGTATATCCCACATGATATTTTAGCCAATCATTGACAGTGAAGTAGATAACAGTTTGAGGAAGTGTCATAACCCTGTAATTATAAAGCATTAGTCAACATAATTCTAACTTACAGTGTAGGAGAGAGTCCACTCCAAAGAGATAAAATACCTTCATTGCGAATAATTTTGAAAACAGTATCCTTTAAGGGAGATTTTAATGACGAAGTAAATATTTTTTTAATGACAACGAAAATAGTCAACATTTTACATAAGGTTGAAGTTTTAAGAAACCAATAAAGAAATAACTCTACGTTACTAACCATAATAAAAAATTGAAAGTTAGCAAATAAAGAAGTCGTTGGGTTTTTTTTGAATCATATATTAAGCAAGTAACTCCTTATGGATTATCGATATCCCATGAAATAGTTTTCAAATGAACATTAATGACTTCATGATAATACTTCCATGCCTTTTCTAATCGCTAGTTTTATCTGACTATGCTAATTTGATACGGAAACTAAGTTGATGATGGCCGACTGACTAACAAAATGGTCTCACTTGAAAAGTGTTTGATTTAAGTGGAGATCAGGCTCGGAAATTTAAAGCTGTGACTAAATGGATAGTTTATGACCATTCGATAATGAAAAAATCAGAGGGAGACTCAGTGAAAACCCAATGAAGACGGTACCTAAAACACTAACTTAATAGTGTATAAGGTTGTCACATAATCCAGTCGACTTGTTGGAGGTAATACTTGACACTGTCTCATTCTTCTATGAATAGGACTTCATAAAAAGATCTCCCAAAACATCTCACCCTACAATAAGTAGCTCTTTTAGTTTGAGCTTTCATTTCACACTGCATATAAATCGACATTCTATCACAAATATGGTACCCGACCGTTGCTGCTACCTTGACGTGGTGGTCGGGCTTGCCTATCGTGATGATTCAATCGAGCTATACTGGCTGGAACAATCGTTCCTCAATGTACTACCATGCCAGGCAGGTCGTTTGAAGATCGGTAAGACTAAAAGCAGCAAACCCAAGGTCCGAAGACGAAGTCATACTACCGACTGTACAGAGGTGTGACAGCAGTAAGGTGTTTCTTTCAGACAACCAGCATGACAGCGATGCTGCCTTCCCACAAGGAGGGGTGGGGTTAGAAAAGGTCGACCTTAAAAATGCACACCTCGCCTTATCCCATTGATATCCGTCTCCGGCGATAAGGTCCTTTGAAGAACGGAGCTAACACAAAAACTACCCACAAAAAGGTCGTGTGTGACCGACCACAAGCAGCTGTCCCTTGGGCACCACGGTCACGCTCTTAGGTCATTAAGACCACTTCTAACCCAATATCTTTTTCAGTTACCCCTAGAAGAACTCTTCCATGGTGTGGGTAACCGGGAAGTGATGACTGCCCTCATACCTCTAACAGCACTCAAGACCACTGTACTCGTAATCAATCTCCTTCTTCAATTCCTAATATTCCTTCTACCTTGACTTTCAACACTAAACTCCCTCTTCCGGTTTCCTCCTCAAGTGTCACCATGGTCAACGATTCTAGTGCGCGAAACGCTGTTCCAGTTCTACTAACCACGGACAGTGGGTGACATGGTTTAGAGTCAGTCACAATGACGCAGTTACATTCACTCTGTCTTCTTTTAGTATACACTTTCGACGGAAAACCGAATCCCACGACCACTATTGTTGTACATCAGTAAATATAATGCTTTGCATGGTCGTTATTAAGTAAAATAACGTTTTAGGTCGTGTGCATTACAATGACTATGTTTTCATTTCTGTTTTGTTAATTCCTTAGTAATAGTTTCATGTCTCTGACATGGTTCACGCGTGGTATTTAAAACGTAATTTGGTCTAATTTGACTGGTACATTTGCACTGAAATACAGTTGCCAGCCACAGGATTTGCATGAATGTTTACCTTTATTGATCTGACGAACGCAGAGTAAAGCTTCTCTAGATAAATTCACTGTCGTTAGTGACGTTATAAGTAGAAACTAGTAATGATTGATGAGGCCGTGATGTATAATTTCTTTTTCCAGTCTCTAATAATGTACCACTTAGTATTTTCCTAACATAAACCGTTTATCTTCTGTAAGATGTTGAAACCCCGAAAAATTTTGTTAAAGAATATTGGAATTACGTGTTTTTGTAAGTGCTTCGTTTCTGTATACTAATGATCGTAATAACGGCTATTTCACTTATTTAGACCGCTTATCAAGTCCTATGAACAGGGAGCTACACCTAATCCAGATATATTATGTAATAGATTTGTAAAATTCAATTTGCTAACAAGGGCAGTGTTAAAAAGCAAGAACCAGTGCGCTGATGATGACAGTCAAGCATCTTCAAATCTGGCTGCAGATGCAATTGCCACTGGTCATTACTGTCAGAATTCTTTTGGAAATTATCTACAATACAGAAAAGACAATGTTGAAGCCAGATTATTACGTTCTGTTGATAGAGTGAAGGACCAGACATTTTGGCTATCGACTGTAAGAGTTGTGTGAGTTGTTTTTTCTAGATTTTGTTTTTATCTAAATGTAAATTGTTACTCCAGGACTGGCCTGCGTCAACACCTGAACTAAGGATAGGGAGTGAAGTAGTCGAACGCGTCGACAACCTCACTTATCTTGGAAGTCTGATCAGTCCTAATGGGTTGGTGTCTGACGAAATCTCAGCACGGATTCGAAAAGCTCGTTTGGCTTTTGCCAACTTACGTCACCTATGGCGAAAACGAGATATCCGTTTATCAATTAAGGGACGAGTATACTGCGCATCAGTTCGTTCTGTTCTACTTTACGGCTGTGAAACATGGCCACTAAGAGTAGAAGATACTCGTAGGTTACTAGTATTTGACCACAGATGCCTTAGAAATATTGCTCGCATCTGCTGGGATAACCGGGTAAGTAATAATGAGGTTAGACGCAGGGTATTAGGGAATGATGGTAAATCAGTTGATGAGGTTGTGAATCTTCATCGACTGAGATGGTTGGGCCACGCGTTACGTATGCCTGAACACCGATTACCACGACGCGCAATGCTGACTAATGTAGGGGATGGTTGGAAAAGAGTTAGGGGCGGTCAAACTAAAACATGGCATCAGTGCTTGAACTCACTAATTTCTAGTCTGAGTCATGTTGGCAGATGCAGACTACTTGGTTGGGGTCCGCGTGACTATCGTAACCAATGGTTGGAGACTGTGGGTGACATGGCTCAGAATCGATCACAATGGTGTAAGTGTATACACTCTTTATCTTCCCTTAAACCTTGAGACTAAAATTGCTTCATATCTCTCTTCCTTCCTGTACTATATCCTTATATACAGCCTATAATTTATATACTACTACCACCACTAAATTAACTGCTTCTATGAATCCAGTGTTCATCTTGTTGTGCTAACGAGGTATGGCAACTTGGACCGATGCATATATGTGCCTGGTCCTACGTTGTCGCTGACTGACTGACAAATATGGTGACAGAAATTAGACCAGAGGTTTAGGAAACTACGAATAAGTCTAACACCAACGACGAAAATATGTTTGTTAAAAATTTTAGTGACTAAACTTGAAATTGACCCAATATTTCACACGGAAATCTGGTAAAGGAATTTCTTATACATAATTCGTCCCCCGGCTATTGTGAAACGTTGTTAAACCTTAGAAGGTTCTTATGAGATGGAATGTGCTCTATTTTCGACAATAATAGCTGCTCTTGCGAAGAAATACGATTTCGCATCCTGATAAATTCAATTAACTGAATATGGACCAAAACGTACCTGGATAAAACTAATTCAACGTGGTCTAACATTGTGGTCCCCCGCCATATACATAGTCTAAGATAAGTACTTGAATTAGTGCGAAATTGCTTATTCGCAGTTTTACTTATTCTTATGATTTACGAGGAAAATTTCCTTGACTCTTACTCTTTTAAGGGTAAGAACTATGAGAAATGAGTGATTATTCTGCAAGGACGGCCACACGTTCATCCAACAATGCACTAAACGACCACCATCAAAAACTGCAGATTGCATGTATTCATGTCATTTAATTCCTGAAAGGTAACTAGTACTACAGTTGACATCATTTAAAATGATACCATATTTCTAAACAACCAGTTAGTTACTCCGAATGCATTTCACTGCGAAATCCAGTACATATACATCAGTGCTGTTTAATCCATGACAGTAGTTGTTGGACCACTCGTTGGAAAAACCGGTCCCAACCTCATCAGCGTAAATCGATAATAAGGATTTTCTTTTATCGATTAAATCCTACATTTTCAGAATGAACCATGTGTGCATTAGATAGGCAGTGAAGATATGTTAGACAGCTGCTTGTGCTCAATATTTAGTCAGGAAGATTATTGAAGCCTTATCATTTATCGAAAAATGTTGAAACATTGTAGTTATTTTAACCACACTATTATGCAATTTATTTTTGTATACTGATTGAATTTCATTCTAATTTGACCAGGTGTTAAGTAACGTTGTACACCTGTACCCTGGCCTAACTGTATTTTTTGTTGTTTATTTTTATATAAATAACGTCTCATATTTTGCTAGACTAACGACTTTCTGCTAACTTGAACTCCTATGGTCTACCTGAATAAGCGGATGTTTGAAATATACACTTCCAAAACCCTTAAGTGCTTAAATTTTAATTTCTGTAAGCAGTGGCAAGATAAGGCGATGAAATAGGTAGGAAGTAAACAGAATCTATATTTCATTCATCATCACCAACAGAGGCAAACTTTGAAGCCAACATATTATCTACAACAACTATTCAGGCCATATCTTAACCCGATCACAACTTAAGGTGTTTTTACATGACTCATTATATGAAACGAGGATTTAAAATTGAAAAAAGGCAAAGCAATGAATCGAAACTTACTGAGACGCTAGGGGAGCGGCGGGAGAATGAAACAAAATATGGGTTATTATAATGAGGAATGCATGTGGAACAACAATGTGTTTCGTTTGATGTAGATAAGTTCCACCTCCCTGCATACTTCATAGCACGTTCGGACCAAGACACAGAACAGGTGTTACAGCTCAACGAACAGGTGGAGAGGCGTTCGGCTAGTCCATTACAATAAACAAGACACTTGTTTTCAGAGTATGTCTTGGGAGACTATCAAAAATTAGAGGCTGTGCTTATCGCTACCTGCATTCGGATTTTTACGACATCAAGAGGTGTCATGACAAACGCTGTCATTATTCCACCAACTGAAGAAGCAATGATCCGGTGAGTAAATGAGACGTTAAATAGCTTCTCATCATTTGACCCCATATCACCATGTAAAACCCATTACTATACGCTCCGTAATCCTTGGTAAGTTTGACTCAGGCCTGAAGGCAAGCTGTATGTTGGAGTTTGGGGAACAATGTGTAACTGTGAAAAGAAAAATAATCAGGTAACTCCATAAATGCATATAGCCCACTTACGTCCAGTAATAAAAGCAAGAGATAAAATCAGCAATGAAACAAGCGTAAGATCAAGGCAATCTAATAAACGAAACCAGATGTTGGTGGAGCAAGTTTCCGAACGCGCTACATCGTCACAGATCCTACAAAGCGCCCCTGTGCAAGGATACTCACTGGTGTATTTAATAAGTAACACTTGAAACTCGTGCATAATATATATTCGTCTCCTTTTTTGTGAAGGGCCTACTTGAACTCATGTTTCAGACCTAGGTATACGTTTACATTACCAAACAAGACAAATCAGTGCCTCCCTTGACGTCCTACAACTCATCCGTATACGAAACATCACGGCACATCCAGGTATTCCATGGACTGACATGTGCGATACATGTCCTAGCTATCTCCGTCTATAACGACACCTTAATTTGTCAATTGATTTACCTTTTTTACGTAGTACTTTGCGTTTATCTTCACACTTGCCGACTCAAAAGTCCCATAATATGAGAGCTATGCTTCGAAGACACCGTGATGGAATACTAGGGACCTAAGGAACTTTATATTGTTAAAGCAGTTTGCAGTTTTCACTTATATTTGCCAGCCAGCCTCTTAGTAAATATACTAGGTTAGTCCTGGTAAACATACCATAACTTCCATCATCGTCTTCATGTAAAATAGGAATGTATTTACTTAATATAATATAATGCAGTTAAATATATGTACGTATGCCGTTAAATATATATACGTTAAATATACGATCAGTGTAGCAGCAGCCTCAGCAGCAGTAGGTCACAACATACACAAAGGGAAAAGCAAGACTGTCCGATACAATACAACATGCACCAATCAAATAACACTTGACGAAGGAGCTTTGGAGGATGTAAACACCTTTACATATCTGGGCAGCATCATTAATGAACACGGTGGATCAGATGCAGATGTGAGGGCGAGGATCGGCAAAGTAAGAGCAGCATATTTACAACTGAAAAACATCTGGAACTCAAAACAATTGTCAACCAACACCAAAGTCAGAACTTTCAATACAAATGTCAAGACAGTTCTTCTGTATGGGGCGGAGACGTGGAGAACTACGAAATCTATCATCCAGAAGATACAAGTATTTATTAACAGTTGTCTACGCAAAATACTTCGGATCTGTTGGCCAGACACTATCAACAACAACCTACTGTAGGAGAGAGCAAACCAGATTCCAGCGGAGGAAGAAATCAGGAAGAAGCGCTGGAAGTGGATAGGACACACCTTGAGGAAAGTACCCAACTGTGTCACAAGACAAGCCCTCACATGGAATCCTGAAGGTCAAAGGAGAAGAGGAAGACCAAAGAACACATTACACCGAGAAATAGAGACAGACATGAGAAGAATGAACAAGGACTGGATAGAACTAGAAAAGAAGGCTCAGGATAGAGTGGGTTGGAGAACGCTGGTCGTCTGCCTATGCTCCATCGGGAGTAACAGACGAAAGTAAATATATGCGGTAAAACATATGTTTGAAAAATTGGATTATAATGTTAATATGTAGCAGATGTAAATTGCGCAACTTTTCTTCGTTGATAACCTAAAATTTCAAATAAAAATATTGGTTTAGTAGGTAAATTCAGTAAGATTTAAATCTCAGTTTGGGAAAGAAGATTGGAATTGCAGTATGAAAAATCGTGCTGGTGTTACAAAGTGTCTCATCAGACTCGGCAGTGTTCCAGGGTATGCTAGCCAATGAAAATGCATGAACGTTATCTGAAAATGTAGTTCAGACCGAGAGAGCTGGAATTTATAGACTGTTATACATTACACTAACTTTAAACAGCTCGTTTGTTTTACTATGTGCTTACTTCAACAATAACGAGAATGTTATCAGCTAACAAGCTTCGACAAATAACGGCTGATAGCATAAATTTTCAAAGAGGTTTAACTACTTCAGAAAGGAGTAAATATACTTTTCATACCTCAAGACAGGCTCCTCTAACGTATCACTTCATCAACCAGATTGATGGCCATTCTTATTTTATAGTGACGTCCTTTACAACACCCTTACGAAGGACCTTTTGAAGTAGTAGACAGGCAAGCAAAATATTTCACAATCAATAAGAATGGTAAAAAGGAAACAGTTGCAATTGACAGGTTAAAACCCGCTTTCATAGAGTCTGAAACACATAACAGTCGAAAGCCTTCTAAAGACAACAATTGCACAACACAGTTTCCTGCGTTTCCAGATAATTCTTCACCTACTTCTGTGAAATCGACAACTCATACAATGTGTGATGCTAAAGTTACAGCTCCTACAAACTTAATTCCTAATTCCACTACTTTACCTATTTTAAAAACTACTCGTACAGGAAGACAGGTACATATTCCTAGACGTTATGTTGAATTCATTACTTAATCTTCCTTCAGTCATATTCTGTAATGTGAGTAAATAACTGTATGCTAAGAGTTACTCATGACATATTTTTTAACTATAATGATCGTTTACATTGATATATACAGATATTAAAAATTTTTCCGGTAATATATCAATTGAATTAACGTTATTAATAATAACACTACTATTCTTATTATGCGTTCAATTATTTTTGTTAAATTTTCTATACATATTAAAAATAATAAACAAAAATTTTTTTTAACCACAAAAAACATCTTGGTTCATAAGTATATATACTTATTAAATTTTTTTGATAACCTTTATATATTCTTTCTTTTGTTGTGTAATATTTTCCCCCCTCCAAAGCACTTAAAGTTTACGTCGGGCATACCTCCACGGACGCATGCCCTAGGGGGGGGAGTTATATAGTGACATTTATATCTAGTGATTTTTTGTAAAAACAAATTAAAGATCACATATTTTTATATTTGTCACACCTAAGATGTAACCACACTTATATTCGATATATATTGTTTTTCTGTATCAATGAAAAAGAAATGAATACTTTTGTTTGGTTAAATATAACAGGACTTCACTACCGCGATTCTTAAAAAATATAAACGTTGTAACCGCCGTCTACTCTTCTGCTTTAACGGCCACGGCCTTTGATTGAAGATCATAATAGTATTATAACATCCTTTTGGGCCATTTCACACTACGTTGGTGCTTTGGCCCAGATCATTACTGAATAATACTACTGGATCTAATCTTCTTCATTTTGCTGTTGATGCCATCACGTGCAGAGGAACCTTGTTAACCAAGTGAACTTATTTGTGGTTGTTATCTCAGAAAGCAGCTTACAAGTAACAAGTAACAAGTAACACTGTTACCATTTTGTTGTTCAATATACCTTTTTATAATTTAACTGTAATTTGTTACCTTTTTGTGTTAATCATAGACACACGCTTAGGTTTGTAGTGTTAATCCCTTTTGGTATATTGTTGGTAACTTTGTGTATTGCTATATTTTAACTAGGCTCTTTTGCTGAGGTCCACCACAATTTCGTCCTCACTGGCCTTTCATACTAAAAGTCAATTAATTGTTTGACGGTTTACAGGCTAGATCAATTTGTTAAAGAAGTTACAATTTTCATTGTAGAAAATTACTCAGCTGGGTTGATATATCATGAGATATGAATGTAAATGGATTTCGTAGGAAATATGTCAATATCAGAATTGGCGCACTTTATGAAGGTAGCATTGCAACGTATAGCTGATGGTCGAGAATATATACATACGAAGTTAGGTGACTTTAGAAGCTTCGACCTTATATCCCTGCGGAATATCTGAGGCTTTAATAATGGTGTAGGACTAAGTCACCCGTGCCATATCTGTTCTCCGTGGGGTATCTTCAGAGGGCTGAAAAAGGTGCAAGAAAAAGGATGGACGAATGCAGAGCACACAATACTCATGGAAGAACATTTAAGGTATAACCATTTAGTCTGTTTGTCTGTTACCGAAGTATTTATTAGGCAAGGGCATACTAATGTGTCAAAGAAAAATAAGTGTGAACAATAGGAAAGACAATCCGGTCTATTTCTTTCCCCTCAGCCTGGAGATGATAGAATCCGAATATTTTTATATAAATATCCAGACGAACCCATATCTTCCTCCCAGAACACTTCAAAACTAAATTAATGGTTTCATCAGATGTAGATGAAAATAACGTGCCTGCAAACTCTGGCACGCCTTAATCAGCAGATGCCATGTATTTGCATCGTGCTCAGCACGTTTGGAATACTTGTCAGCAACAAGTCCCATCGCCTGTATACACCAGAGGATATTGACTGACTTCCACAAAGGATACAAGTGATGACGCGCTATCCTCTAGTTACATCATTCCTTTACTTTTACAGTCTCAAAGGGAGAAAAAACCCAGCATAAGTGGTTGCCCTGATTAAGAAAGCTATTAAGAATTTCGACGAAACAAATCTATGTATGAGATCACGATGTAAACTGGATTCAACCGACTCTCACTCACTTCTTTATGTCTGCTGCATGTATGTCTTTCACATACTTTTACACAAGTGATTTTTGCGTTATTCCCCTTCAATTTTGTTGGTATCTGTGAGAAAAAACTTTTATCCCATTAGTTTCATTCCAAATACTTCACATCTATTAATAACGTCTCCGTGCATAAGTGTGTGCCATGATTAGTATAAACTAATTCAAAATCCACACAGGATGTTGATTTTTCACCTCTGGTCTTTGGTTCAGGAGAACGTAACCTTGGCTCCACGTCCACAACTACCTGCCATAACCAGCTGCAGGAGTTTAAAACCAGTGACATTAGATAAGCAGAACAGTTTACCTACTTTCTACCATCAGTATTGCATATAGAATCGTTGCGAATAACCTAAAAGAAAGTACGTTTTCATTTAGTCGTATGTACTAAATAATACTCTCGTAATTTTGTTAGTATCCACTGTAAGATCCTTTTTGAAAGTTTTGTTAATGAAAATTCCTACACATACAGACTGTTGTGATTTATTCCTCGTGGTTCCTTCAGATGTACACTTTTTGACTATTATATTCTGACGAAGTACAAATGAATAGTAACTGCTAAGAATCAGTTATGGACTAATATTTTAAACATTCCTATTAGATAACTATTAAGTAACTAGATCATACGTGCATTGATATTCCTTTTGTCACAAACCTTCATTTGACCCATTGACTACTATTATACGATTTAATATTCTGAAGTTATCCCCAGTCTATTGGTTTCAGTCTCTCAAACCCGCAGTCACTTTGGGCTCGGTGTTATATAATTGTTATTTCCCATTTCATGGTAAGATGCGGTCTGATTTGTCTATATATAAACTGCATATGTCTGGAATAGACGATTCATATGTTGGGGGCTGAGATTACTTTCTGGACTTGATGGGTAGGGCTAGGTCAGAAGAACCAATAGTTTTGACTTATCACTGGTTTGACACAAAAACAAGATCATACTGGTCGGTATTCGGATTAGCGAATTCGCCGCGTGATAACTAACAGGCTAAAAGTCATAACATTGATTTGTTGATTCCGTTTGTGGTACCACTATTGATATTTTACTGTAGTTTTAGTTTTCCCAACCGCTTTACTGAACTTCCATGTTTCTCCTGAACTACATTTACACTGTTTAGGTCGATATCGGGTTATGGCCACTACATTATTGTTTCGCTCCTTTTCTTGATTGTGTTGCTAAATTTGGCTGAAATTATAAACTTTTGATGGTGAATTGAAGCACTCTTCTAGAATTAAAAACACTTCAAGCTACATCGAAATTAAATAATGTCTTTCGAACAATTTTCATGTGACCTACCAGAAAAGGATAGAATGACATTTATTCCTTAAATATAGTAGTTTTTCATATTCTTGACCATTTTATATATTCAATGTGACTAAGATTTGTCTTCCGACCAAACAGTCATTGGTTGAATAACAGGTTGGTAGTATTGTCTAGGTAATAAAGTGCATTGGGATTTATAATGAAATTTAAAGCAGTCACTCAACCCATCACCTTGTTTTCGTTTTTCTGTGTAAACTAACTTGAATGGTTATTTACCACTCCAAACTTATTTATTTTCGAATCTACACCCCTGCCATCCTCTTTTCTATTACATATGGTTGACAATAGTATGCAAATCAACCACAACCCAAAAATCGACAGATATACGAAAAAACTACGCCTGTGCTTTAAACTCTTGATATAATGAGTATTATTGATTAAATTCAATAGTCCCCTTCATAGACTTAGACCTACAAATAAGTCAGTACAAAAATAGTCTTTTCTCTTTTTAATTTTTGACCATGTCCCTCCGATTTCTATTAATAGTCAAAACAAAAAACATAAACAACATTCTGATAGTGGATTTCTGGCTTTTAATAGTTCAGGTCTCTTCCACTCAACAAATAATGAGTCCAGATCATTTATTAATGTCGGATGGTACATTTTCATAAGAGGACCTTCTGGAAGAGATGCATATCATCTTTGAGCCAGTTGATTGTTGCCAGTTGACTGGTTCTCATAATTTTTGAAATACATCACTGGGTTCACAACAACTGAACACTCAGTATTCGCTTGACCAGTTGATCATCAAAAATGTCATAAAGAATAACAAACCGTAGGCCATTTTCCTTCACAGCTCTCGTTAACACCATAAGAAATATTATGGAATGGATAATCAGACATACGGAAAATCACTGGCGGCCGGGATGTTGATTTCAGATAGAAGAACTTACTCTGGTGTATGATGTTAAAATACTACAAGACGTAGCGAGATAAAGTTTAATCACACAAAGCGAGTTATCATGACGGGAGGAACACACCAACCTGAGTGTTAGTAGTAGCGAAAAGCTGAGAAAACACAACTTACTCGAAGGAACTAGGGCTTACATTTAGAATATCACATAAATTACGGAATTTCGGCAGACTGTGTGACCAAGAACTGCAGCTACGTAAGAAAATCAGAGGAAAACACAGAAAGCCGTCCTACAGTGCTAACGAAAATGGCGGGATTGATTAAGCTCGCCAGATTCTGATTCGTAGCTGAACAATGTCAAAAATTATGAACTAGGGTTGTATTTGTTTTCATTCTAATAGTCTGTAGTAAGTTCAAGTTTTTCCTCAAATAAATGCTACATAGTAAATAAGGGTTGAATACGAACAGGGTTTGGGATTTTTGTATTTAAACATAGATGTGGACGTAATAAAAGTGGCAAGAAAATATTGATTACGTAAATTATTGTTCTATCAAAACTACTGAACAAACTTTTAGTAAACGCTGTAGGAGGGAAATGATTTGGAAACTACGAAATACCACGTAAATCACGAGGATAAACACAAACATTTAGTTGTCAAAACGTTTAAAGTAACCGTGAATAACTGACGAAGACAAATACATAAACGTATAAACTATAACCGAACAATTCAAAAAGTTTTCGATTTATGAACTAGAAAAGAACATATATGAGTTGAATTCATAACCGTTTTGCTTACGTTTATGTTTATTGAATGTTAATCATATGTGGTTTGATGGCGTCTCACTGCTTCCTCCTCCTTTATCTTGGCATAATAAGTGTACCAACTAGACAGCCAGAGAATTTTCCTGAATACATAACTTATAGAGGTAATAAAGATTGATTTCCATAATGTAATAACAAGACTAAGATTATCATAACTATGTTATATATTAGCATAGCTCTGATAATCTTCGTCTTCTTATTACAATATCGAAATTTATCAAAGGGACTAATTGCTTTAAAAGGTTGATTATCGTAAAGCTTCATAAAAGCGACCGAACGAAAAGCAATCTCCCAATATTGAAGCAAATCACAAATAATAGTTGACTAAGAAAGTTTGAGAAAGGTGATAAGTAGAAACAACTAGTTTTTTATATAGTGCAGTAAGAACACGATGACTATCAGAACTATGTTATATACTAGAGCAATACATTTCGAACAATCTGATCGCAAGAGGAGACAACGATAATAATCATAAAAATCATGTGAAAACAATTTGAAACCTCATCACTCTGGATAATAAGCTAATTTTAACAGGGTAGGTTTAAAGTGAGAGCAAACTGTTTTTGAATACACAAACGGGTTTTAATTTTCGTATGGCTAAGGCTTTAATTAACCTTAGTATACGCCCTTTTACATTTTTATACAACACAAAAGCCGAGTTAAGATCAATCTTATGGCCTGTTTCGATTATATGTTGGGCAATATAGGATGATGGATGTTTATCCTCTACTTTTATCGAGTCATTTGATACTATTTGTTTCTGTAACCACTTTGGTAGATGTTCACACACCCTAATTTTGAGATCACCATTGCTTCTCCCTATATATGTGTGACCACACACATAAATTGGTAAACGCAGTGGGATGTGACACAATCGTTTTCATATCTTTTAGGTTTTGGATGTAACATGAACTTCGTTCTTTCTTCGATAATGACCTTCGCTGTACATTACATATTATTGATGACTGATTTAAGCGTTTGTTTCAACAAAAGGCTATTTTAATCACCTCTAAATGGTAAGGTGATGCAGATAGGCTTTTTTCCACCAAGGATACAGTAGGTCTCACTGTACCATAAACTTTCCATCTATTTATAAGTTTAGGTGGATAACCATTCCCCAATAATGTCTTGTTTAACAAATTAACATCATCATCAATAGCGTCGTTTGTGTAAATACGATCAATCCTGTTAAATAGACATCTCATCGAACCCTGTTTGTATCGCAAAGGGCAATAACTATGATAACTAAGGTATTGGCCTGTGCAAGTTGGTTTTCGAAAAACGGATAGTTTGTTTGAGCCATCTTCTCGTCAATACACAGATTTAAGTAACTGAAGTCACTATAGATTCACTATCAGATATTCGAATTGTACTCAAATGGAAGACACTGGGAAGATTTTACGCATGAATGTTTTCATTAATAATTTCCGAGTTGGGGTCTCCATAGTTTTTTCTGAACTTCTAGGTCACTTGCGCCTAACAATCGGAGCAGTATTTGAATCGTAGGTCAAATGTCTTGAGATGGCATAGATACTAGGGCTTCGGTTAATTGCAACCTGAAGTTTGTTGCTTATATGTAAAAGCAATTCAATATTTTTGTCGTATTCAAATAATTTAATATTACTTTTGAGCAATAGAAAATCAAACAAACTCGGTCTAAGCCCAGTGAACGTTGATTATAATCTAAAGGTATACCTTTTGGGATTCGCTTACTTCTAAAACCAAGCCAGATAATTTAAATATTAGCCAGAACTGCTAAAAGCGGATGATATTTTGATCGTTATCCGAAGGTTTATACTCATTTTTGTGCATTGGACACTCATTTTGAATCGATTTATTTTGTGATGGGACTATAACTTCTGGACGACCTTTCAGCAATCACTGAGTAACTTTGAGCATATTGATCTACTTACTGTGGTTGTAATAGGGTTACACTCTAGAGCTAAGGTTTTTTTCGAACTGACTTAATACCACAATACCATAATGGTGTTTGGCTATATCGACTAATGAATTTCGCACCAAAATCCAAGCCTAGCCATTTTAGATATTGTTAATTCGTTTAAAAACTCTAGTATCGCTATCTTTTGTTCTGGTAAGCAACTACTTGGGCTCGAAGTACGATTGTGAGAGTCAAACTGTGCTCAGTTCGATCATGATATTTAAGTTGTTGTAGTGTCATGCCAAGTTATCACTTTAAAGCACAAGAGAGAACGTTATTGACAATCATTGTCTGACTGTTGTATTTATATAACTTTCTAACTAAGTATAGAACTGTAGTAATAAGTCAATACAATAACACTGAGAAATCCTCTGATTAGTTTGTTTCGTTCATTGTAAATTTATACACTTGGTTATAAATATCAATGTCTTTGTGCCTTCTTGTTAGTTTCATCTTTTCTGACAATTTATCAAACAATACATTCGGCACTTAAGCAGTGTTGCTTGTCATTGTTAATAATATCTGATAGACTAAGGATATTTGGAATTAGTATGACTAGCTTGATGCACGTATAATGAAAGCCAGAGCGGCTTATGCCAATCTGGACCATCTTTGGCGCCTTCGTGATGTTAGTCTGGCTGTAAAAAGTCGGATCTACAACGCGTCGGTGAGAGCAGTTTTGCTCTATGCTTGTGAAACCTGGCCTCTCCGAGTTGAGGATGTTAGATGTCTCTCTGTGTTCGATCATCATTGTCTCCGAAGGACTGCTGACATACAGTTGCAACACCATGTTAGTAATGCAGAGGTTCGGCATCGTGTGTTCGGGCGCAGAGATGATAATTCAATTGGTGTCACCATCTTGAAACACCGACTTCGGTGGCTTGAGCATGTTTTACGAATCTCGTCCCAGAGACTTCCACTTCGTGCATTATTTGCCGACTCTGGGACTGGTTGGAGAAAGCGGAGAGGAGGTCAGTGTATGATATGGTGTCGTGGCATGAAAGAAAGCTGCAAAGGGCTAGCTTCTGTTGGTCCTTCACAACTCCCTAGCTGGTGTCCGAGAGATGGTGCAACACAGTGGCTAGAGACGTTATCAGATATGGCTCAGAATAGAAGCCAGTGGCGATCCTGCTGCAACCTTCTTTTACTTTCTACATAAAGTGTAGTTCTAACTTTCTTAACTGAGAGAGCTCTTCTGGTTGTACACTTCAGTCCGCCTTATCTTTTCATCCCTTCTCCTCCTACTTTCATTATTTTGTGTGGCGCATATGTATCTGGTGCCCTTTTGTACCAATATGTGTGTGTTTTAAATAAAATAAAATAAAAAATAAGATCTCCACAACAAACGTAAATTAAATAAATGTTAGTACAGATACACAAATTTTCATCTAAGGACACACTTTCAAGCGACACAAAATTGAAAATCAACAAGTACGAACACAATCTGTCAACAATAAGTCATCATTCTACCTTACAATTGGCCTTTACTATCATTTGTGGAAAAACTCAAGATTTCTGGAACTGCTCTGGGAATCACTGACCAGTTGTGTTCCATAGGATAAGCTATTTTCCTTATCCAATGCTTTTGATGCGTTCCTAGTCTTTCAGAAAATAGATCTTAACTATTTAGAACCGGTACAATCGAACATGGGCGAGACTATAATTTATGGACGAACCAATCAGGCATAAGGTAAAATATCCCAAAATAAACTCATCCATTTGGATAAATAGAGTTTTGGCATTGTAGCTGATGTCAGTTCATGATGAAAACCCCAAATGTAATTCCTAACCTTAACCATGAACTGTAAATCACAATTCGAAGTCCTCACACAGGTTTATAACACTCATTTCGTTCTAGTTATTTTGTGAACACTCTCAAGGTCATTCTAGCGTCTCTCAAAGGTCGTCCATAAACTATAGTCTCACCTGAACATGTTCCAAAGTCTGTGCATCTAAGACGTTTCTTAACCATTCTTGTTATTCATAGTGGGCATTTTTTGGTTCACTTTGGCCTGCCAATAGTATCAAAGATGAGTGTCACGGGACCAAATCTACCGCTAGACTGAAGTCATGATTTTGGTTAAAGAGCTAGTACCATCCGGCCATTCCTTTGATATGGTACACTCTTTCATGGCTGACGTTTTCTCGCTACACATTTCGGCTAAGCTGGACATGACCATAGACTTTATCACAGGCTCTTGATATGAATGGCAAACTACACGATCGCTTTTGACAAATTTGTGATAGACCTGGAGATATTATAGTAACCAGATTGCCTATGTTGAAATTCTTCGCTTACAATTATTATTTATTTGAACACAAACATTGGTGTAAGGAAACACCACATACATATGCACCACACAATAACAGTAAGGCCAGTAGTAGTTATCATTGATTTGTGTGGGTACTGTGATACTGTGTGGGTGCTCAAACAAGGGCAGGTGGTTTTCTTAGGGGGCAACGTCACGAAATGCAGCTTCATGGTTGCCGATGACCAACAATTGGTTCATATACCATTTATTCCCTCTGGATCCTAGAACCCATATGGAATCAGGGTTTTCCAACTCAACTAGATGGATCCTCCATATTCAGTAACCCGGGTAAATCGCCGGACATTTACTTTTTGTCCTGTTAATTTAGTAAACAATACCGTTCATCACGAGAAGGCAGTGAGTAGAACTTCCGTGAGGGTAGCTGTATACGCGTGGCCATGTGAGACCATTTGAAGAGGGACAGTGGACTCTCCCCATCCTCGACTGTACCAGGGCGTTTAGGAGCAATGATCATTGAGTATCTGAGAGGCAAGTGTAAGCTTTATTATAAGAGAATTTTAATGCATCTTGAATAATAAATTCAAATCCATATGACATTTTTTCTCAAAATATTCTCATTCGTCCTCATAATTTGTCTTATAAGTAAAATTTTCACAAATGCACACATATGCCCTAGAATTTGTGCATTTTTTGGAGCAGCATCTCTGAACCAAGTCGTTCTCATCTTTCTGATGTTGGTCACTAAGACTAACATTGGTAACCATTTTCTTTATTTAGGGAAGAGATGTGCCAGTGGTTAATGAGTTTATATTTTTAAACATTGAATTATTGAAGCTTACGCAAAATATTTCCATTTTGGCAAGTGGTTATTATCGTGTGGCTTCACACAGGCGTGGCTCGTCTGGTTGTTTGATATGCCTACTGATTCTCTATCAGAATTCAAAATCTCGGCCCATAGCTGTCTTTTTTGGTTTTTGAAATCAGTTGACTTCGTGTATGTATCGCTTAAATACAATAGGTCATTGTGCATAAATTTATCAATCAATCCCCTGAACCTTATTCAAATCTTTTATTAACTTTTTTTAAATAGAAATTCCGCCCGACGAAATATGGTAAGTAATAAATTATAAACATTGTGCACTGTTTCAGACTCAGTCATCATACTTAATGGCCTTTATTCGGAGTCTCATGGAAAAGTTAGATATCCCATTTTTTACCTAGCAAATTACTTTCCAGTAGCTCCATGGACATCCGAGAAAAGAAAAGACGTCAACTTGAAAAAGATTTCACAGAAACAGGAGCTGTGCTTAACATATGTCTCACTGGTTTGTGTTTTATCTACATGAAAAATTGATCTAAATTTCTAGAAAAGTTTGGTGATGTGAATAAGATTTTGAACACTTATGGAATTGTTTCACAGCGTGTTAGGGGTAATTGTAACAGTTTCTCTATCAAATATTTCTAGATAACAAGACCTCTGTCGCTAAAATACAAAGGGATCTTATCGAGTGTAAAAGTTTGCTATATTGTAACAGGGAAGAACTAAGGAGACTGTGGCTGGAACTGGTGGAGCAGAGAAGATGCTTAGAGTTGGTGGATCAGTTAGATCGTCTTCGTTCTACCCCGGATGCATTGGGGTATTTAGTGACCGCTCGTGCGTGGTCTGAAGCTACTTCCCTAATGATCAACTCAAACTATATGCTTGAGTCGGAAATTGCCTCAATACCCGCAGTTCAAACACTGAAAACTGACCTGGCACATAAAAACAAGGTAATATCGGCTTTAAGTTTGAATATGATCTTAATATGTACAATTTAAACTGTTGGATTCATACAAATTTATGATCATCTTTGTTAACTTTTTTGGAGTCAACTAACCATATATTCAAATTTATTCTTCATGGAGTTTAAAGACGAGCTAAAAAGTTACTAGATCAATGACCCATGATTATCATAAAACCGCGATGTCTAAGAATCGATTTCTTGATGCGGAAGACGTGTGGTGTATGTCGACAGACATAAGTAGTATGTAACATCAATCAGAAGTGGAACGCCTGACAGCAGAATGTTGAGAATATCGAATTGAAGAGAACGGGAACAGAAAATAATTGTAATATCAATGAAGGGACGATGAAGTTTGAGACGATTGATGGAGGATTTGGGGGATGAGGTATTTAATGCATGGTTTGCACATTTTATGACAGAACTCTGTAATTTTGCATTAAACATTAAATTGGTTGTCCACACGTAAGTGTTCGTTCACAACAGATGTAGTAAGCCGGAGTTTCCCAAAAATGTCCTTTACAATGGTGGTTGTCGGTGATATATTGTTTAGGATGTTTGCCACACATCTGTTTTTAATGATTAGTTTTGCTAATCTCACTATTCATACGGTGACCTCAATATCCAGATAGCTATCAATAACTAAATATACTGTATAATAGATCACACTTGTTTACTGTTTTGCTGGGGCACCTTAAGTAAAGTTAGAGAGAGCAGTATTTTATTCATTCTTTGCAAACCATATTCTCTACGTTTAGTCTTCTTTCATTGATAATACTACTATCCCAACTTTTTTTTTACCTATTTTGTTAGTTTCACCACTTTGTAGTAATGTAGTGTATCAACATGAACTAATGCACATTTTTCTGAGATCCTACGTTGATTATGGCAGTGAATATAATAAGACCGTGGATATTGAACAGTGTATCTGTTACGAAATATTCACGAGTTGTACAGGAACGCTTAATGGTAACTTAGTACAAGTTTATGTACTCGGTTTTGTGCTACGCTGAAGAATGATGACATTGCTTGTCCAGATGGAAGTAGATAGGAAAGGGGTAATGGTTAAAAGTCGGAAGCTATAACCACTAAGTCAATACTTCACGAGCCTGAGTAGTGGTGTAAAGATTTCATCCAGAAAGTCGAAGTGGTCGATGGGTTTTATGAACTGAACTTAGTTAAAATTAACATGTTTTGTTCATTTTGAGCTATCAAATTGTTATATCCCCTGGTGAATTATGAATGGTAACTCCAAGGACTATTTATCGACCAATGTATTATGCGTATTTCCTATTGTACAATTGTTACGTAACTAAACGATTCATATTTGTGTTTCTCTTATCATGAGCTTTATTTTGATCTTTGATTTATTATCATACGATTCTTGAGTTATACTCAGTTATTGATTACTTTGTTTTGTATAAAAACCCATTATGTTTGTAAATAATGATTCATACCACTGAGGCTGTTATTGGTGTTTTGGACTTAACTGGCTGGGCTAGGCAGATCGCAGGACCGGTTAGCACTCTAGGCTGCTCGTACGGGTTTCGTGTCACTGTTCCAATCGAGAATTCGCTCTCCCTAATTGGCGGTCTCATCAAGTCACACATCAATTAGGCATCCACTCGGCCACAAGCATAACACAAATGTTGTCAGTAACAACGAACATTGACTTCGAATAGTGAGATTCCACAAGAAGAAAAGAAACTAAGAAGTATGAAAAATTGAGTATTTATTCAGTTAAAATCAAGAATCAAATAGTGTATCTATGATAACCTTTTTATATATGTTTGGCTTCAGTTTCTTATTGATGAACTAAGAAAAGAACTGAACCGTTTGCTCTATGATAAACCGTTTATTTTGGCTTTGGATATGCATCTTAGAAATTCTTCACGGGATAAATCAGTTCGCTCTCATTCTGAGTAAGTGTATCATTTTCTTTTTCGACTTTTGTCGACCTCTAATGCCACTTTTGTTCTTTTTATGTGATTTACAGTAGACATTTTCCCAATTAATTTAAAGGTTGGTGTACAGAAAGAAGTGGATCGTTAATGCACTCAATTCATGTTTCTCGATTCCTGTGCTCACAGTAAATTAAGAGATAGGTTAGTATCTAAACAAAACTATGCTTCTTTCAATCGTTGAGTCACAAGCTCCAAATACAGATAACTGAATATGGTATGTGGAGCCAGGTAATATCACTGGTCATCGTACCAGAAAATGTAGCCGAAATTCCACCACACCAAACTTTTATTGGTTGCCTAGTTGAAGACGAGTACATAAATCTGTAGACGGCTATTAGCTCACATAATAATAATGATTGCAGTTGAAATAAATATTACGGATATTGGTTTCTGTTTAGTGACCAAAGTAATATACTATAATTTTGGGGTCTGATGACATCTGTGGATCAGTTTTATTATTATTATTATTTGATTCAAAAGGAATCACTCGAAAAATTTATAGCTTTGTTTTAGGTTTATCAGTACTCATCATTGGGAGGCTTCTTCATCAAATGATAAGAATTCATGTTCTTTCTTATGTCCAACTATCTCTATTCATTGACTTATCTGAAAGTATTGCTCTGTATCTATTCTCAGTTGACCAAACAAAACCAATAGTAACGGTGGATAGTTTCGTTATTTTGATTTCAGTTTTTGTGATGCATTCATTTTGCATACTAACCAATCTGTTGGTCTAATCAGTGCATTTTGGAATCTTTTAGGTCACTGACACTAAACTATTAAGTATTTCGTTCTAATAAGATAGTTTATAAAGGTGGATTAATTTATGCTGTATAAGATTCATTTTGGAGAAATATTATACTTAGACGTACTGTGACGATTCTTTCAGATTTTAAGTCATTTCTGTCATGACCTACTGACATCAGTTAGGCTTAATCTTGTGTAAGCTTGTATCCGTGTGCCAGAATAGAGATTCTAAGACTTGGATGGGACAGTTATTCTCTGCTCCTTTGTTTCCTATGCTTCTTCAGTTAACTATTGGGCGGGATGGTGGCTCCATTATTATTTTCTAGTCTGTCACATGTAGGTCAGCCGGTCAGTCAGTCATAGGCAGTGTAAAGCCTGTCATATTTGTGTATCGGTTCAATTTGCCACGCTCTAATAACACAAAGAGAAGGATAGTTGAGGACAAATTTCAGAGTAGTATAAGTAGGGATATTATCACTAGTGGTAGAAAACATTAAGCATAGACAATATGATCCGAGAAGAAACGGTGAATTCACTGAATAAAAAGCCTAAAATAATTTTTAAACTCGACATGTTTGAGAAAACAGGACAAACGTATCGGCATCATTACAGTCCATTCTTAGCCATGTTCCATAGAATTTCTAACTTCTTGATACCTGTAGGATATCCAAATGTCGATTGATTGTCAGATATACAACAAGAAAGTCTTATTTTATCATATAAATAATAATCACTTCATTTAGCACTAAATATTTGATTATAGTATTTAACTCTCAGCACAAAATATACAATATTACCACGAATTTTCGTCTCATATTTATATTGGCTTGCGGTTTTCCAATCAGTATGTATTTCCTGTAGTTTTCATGAAGGATAAACGGGAATAAAAATATCCTCATCACTGATCATTCGCCTAAATTTTGTATTGATCAACTTAGAGATGAATTGCAAAGTTCTTATAAAATAACTCCAGTATATACGGTTAACATGGATAAGTCAAACCAAATTGAAAACAAGAAAATTTACTGTAATTTTCTCAAGTTTTCAGAAAATCGATGACTCAAAAGTTTGGGGAGTCCTTCCTGATTCTTTTGCCCAACAACCTCAGTATCACAATTAAATTGAAGCATATTTTCTTCCTTTTTGCCTTGTAATTTTGTGGAAGTTAAATAAATCTGCCCTTTGTATAGTTCTTATGAATTGTGTGATTGTTGTTCTCTAACTGGATCCATCGAATACGATATACGTCTTGTAAGAACGCAAACCTAATGCAACTAGCTAGATCGAACGACTAATACAAAATAAAACTTCAATTAAGCCAACCATACGCGAATAATAGAGAGAGAGGTAGGAAGAGAAGATAAAGAGCTTACATATTTCAACAAACGACAATTACATAAGCGAACATTACAAAATCAAAACAAGCAATAAAAATGTTAATTACATGTTGTCACATTACAACGGTCATAATACTTAAAGTTGTGATAGGTTACAGCATTGTCTCATTCGACTGGAGTTATTTACAATGTTTTCAATGTTAACCAGCTGCATCGAACCCAGGGGTTTCCTTTATTTTCCTGTTATTTGTCTTGTAAGTTATGCGTATGAGGGAGTAATTTTCGCCAAAGATTTCGTGTTTAGTGTCTGGATGGATCCGCAACTCTGCTATAAGCGTATCAATATAACACAGTCCAACGCACTTGATAAAAATCAAATTCACTAAAGGTTAAGGCTTGAAATAAAATCCCCAATACTAATAAAACTCATTTCCAATACTTTTTACCAAGGGAACCAAAGAATGAGTATAAGGGCTAGATACAACATACTAATTGAATATTAAAGAGATTCGTAGATAACTTCGATCATTTTATTCATTAAATTAATCTTTATTTTTCTGTTTTCTTTGTTAAATTTTATGTATAAATTCACATATTCATAGTTTACAAAATGTCAACTCATTGAATAAAGCGGCTGTTACACATTTTGTTAGTTTACCGTTATCTGATTGGTATAATGCATCAGTCAGTGAACCAGTAGTTGATGTGAATCTATATAAAGAACCTAGAACAGTAGCTACGGTGATTGCACGATCTACAGTAACAGCTTCACATCATGAAGATGACACGGTTGATCCGCAACAACATCAGCAACATAATGGTGCATTATCTCATTCTGATTGGATACGTGAAATTGTAGCTGTAACACATTGTCTTATGCGTTTGCAAAAATTACCACAGGTTAGACAGATTGTATTGTATTATTTTTATGCTAATTTTGGTTAAAGTATAAAATACTGATGGTCTTGAGTTGACCAATCGGAATTGATATGACACCAATTATTTTGCGCAAAGTTTAATGTATAGTGATAGATAACATGTGTTATTATTAACCAAGCGAAAATTGGCAATATTTAGTCCCTAAAACGTTTAAAATCAATGAAAATATCTATTATACAACGTTAAGGTGTATTTCAGATGGTACTTAAGCTAATTTATACGATATACCTTCCAAGTTAGATAGTGTATCTAATTACCTAATGTCATTCATTGCGTAATCAAAAGTTTAGTGAAGCTAGATAATGTTCACTCTTTCATACCCTCACTCTAAATAGGAACCCCAAGTTGCTCATGTTTTGTAAACAGAAGGGTCACAAAGCATTTCATCATAGTTGATGTCAGTTCATGATGTAAACCTTAACATTAATCTGTAAACCCATCTGAAAACTCCAGCTTCACTCTTAATACCTGATACTATCCATTTTGCATTATCACTGGTCTCAACTGATGACAAAAACTCTATGAGGCAATAACCTTGAATCATAACGCTAGCTCGATCCCTAATATCCAAAATATAACCTTTTCACTTTACTGCAAAGTATAATTCAACACATGAAGATTGATTCAGAACATATGGAAAGACGACAGATCTATCCTATTACGGAGCAGGATAAACAGCCATAACTCGAGCGCAAATTTCGATACTGTACACAACAGCTCTCTTCTCGTTTAGTCCTAACTACTCTAAAAGAGAAATCTTGTTAAGAAAGATTTGTTGGGTAAAGCTAAATAGGAGTCAGTTTACAAAACACTAGTTCAAGTATGTATAGATTAGTTACAATGATTATTATTCACCGAATTCATCCACCGATGAGTTGTCACTTAAAGGCATAACAACAGTTTATTGGTGAATACAATGAATCGCATCCCTTATAAAGAGCGGTCCAACGCCCCTCCCACCAACGGGTCGCTAAGTGACAAAACTAAGAGTAAGCGAGGGAGTTTAGTGGGTCAAACCTAAGCTAATAAATTCCCATTCCTTTGAAAATGAAATCATTCCTTGGCCAATAACATACATTTATCATTTAGGAGATTTTTAACTGACACATCATAGCCTTCTCATTTGGTGACTTTTGATTGTCTCACTGTGTCATCATTAAAAATCAATAACTAAGTTTCATACGGATGTCATCACTCTGATATCACCAAATGTACTTTACTAAGAAATATACGGTATAAATATAAAAACACAGGCTTACTGTGACTTGAAGACAAAGTAAAATATGATATCAGTTAGTAAACTAAATAAAAGCTTTTGATGTGGGTTTGTTCTCTGAGCTGGATGGCTTGGTCGTGGAGCTTTCATCGTCCTTCTGAACGAAACACTTCACTTTTACCCGAAGTTTATGCTGATGATGTCGTTCAGAAGGACGATGAAAGCTCCATGACTAAGCCATCCAGCTCAGAGAACAAACCCACATCAAAATCACCCACTTGGGCTACAAATCTTCACCATCTCTAAATAAAAGCTTATAATTAGGGGAATATAAAAATCCAGTAAACTAAGTGTTTGGAAAGTATACATTAGTAATGTAAAAATACTTTCAAAGTTTTATATTTTCATCGTTTTATAACAAACAGTTTAATATATCCCTTCTTCGTTCTAATTTTTTCTCTCAATAAGTATCTAGGTGATTGGCGTCCTCAATCGTATATTTCACAAATAGCTGGAACTGGTCATGTGTTTACAGCACCACTGATTCTAGGACAAGGTTTAATTGGTGAAATTCATCGTTCAATTGTTTTGAAATTAAGTAAAACAATTGAAAACAGGTAAGAAAATTAAACTAAGAAAAAAATACTGTACCTGTTATAGTTTACTTAAACTTCAAATCTCTTATGTTATTCCATGTGTAATTTGTCTGTCTTGTGAGAAAAGTACATATGGTCACGTTGGTGATGTAATCCATTCTGTATACTATTTTTATAGAGTAGTTTTCATTAAGAACTAGTGTAGTGAACAAAAACACGACTGGGAACAATCGAATGTATTTAAGCACAAATCACAAACTATCTTACTAAGATCTGATACAGCAAATAATTAATTTGCAAAATAACAATCAATTGTCTCAATCTTCACTGTTCCTTCAATTACGCTTCATTTCAGTTCTTTCCTTATCGGTCTTCTGTCAAAATACATTCTATGCCTGACCATCACCATATACTACTTATGAGCATATAAGTAGATCACACCACACTAGTATCATTGAACAATGATTATCAGTCATGGTGTTAATAAACAATACTATAGTAGTCTGAGCTTTATCGTTGGTCTGATTCTACCGGTCAAATTACTGTATGTTTGTTCGTCTAAATAATTTGACATCGTTTGTTTTTGGGTGGTATCATAATCTCTAGGTTAGATGGTTTAACTTCAGAGCTTTCATTGTCGCCTACGTCATGTCCAAGTAAGGTTTTCAGTTATTCCAAAAATGTGTTATATCGATTTTTTCTGACGGATTTGTTTGTGATAGGATGTCTTCGTAAGCTTTGTTGTCTTTATGTGTTCTTGTATTCGTGCTGATTTTTTTCGGTAGAGCTTTGATATGTGTTGATAAATTGAACTTATCGATGTATCTGTCGATTACTATCCTGTACATAGTACATATCACCAGTCCGTACAAATTCCTTTCTGATCTTAAGTGTCAGTATTCCGTCATATATACCTTTCCAATAATATTTTTTGAACCATATCTTCAATGTTTCATTGTTCTAATTATCACTGCTACTACATGATTGTGATCTCTTTTGATATCCATGCGTTTAGTTTCATTACATCATGCTAATGTAATATGGGAACTTGAGCTAATGCCAGGCATTATGTTGATGATTTCTATCTATCTGTTTTATTAACTGACTCCTCATAATTGAATAAAATGTTTTACACTGAGATGATTTGATTACGTTTAATAAGGAGTATTTGATGTATCTGGTTTTTCCCAGAATGTGATTCGTTTAAATTAGCTCGGATAAGTGAATGGTTTAATTGTCTTGCACTGTTTATATCTGAATCTTCAAGGATCTCTCGATTTCACAGTTGATTGACTTATTACAGATGAATTCATGCATTGTATTGAAATTCAAATATTATTATTTAAACACATAAATATTGGTACAAAGGGGCACCAGATACATATGCGCCGCACAAACCTCATTCGATTTGTGTGAGGGTTGTGATACTGCCCAGGTGCCAAAACCGACGCAGGTTGTTTTCTTAGGGGGCCACACCCGAGGCCTTTGACCTAAAGATCCGATACACAAGATAGTGGAGCATCGTGAGGAGATGCAGTCCCATGGTAGCCGGTGACCAACGATTAGTTTATATGCCATTTCTTCCGTCCAGATACTGGGCTCATATGCACCCTTGGTTTGAAATCAGGGTTTTCCAACTCCCCTAAGTAGACTTTCCGTGTCCACCAACCTGGTTAAAGCGCCAAATATTCCCTTTTCGTCCCCTCAATTTCGTAAACAACACCTGTGGCACGAGAAGGCAATGAGCAGAACTTCCCTGGTAGAGGCTGTATACGCGTGTCCATGTGAGAGCATTCGGAGAGGGAGAGCGGACTCTCTCCACTGTCGGCCGTACCGCGACATTTGGGGGCCAAATGCAAATATTGATTATACTGAAGAAATTTTGTAATACCCAAAACGATATTTAACACTAAGTTATGAAGTCTTTTACTGTTTATCTGTATCATGTACATAACTGATGATTTCCTTGTTCAATTCAATTAAAACAAACTCTAATCAATAGCTAAATACTTTAGGGAGTTCGTGATTTTCAAAGTAAATCGATCTTTATATTTCATACTTTGTTCTTCGATATTTTTTGTTTTATGTATTGACTTTTATCCTGTTATCAATATAGGGTTGTGGTGATTTGTTGAGTTTTAATTAAGATCATGAACTTTTCAATGTTAGACCAACATTGAAAACTTGGAAGCACTGAACGGCTGTTTCGTACTAGTATTCGACTCTTGTTATTGTCATCCTTTCAACTTACTGACTTATCATTATTTACACTACTTTAAACAGGTTTTTGTTAGGTGTTACCGATTGCACTGATGTAAAATGTCATAATCCGAATCATTATATGTTAGAATTTACAGTTTGGCTTTGTTTTCTTTTTCACAAAAACCCTTTTCCATACAGAGCAATTGCTCAAAATGATACTGTTCCATTGTCAGAAATTAATTCACCTAGATATTTGATCAAATTGTTGGAATTAGTATTTGATGCTTTATTTATGCAAGCTAGAGCATGTCTTCTTGTTTTACGTACTTTAAATGGAGCTAAACAGGTAATAATTTTCTTTTCTGTTTTTTCCTTTTTTTGTTTATTATCATTCATTTGGTTTATTTTAAATTTTATTTTACAAATTACTGATTGTATTATAACGGGAGAATAGGGATTTCATTGATGCTATGCTAGACATTAGGTACTTGTCCACGTGAGACACACTTTTGGATTCCGACTAGCGGTCAAAAGACAGTTATCAATAATAGCAACGGATAACGGCATAAATATTGAGCGGAAACAGGAAAGAAGCAAAGTTGTAGTTTACAATATAAAATAGCCTATTATGTCTGTGACTTATACAGATATATCAGTCTATAATCAATAGCCAATCATGGCTAATGCTGGACGGACACATTAATTTTACACCTGGTTAACTACTGTATCTCGTTGATAGCTTGTGTAAATCTTGTCGCATTTCACTTTTTTCCACAATCGCAATCGGAAAATGAGTTTTTTTATTCAACGGAAATATCTATGGTGAATACAGCTTGGGTTTTGCAACTAAATAACTCAGTTCTACAGAAAATGGTTTAGTAAACTATTATTTCTAAGTACATGGTAACTAATCATTCATTACAAATCTGATGATGATTTACAGCCTCATCAGCCTGTTTATTATTTCTTATCTAAGATCCTATCTTCAACATTTCATCAGTTCTCACTTGTGTCGATTCCACTGTATTCAAGCAATTCTGTTTCAAGTTATGAATATTTTAATGTTTTCTTGTTTACATTAATTAGTTTTGTGGTGAACAGAACACTGGTTGGGGACAATCGAATGTATTTAAGCAAAGATTACAGACTATCTCAGTAAATTCTGAAAACCATACAATGTACAGTCAATTTGCAAATTAACAACCAATAGTCTCGATCTTCACTGTTTCTTTTCTAATTCCATTATTCGTGCATTTTCCTACCGATTGCGCTTTGTTTCAGTTCTTTCGTCATCGGTCTTCTGCCAAAATACATTCTATGTCTGACCCACACCATATACTACATATATGGATATAAGTAGATCACACCACAGTTTCAATACAGTGTTGATCTTCTAAGCAACTTTTGTTGACTGTTTTTGCTTAGCGTCTTTAAATAATTATTCTTATGCCATTCTTTCTCTTGCCAAGAAACATATCAGGTTTTCAACAGAATTACAAGGTTTGACTACTCAATATATCTGGTCTTGTGTACAATATGAAGTAAGTAAATAGCCCAACCATTTTCTTTTTGATCTGATTTTTTGTTAAGCATGATATAATAGGTTGAATCAAGCAGTAATAAATAGAAGCTTACATATACGATTTGTACAATGAATGTACTATTTAGATAGTGTAGAAAATGAATAACTGGGATCGTTTAGAGTATGACTTCAAGCTGTTTCACTGCATTGTTGACCCATAATTTTCTCAAATTTTCAGTGTTCACGATTTAAACAAGTTAGCTGATTACTGTCATAAAATTTTTTAAATTTTATTTAAACACATAAATATTGGTACAAAGGGGCACCAGATATATATGCGCTGCACAAATCTCATTTGATTTATGTGAGGACTGTGATACTGCCCAGGTGCCCAAATTGAAACAGGTGGTTTTATTAGGGGATCACACCCAGAGCCTTTGACCTAAAGATCTGATCCACAAGGCAGTTGCGCAGCTTTAAGAGACGCAGTCCCATGGTGGCCGGTGATCAACGATTGGTTTATATGCTATTTCTTCCGTCCAGATACTGGAGCCCATGTGCACCATTGTTTTGGATTCAGGGTTTTCCAACTCCCCTAGGTGGACTCACCGTGTTCACGAACCCGATTAAAGCGCCGAACATTGGCTTTTCGTCCTCTCAATTTCGTAAACAACAGTAATGCCATGAAAAGGCAGTGAGTAGGACTTCTCTGTCAGAGGTTATATACGCGTGACCATGTGAGAGCATTTGGAGAGGGAGAGCGGACTTTCCCCACTCACGGCCGTATCAGGGCATTTTGGGACTATAAAAAAATTAAATGTAATAAGGGGGAATTCGAATAATTATCTTAAATCTAGTTTAGTAATTTCTCAACTACCAGTATAGATTATGGCTATCGTATTGTTACAATATTTTTCACGGATTATAGCAGTTTTGTTAAGCGATCAAAAGCAGTCGCCAGGGAACTTTGAACTTGCGTTTGCTCCAGGTTGGCATTCATCAGAATAAGTTGTATCTACCATCACGTCTTAATTGTTTCTCCTTGTTGAATTCAAATCCACATCATCTATTGTCACAGAAAAAGACATTATTTGTGGGACTTACTTACTTACTTACGCCTGTTACTCCCAATGGAGCATAGGCCGCCGACCAGCTTTCTCCAACCCACTCTGTCCTGGGCTTCCTTTTCTAGTTCTATCCAGTTCTTGTTCATTCTTCTCATGTCTGTCTCTATTTCTCGGCGTAATGTGTTCTTTGGTCTTCCTCTTCTCCGTTGACCTTCAGGATTCCATGTGAGGGCTTGCGTTGTGACGCAATTAGCTGATTTCCTCAAGGTGTATCCAATCCACTTCCAGCGCTTCTTCCTGATTTCTTCCTCTGCTGGAATCTGGTTTGTTCTCTCCCACAGTAACTTATTGCTGATAGTGTCTGTCCAGCGGATCCGAAGTATTTTGCGTAGACAGCTGTTGATGAACACTTGTATCTTCTGGATGATGGCTTTCGTATTTCTCCACGTCTCCGCCCCATACAGTAGAACTGTCTTGACATTTGTATTGAAAATTCTGATCTTGGTGTTGGTTGACAATTGTTTTGAGTTCCAGATGTTTTTCAGTTGTAAATATGCTGCTCTTGCTTTGCCGATCCGCGCCCTCACATCTGCATCTGATCCACCGTGTTCATTAATGATGCTGCCCAGATATGTAAAGGTGTTTACTTCCTCCAAAGTTTCTCCGTCAAGTGTAATTTGATTGGTGCATATTGTGTTGCATCGAAGAGTCTTGCTTTTCTCTTTGTTTATGTTGAGACCTACTGTTGCTGAGGCCGCTGCTACACTGGTCGTTTTCTCCTGCATTTGTTGTTGCGTGTGTGATAGAAGAGCCAGATCATCCGCGAAGTCTAAATCGTGAAGCTGCATCCTGCCTGTCCACTGTATCCCGTGGTTTCCTCCAGATGTTGACGTCTTCATGATCCAGTCGACTACCAGGAGAAAGAGAAAGGGTGAGAGTAGGCAACCTTGCCTAACACCGGTCTTTACTTGAAACGAGTCGGTGAGTTGTCCTCCGTGAACGATTTGGCAGTTTAGTCCATCATAGGAGTTCCGTATGATATTTACTATCTTCTCAGGCACGCTGTAGTGTCGAAGAAGCTTCCATAGTGTCGTCCTGTCCACGCTATCAAATGCCTTCTCGTAGTCGATGAAGTTGATGTAGAGAGATGAATTCCATTCGATTGATTGTTCCACAATGATCCGCAGAGTTGCGATTTGATCTGTGCACGATCTATCCTTACGAAATCCAGCTTGTTGATCTCGAAGTTGGGCGTCCACGGAATCCTTCATCCTGTTTAACAATACTCGGTTGAAGACTTTTCCCGATATTGAGAGAAGAGTGATGCCCCTGTAGTTTGCGCACTTACTCAGATCGCCTTTCTTTGGTATCTTGATCAGAAGTCCTTTTTTCCAGTCTGTTGGTACTTGTTCTTCGTCCCAAATCTTACTGAAGAGGATGTGGAGTATCTTGGCAGTTGCTGTTACATTTGCTTTCAGTGCCTCTGCCGGGTTGTTGTCTGGTCCCGCTGCTTTGCCACTCTTGACTTGTCTAATGGCCATGCTGATCTCTTCAATTGTTGGTGGGCCAATATCGATTGGGAGGTCCGTGGGTGCTGCTTCGATGTTGGGTGGGTTCAGTGGAGCTGGTTGATTCAAGAGTTCTTTGAAGTGTTCTACCCACCTGTTTCGTTGTTCTTCAATATCGTTGATTACTTTGCCTTCCTTGCTTTTCACTGGTCTTTCTGGCTTACGGTAATTTCCAGCAAGTTTCTTTGTTGTATCATACAATTGTCTCATGTTTCCTTCTCTTGCAGCCTTTTCCGCTGTCGTTGCTAAATCTTCAACATATTTACGTTTGTCGGTTCTGATGCTCCTCTTCACTTGCTTGTTTGCCTCTGTGTATTCGGCTTGTGCCTTGGCTTTTTCCGCTCTGGTTCGGCTGATATTGATTGCTGCCTTCTTGTCCCTCCTTGCTTCAATCTTATCCAGTGTACCAACAGTGTTCCATTCCTTGTGATGGTGCTTCTTTTGGCCCAGAACCTCTTGACACGTTGAAACGATTGCCTCCTTGATACCTTTCCAGTTGCTCTCCATGGTAGTCCCCTCTCCATTGAGTAGATCATGAAAGGCCTGGAACCTGTTGCTGAGGGCTATGTTGAATTTGTTGAGTTTGTCAGCATCTCGAAGAAAGGCCTTATTAAACCTTTGTGATGTCCGCGCCGTTGTCCACTGCTTCTTGAGTTCTGGTTTCATCTTGGAGACCAGCAAATGATGATCGGATGCTATATCAGCTCCTCTTCTGGTTCTCACATCGTCCTCCTGAACTTTTTGTTGATGCAGATATGGTCGATTTGATTCTGTGTAGTGTGATCCGGTGAAATCCAAGTGGCTTTGTGTATGTTTTTGTGTGAGAATATGGTGCCACCTATGACCAGTTTATTGAAGGCACATAGGTTTGCAAATCTCTCACCATTTTCGTTCCTTTCTCCCAGTCCATGTTGTCCCATGACGTCTTCGTATCCAGTGTTGTCCTTTCCAACCTTAGCATTGAGATCTCCCATCAGAATTGTCAAGTCCTTGGTTGGGCACTTCTCGACGATCGACTGCAGCCTATCGTAGAATTGGTCTTTAGTGTCTTCATCGTAGTCATTGGTAGGCGCATAGCATTGGATGACGTTCATTGTAATGCCCTCTCTCTTTGTTCTGAAGGAGGCTTTGATGATCCTTGATCCATGAGATTCCCATCCTATAAGTGCATTTTGTGCTTTTCTGGACAGCATCAATGCAACTCCTTGTGTATGTGGGGCATTTTCTTCTTCATGACCGGAGTATAACAGAAGTTCTCCTTAAGAGAGTCGTTGTTGTCCAACCTGCGTCCAATGTGTTTCGCTGATTCCAAGAACCTCCAGGTTGTATTTTCTCATTTCTGCAGCAATTTGGAAGACTCTTCCGGTCTCCCACATTGTTCGGACATTCCATGTACCTGTAAAAAAATTGTCGCTCTGGTTGTAAGAAGGTGCATCGGCCTCATGACTTCCGAAGGAACTCGGCTTTCATCATAAGACGTCATAATTATTCCTTCTACTCCCAGGGCAGATTTTGAAATGTTTGAATGATTTTTTCTGGTTAGCGTTTTTTTGGCGAGTTGATTTTCTACGGGATGGGGTCGCTAACCCCATGCCCAACCCTCCTCCTTTACCCGGGCTTGGGACCGGCAGTAACCCCCAGGCGTAGTTATTATTTGTGGGAGTTCATACAATATTAAGTCAGTTGAGTAATTGGCCAAATTACAACTTCATTGGTAAGATTCGATCAGTATTAATGAATAGACAGATAATTTTATCATCTTAAAACTTTCTTCAACTGAAAATTTTCTTATATTCCTGATCTTTTAGTTTGGAAACCCTTCAACCTCATCAATCAACTATTTTGGTTTCAAGATACAGTTATTCACACCATTTTCTATAAATTACACATTAACCAGACTTATTTCATTATCCTATTTCTTGTTATAGGTTTATTGTATTTTATTAACACATTTAAATAATATTTCACCAAGTGAATTAAATGAATTATCTCTTTCATCAAATAAAAATGGTTTACTTAAATTACAAGCACGAACTATTAGAGATACTACTATTAGTGGAGGGGATATTACACCAGGAGGTGATAATGCTAGTGCTTCATTAAATCTAACAAAAGTGGATTTAAATACATTAATGGGTCGTAAAAGAATTGGAGCATTTAATTTTGCATCAATAACTACAAGTTCAAACAATAGTAATAGTACCACTGCTTCTTCTACTTCTACTACTACAACTACTACTACCAATACTATTAATGCTAATTCTACCATTAGTACTCCTGGAAATACTACTAATACACGAGATTCTCATTCTGTTATTAGCACAATCTCAGGAAATGTTTCGTCAAATCACATTGGTAATATTGGAAGTGGAAACTTCACTAATACAACCGCTGTTACTAATCAAGGTCAAAGTAATGTGCCATTATTTAGCTTTTCTAATTCATCACATTATCTTGGAATATCTTCATATTTATCAGAAAGTCGTGCAATGGTAAGTCTACAAAGTGTATTGGGTTACTGTAATAACAGTTTAACTAAAACAGTTCATAAGAGTGATTCGAACGTATGGTACGTTAAATAATATTAGTGTCTGTTAGGAAAAATTCAAAAACCTAACATGCTTTTTGAGCAGCTAATTACATATCGAAACTGACTCAGTAGCTTACTGAACAACTCTCTCAAATTTGAATCACTTGTTCCTGAGTTCAACATTCATTGTAAATGTCAATATTGTAGTCCATATGTATCCAGTTGATAAATCAAAATAAGACGAAATGTACTGTTTAGTTTACACTACTATCCACTATATAAACTGTTGTAGAAGTTTAAATTCACTTAGTATTGTTTGTTTGAATCTTCCCATTGATGTTTAGGACTGCAACTGGTCAGTCTCTAATTGGCATATGTGCATATTGTACGTATTCCCTCGATATAGCTCTAATTCACAAGCATTGTAAGCAAAGATGGTTAGTGGCTAGCAGTGGAATCCACTTGCACAACCAAGTGTCTATCAGGACTCAGTGGCCGAGTGGATAACACGATGGCGTTTAAAGCGAAAGGTACTGGGTTCGAGTCCCATAGTAAACATCAACTCTGAGATGCAGGTACATCCATCTGACGAGTCCCAAATAAGACGGAACGCGCGTCCTGGATTCTACTGCTAGCCACTATCCATCTTTGCTTACAATATTGTAGAAGTTTGTTTTTAACTTATTCTAATTATTTGTAATGTATTAAATGAAATTTTATCAATAATGATCACTATTGAGAACATCTGATAAAAGGTTATTGAGATTCATTCATTTGTAGATAGTAAACATGTCATGTGATAATAAGTACTTTACATTGGAGCCTAGTCTTATTGTTCTGTATGTATCATACTGCTACAAGGATACAATGTTTATTATTCTCAACTTTTTATAAAAATACATGTGTAAATTAGTTGAAGTGACCTATATTTAATTTTCTTGTATAGGTTCATCGATTGGTAATAAGTAGTATGTTAGTTTCTGGAAACTCTAGGATTCGGTTTAGTGTTAGACGATTAGAAGCAGTTCTTAAGATACCTTGCACCTAGGTTTCGTGCTCGCTGGAACTCATCAGCGAAGCTTACTCAGAATTTTGAGGAAAATTGTACTTCCTGTTTGGTTCAACCTGGGTTACCTAGTTTCACAGTTTTAGATCTACTGGAACCATAACTGAAGTCCTATATTAGACTGAGTTATATGCATTGACTAATAATTGAGTAGTGGCCAGTATCATGTGTATCTAGTCTTTAGTTTAATGCTTGAAATAATAAGCTCTCCCTCTATCATAAAAATCAATCCCATCACAATAAACTTATTAATGCATTAAAATGGATATTTCTCAAGATGCTCTATTATAAACGGTAAAGATGAACATAGCTTTCACGAATTTTACAGATTTCTTTAATTTGCAAAAAATATAAGTTAGGATTTATTCTCCATCTCTATTGTTAACGGATTGTCTGCACGTAATTAAAAACATTGAAACAAACTTAGGTGAAGATGGTTATTATGAAACCTGAAAGTCATACCTCGTATCTTAAGGTGAATATTTCTTAAGAGTCGCTGAATAAAAATATTAGTTAGCTGCTACCTACATATTAAAGTACTAGCCTGTGAGATAGTCTTTCTACTCGAAAAACACTAGTTGAGTTAGAGCTTATCGGGAACTGTCACCAGAATTACTAGCATCAACTGTCGTTCGTTAGGATTGTTCACTTTTCCTATTTTTATTTGAATTTACTATGGACATTCATCTTGAAATAACACTTTCTGGAACTAATCTCCTACTGGGAGATTCACTTATTATGGACTTAAAATACCTGTATGACAGTCTTGCTTGGTGAAGATGCTGGCAGAATCCAGAGTCTTTTTATCTCCCTGATCAACTGTGCTAGAATGTTTGAGATGCTTTTCTCTCCCTCCAAATCCAAAATGTCGCTTCGGGATTGATGTGCCAATTCCTAAACTGATGATAGGCAATAAAGCAATTGAACGCAGCAACCGCGTCACTTTTCTTGTAAGTTCCGTCAGGTCTAATGAGTTAATGTCTAATGAAATCTCGCCACGGTTTGGAGAATCTCGATTAAGTTTTTCCGAATTACATCACTTGTGGTGTAGGCGAGATATATCTGACAACTGAAAGATAAGTTTACTGCGCAGCAGTTCATTCTATTCTACTTTATTCATGTAATACGTGATTGACTTTCAAAAATCCTACCAATCTAACATTTTCCTTGATAATTTTAAATTCCCATGCCAATATGGTCCGGTAACTTGAACCGATAAATGTATATGTGACAGGTTCCATGTTGCCGCCTAGTGTCAGCTTATGGTCATGTAGATGGGACACCAACTATATAGTTTAATCAAGCAAAACCTTTTTAAGTCATAGTTGTTAATCTGCATTTATTTATCCAGGATTTTCAATTTGACTATTATTTTTCCCAATCAGTCAGGTTTACCAGGTGTTGAGACTCAGTCTGGACAAAATCTCACAGAGAAATCAGCTCCGATTTACCCATTAGCTTGTCGACCATCTGGTGATAATATACTAAGTGTATATAAAATGGTTATGGAATTCATTGAAGCTGTTGAATGGGAAATGATCAAATATACTGAATGTTCTGATCTACATTCTGTATCCTCTACTCATTCGTAAGTTTGAACTATTGTTCTTCTACATTATATTGGTTTTACACTAATTAATGGTGTATTTTTAATATAAATGTATCGTTTTGATTGATAGAAATACGGTAATCAGTCTAAAGGAGATTAGGTAACGGAAAACCTAATCCACATCTGGACGAACATCTACAGAGTAGGGAATATCTGCTTCACTGTCAAAGAGAAGGTCTTCTGCCCGAAAGCTTTTTCGATATTATTTAGCAGTTTCGAAAAAAATTTGTTGGAATTAGAAGATAAGCATAGTTTTTTTAATCCATAAATTCCCACATGATTGTCTATGTTATCAACATTTCTGTTTGTATCTTTGCTTTTCCAATTGTTGATTTAATCATACCTTAAAGTGAGCCAAATTTAGAATGATGCATTTTTGAAATGATGTAAATGTTTTTGAACTAATAATCAGGCGTTTAAGAAAATCAAGGTGCTTCCGTAACATGATCAATATGAGACAATAAACAGTTAACTTTATACCGCTCTCCCTCTCCAAATGCTCTCACATGGCCACGCGTATATAGCCTCTGCCGGGTAAGTCCTGCCCACTGCTTTCTCGTGGCAGGGGCGTTGTTTAAGAAATTGAGAGGACAAAAACCGAATGTCCGGAGCTTTAACCGGGTTGGTGGACATTGAAAGTCCACTTAGGGGAGTTGGAAAACCCTGATTCCAAACCGATGGTGCACATGGGCTCCAGTATCCTGAGGGAACAAATGGCGTACGAATCAATCGTCGGTCACCGGCTACCATGGGAGTGCATCTCCTCACGAGGTTCCACTGTATCGTTGATCAGACCTTTAGGTCGAAGGCTCCGGATGTGACTCCCTAAGGACACCACCTGTTTCGGTTTGGGCACCCGGGTAGTATCACAGCTCTCACACAAATCAAATGAGGTTTGTGTGGCACATATGTATCTGGTGCTTCCTTGTACCAATATTTATGTGTTTAAATAAATAAATAAATAAAATAACTTTATGCTGTACATCATAATCTCTAAAAATATTCTTTAAATGTTTTTTTTATCATTTCACTTTCAGTAATACAGACCATGATTATCGTCAACAATGTCAATTACGTACACTACTCAAAAGTTTCATTGAAAATATTTATCTTCCTGGAAAACTTTCTTCTCTACGTAATAAACTTCAGAAATCAATCAATTGTAAGTTTACGTTTTCATATTGTTCTTGTGTCAATGTAAGTTAATTCAATTTCTTGTTATATATAATACTTAGTTGATAGATCTCAATCAGGAATGAATGACTAGTCAAGCATAATATTGGTTATTACTTAACAATCAATGAATTCAAAATATATCAGTACCCACAGGAATTCAGTCGACGTCCAACTTACTCAATAGTGACATCTGAAAATATGAAGCTAAGTGATACAGGTTTGAATCAGTTCGCTCAAGATTACTGACCTCTGCTAGCTAACACAAATTGGAGGTTCAAAGTTCTCTCCCGACTACTTTCGACCACCTAACACTTTACACTTTACTTGGTTTTGCAATGTTTTTGTCAATCGTTTAGCTAATATGACACTCAGTTTTTTAGAAGGACACCACAACACGTAAAATAAAATCATAAGCTTTTGGCTAATTTTTATCTATAAGCATCAAGCAAAGGTTTAAGTCCTCACGAAATATGCTTCGAACTCTCTCATTAATGACAAGCATATATACATGTAATTTTGCTTGGTTTCTTATTTTACATCAATTTGAAGGAAAAGTATCGACATGCTCCTTTGGTTATCACCGCTAAAAAAATCTGAAGCGAATCTTCTCTATGTGAAATCAACCATTCTGTAGATATTTTGAGACTAATCCCAAGTTGTGATTGATACCAATATAGTCACTGTAGTATGTTGGGGCTGCATGTAAACTTTTGTGATATTATCTTCTTAGCAAATCACTCACTCGGAAAGTGATCAGACTAATATTGTGTGGTATACAGTCAAAATACAAACTTTCATTTGATTTCATGCAACTTTAGTATTTCAAAGAATTAAGTAATTAATTGTGGAGAGTCAGTCTTGTTTCATTTATTTCTAAAAGTCATGGTGAAGGAGTTCGAGCTGAATCACTATCAGAGGTATGTTAGCAGTTGTCACTATTCTGTGCAGTGATATTTATTATTAATAGACTTACAAAGCAAACTAGGGGAGTATTGATTTTTACAGCCTGGGATCGTGACTGCAAAACACAAAGGATAGCTGATTGGTATCTGATACACATCACCTTTTTGTAAGTAGTTTCATATATGATAGCTCTATAAACACCAGAAATGTATAATGAAACAGTGTTCTGTTTTAAGGATTGACTTTTTTAACCCCTTTTTGTTGTGGTAAGGTGGCATCGTTTGAGATTTTGTCATTCATTAGGTAAACCTTACTTTTCAACATACCTCAGTATATAATTCGTTGAGATTCCTCCTTCGGGTCTTAAATTCAGTGCTTTTCGTCTCATCAACCTCTAAACAATACACTTGAAATCTTTAGACCTTAAAGAACAAGTGTTCCAGCTGATATACTCCAACTAGTTCGTCAAGAAAGTCGACCTCAACCATCGCGTCAAGGAAGCAGCTAAGAACTCAATACTGAGATTAGTATTATTTTTTCTAAATTTTGAAGAATCATTGAATCTCCTAAAACTCATTTTTGTTTTAAACTGCGATTTAATGTAATTTTAACTGTCACAGCGCCGGACGTTTTAACATCTGTTGTATCTCAACAAACTGAACGTGAACTGAATCTCAACAGACCAGTTCTTTTAGTAAGTATTTTCTCATTTTATTCAACATTGTTTTCTCTGTATTTTTCACTCACGATCATACTCATATGTAGTACACAAACTAAATTTTATACTGTACTCAACTCATTAAACGATTAGATACATGATACTTTCCGATTAATTATGAACAATATGGTTTTAAGTTGTCTAAATATACTCAAGTTGAATTTCATGGAAACGCCATTTAATTATCTAATTACTTGACTTTCAACAAGTTTAAGTTCACTATTGCTTTAGGCGTTTCTTATTCACTTGTGACTATAAACCCAACCATGTAACTAATTCCAACACTTCATCGAAGAAGTGGAAGTACTGAGTAAACCTGACCAAAGTCTATATTACACTATGTTACAACAAATGCAAAGGATAGGATAAATATATATTGCAAGTTACATATATCTCATTATTTCCATCTTTATGGAAAGTCAACCAATTACCGTTATGTGTTTCTTACTAAAAATCTACTAGATATCATGTATCAAAGCTGTAAACCACTGAAAACTGAGAACATTTGGCAGGTCTTTTGTCCTAGTTTGCAACTCTTCAGGCAATAGAACACTCGTGATAATATATGGGGTTAAGTTTAGAACTTTCAGATCTCGGTGTGTGAGGTTGACTCTATAGGCTAGGCCGTGTAAGTAGATGCAAACTACCTTGTTGTGATCTGCACAGTTGTCGTAACCAATTGTTGGATATGTTGACTGATATCGATCAAAATAGGTCACAATGATGTAGGACCCTTGAATAATATCTTCTATGCCCTAAGTTTCCTACTATCAGTGACATTGTTACTGCTTCTATTACTCTTGCATTTGTCTTAACACTTTCATCTTTTGTACTGATATCTTGTGGTAACTTGAACTAACTCAAGTGTGTCATTTTCCCATTAGTTATTACTGACTAACTTACTGAACCTATGAACTGCTAATGGTAACATATTCGTACCACAAACTTTGGTGTTTTAACCTTTCTTTTCGATGAACTTTTTGACACATGTCTGCTAAATATCCTCGAGCTTCGCCAAAACTTCTATTTGGTTTTTGATAATTCCCCAGTTGATATAAATCGTCATGAAAAAAAACTCAGCTTCTACTAATTTCTTGATTGTTAGTGAATATAATGAGTTTCAACCTACTACAATGAAATAGTGATCCTCTACTCTCAACTATTCTTTATTTCCTAAATAATTTATTATTATTATTAATATTATCAGAAGGGGTATTGTGAAGATTTAGTATTTTTCATAGTTGAAGTCAGACATTAACACCGGTAGATGCCGGCTCAGTGGTCTATCGGTTAAGTGCTCTGGCGCGAGACTGGTAGGTCCTGGGTTCGAATCTCGCGAATGCGGGATCGTGGATGCGCACTGCTGATGAGTCTCATAATAGGACGAAACGGCCGTCCAGTGCTTCCAGGTTTTTCCATGGTGGTCTAGCTTCAATCGACTCACGCTTTCAACTATGAATTATCAGTATAGTTTACTGTGAATTTTTGAATAATGGTATTAGTAAAATATCTTTCACTTAATGTTAGTGTTCATTTTGTGACAACCTAGATATTTTATATGAAACTGTGATACTACTAAAACAGTATACTTTCTCGTTTTTTAAAAATAAATAGATTGTTTACGTCGTGGACCAGTGTTTAAATGAAGTAAGAAAGATGTGTACCGCTTTACCAGAGTTTGCAAGTGGTTGTTTGCACATTGGTCTCACAATTTTGGAAGATTTTACCACTGCTATATGGAGGCTTTATAAAAGTAAGTAGTAATTGTAAATCACTCAGTTGCAGAATGATGTGTATAAATTTATGCATAACTGATTAGAATAAAACACGGTCTCAGCTTCTTAACAATATATATATATATATAATTTTGGTTTGTGAAGCAGTACGAAAGCTTAAAGCTGTCAAACCAAGATAATATAACGATCCATGAAGCCACTAACTGTTAGTCTGAACCATATCAAGTTGTGGTTTACACGATAATCCTGAGCAATCTTTGGGGACCTCAGGTGGTGACGTGATACTAAACAAGTTTCAGTGAATCAGTTGCATTTATTCTCTGTTATCTTGTAAAACTGTAAATCGATTCCATTCGTTACTTTTTTTGAACCGTATTTTGTATGTTTGAATTTTTGACTATCATATTGATCTACTTTAAGTGATAATTGATTCGTGAAAGACATGTTTTTCTAGTTCTTGATGCTGATCGAATCCCACTGATAACTTCGCGATATGATCACCAGTATAAGTGAATCAATATCATTTGCACTATGTTTTAGTATTTAGTGATTTGAGGTAGTCAGCAGTAAACTGTCCATTCACTAATTAACCAGTTTTAAACACTTCAGTCTGATTGAAGGTCAGTCGTGACACAAAATACTCAATAGTATTGTCTGATATTGTAGGTATGGCTCCCGGGCAAACGTAAGCTAGCCCCAAACCTAGATCAAGAGCTTGTTGCAGACTATCTCTAACCAGCTAACGTTATATCACTTCTACATCGTTACAATTCGTCTTGTTAGTTCTTTTTTCACTATGGTGGTGTATTATATCATCTCTAGGTCTTCCTATGTTGTCGATGACTAAACTATTGATCTGATAACATTAAATTGAGATAAGACGAAAAATATCCAGTTTAACTTAAGCAAACGGTTAATTGTTACATTAACCAAGAAAAATGAAGTTACATTTTACTGAATCAACAAAATACAAAGCAATTGTACCAAGAAAATCACAGTTACTTTTCAATAATATATAATTGGCTCATGTAATTATCACAAATAGTTCCTATGTCAAGAGAAATAGTTTTAAAGCTAGTCGAGCTTGTCAATCAGTATTGAGTTATGTCTCACTCATCATTTATTCTCATTATGTTGTTATATTTTTCGAGATCAGTACTACCATAACTCACAGAATACACTACTGTGCCTTCTTTTTGTCTCATATTTATGAAAACGTAAAGTCTCACATCTACACCATGTAAATTAAAACAAAAGGTAGTTTGATACACATTATCGAATTCGGAATTCATTCACTACCTTGGTTTTATCAGTCCATATATTTTCTCCTTTTCTTATCATTAAAAATCATATTATGGGGACGACAAGATAGGGGTGATATGGGATTATAATCAACTGTTCGTCATGCTACATTGAGGTCTTCTTAAAAATTAATAAGCATTTTTTTCTGTTTATCTCCTGTATTTAAATGATAAGTAGAGAAGTTCATAATCTATTTACTTTATTTGTCTAATAAACATGTGAATGGAAACATTACTCTCTCTCTCTGCATATATATATATATATATATATATATAATGCCTGATGTCTATACATAAGTTGATTAAATCTGTCGTTCTGTTACCCTTTACAGAACAACAATTGCATGTCAGTAGTATATGTATATATAGTCAGTAGTACTAGACGAACTATAGCTTTATTGTTAGTTTTTTATTTTCTATTAACAGAAGTATTTTGTATTTATATGTATATATCATGAAGAAAAATGATACATGCAGGTAGTATAGTCGCCTTCCTTTATCTTTTGCAATGTTTCTTTTGTTTCTCTATAAAAGAAACTTATTCGTGTTCATCTGTGTGCGTGTGTTTGTAAATTTTCACTGATATCATTTTATTAGAATGAGTTTGCATTTTTTAAAAAAATATGGACAATGAATTTTCTTTATTAGAAACAAATAAACAAATAACTTCAGTAAAACTGATAAACTGGGTGTATTTAAATTCAGTTTTCACCAGCAGTTGACGCTAGTCGAATTGCCATTATTAGTGTTTGATTATAGATCCGTCTAAAGCATCGCTCATTTATATTGAGCCAATCGAATGCATAATGTTGAGATTAGGTATAGTATACTAGGCACAGATGAGTTGATAAGGTAACGAACCTTTGTCGACTGAGATGGTTGGAACATGTACTACTTTTTTTTAAACACAGTGGTTATGAATATAGTGATCTTGAGTGCTGTTAGAGGTATGAGGGCAGTTATCACTCCCCGGTCGCCCACACAGTGGAAGGGTTCTTCTAGAAGTACCTGAAAAAGAAATTGGGTTAGAAGTGGTCTTAATGACCTGAAAGCGTGACCGCAGTGCCCAGGGGACAACTGCTTGAGGTTGGTCATACACGACCTTTTTGTGGGTAATTTTTGTGTTAGCTCCGTACTTGTTGGGACCTTACTGCCAGAGTGGGATATCCGTGGGATAAGGCTAGGTGTATATTTTTAGGGTCGACTTTTTAACTACACCCCTCCTTGTGGGAAGGGGGCATCGCTGTTATGCTGGTAGTTTGAAGGAAACATCTTACTGCTGTCACACCTCTGTACAGTCAGCAGTACGACTTCGCCTTCGGACCTTGAGTTTGCTCCTTTTAGCCTTATCACTCTTCAAGCGACCTATCTGGCATGGTAGGACCTTGAGGAACGATTGTTCCAGCCAGTATACCTCGATTCATTCATCACGATGAGCAAGCACGTCCACCACGTCAAGGTAGCAGCAACTGTCGGGTTTCTAAACACCATCTACTCTGAAGTGCGATGTCGGATGATGTAAGAAATAATTGAAAAAAACAGGTGTTCAGACCAAAAGATGGCATCAGTCTGGAAACTCGTCGAGTGTTGATCTGAGCCATGTTAGATGCAAACTAACGTGGATGGAATCTATGTGATTTTCACAATCAGTGGTCGAAGACATTGTATGGCATGGCTAAGAATCGCTCACTGACGGCACAGATGCATTCATTCTTTGTCTTCCTTTAGATTATGTGGTTATAAACTACCCTATAATTCATTTATATTGGTTGTTCGATTGTTTACATTAATATTTTGGACAGAAATTAATCAGTTTATTATATCTTATGTGCATCATGTGCGGATTGCTCCGATATTGTCATTAAGTCACAAGCTAAATGTTAACGCGTTGGTGTTTGATGGACAAGGTTCTGGATTCAAATCCTAAAATGAAAATCAACCCTGGGATGCAGGCGTATCCAGTTGATGATTCATGAATAGGGTCAAACGCGCGTCCTGGATTCCACTGCTAGACGAAATTCAGTTCTGCCTACAAACCATCTTATTATTCTTTCGTCATACAAATCCATTCTTCTCGAATCATTTTATTCCTACCTAATCTTTTCCAATGCCATTAATACTATTATTACTTCTACCACTCTGATACCTGTCTGAATAATTTCATCTCCCTGTGTTAATGTAGTGTGACAACTTAAACCAATTTTCATATGTGGTTGGATCTACGTTGCTTATGACTGACCGATATTACAAAACAAAGAATTATCATATCCTAAATCTGTCTGGATTTCAGAGAGTTAACTGAGCTCTAATATAGTTAGTGTCTTTACTTGGCAATTAAGTATGAGCTTTTAAGGTAAAAATGTGTGTAAGTGTCCAGTGATCGGATACTATCAACATCAGCCTACAATGGGGCGAACAAACCAGCTTCCAGCTAAAGAGGAAATTAGGAAAAGGCGTTGGAAGTAGATAGGATTTGCATTGTGGAAATCATCAAACTATATCACAGGGTAAGTATCTACTTGGAGTCATGGATGAAAACGAAAAGAAGGAAGACCGAGGAGCACACTGCAACAAGAATTGGAAGCATACATGAAAAGGATGAATAGCAAGTGAAAAGGATTGCTTGAGACAAGGTTGGATGGAAAATGGCTGTGGGCGGCCTATGCTTCTCCACGAGGGGTAACTGGTGTAAGTAAATTGAAAGGCGTACGCATAGTTCGATTAAGACGTAGTCCATGAAGTCATTGAATTTTAAACTGAGTTGGCTCGTGAAGTGCAGACTCAATGCTTAGGGTCTGTTGGTTAATTGAATTTTATGATCGAAATCCTTAGATGATATGTTTCATGGTCAGTTTCATTTGCGTTGCGATTTCCATCTTCGATTGCTCTCTTTGATTTGTGTTCAAATGTCATAGCATCAAATCTGTTAATTTGGATGTGCTATCTACGCTGATGTCTAAAGACAACTACTTAAAACTTCGATATGTTATAATAATGACATATCTGGAAATTGATTTTACTAGCATAGATGCCGTTATTCTTCATCTTTCCATAGATTGTGTGTTCCAATTTGCTTCGATACTTTTTTTTAAGATTTCATCCCTTCTCAAAATATAACACATGTGCCTTGTCTTTTCTCTTAATAATGATACGTCTGTTATTTCGAGTCTTTTTCATCTAACGGAATAGTAGTAAGCAATTTTGGTCTTTGGTATGAAGATAAGATAATAATCGACTGAACTGAGTACTGAGACTGAGTAATCCGACTGAGCAAACTAGATCACGATAATTGATAATTGAACCAGTGCTATGTCGCGTGGCAATCACAGATACAATGTTTGACTGAAAATTGAGAACCAGACTATAGAGATAGGACCTTTCGCTCAATCAAAGTACGAGCAGATATATTGAATCTAAACAAAACAAGAACAATAAAGTTTGAAAAATAAAATGAATTCATGAGTCTATTCTATGGCTTATCATCAGCTGCATATCACCTAAAATTGCAATTAAATAATATAACTATAATTGCTAAATAACATTTACCATACTTTAGTAATGAAGTTTAGATAAATGTTCGAAACCCTGTCTCTAACCTTATTTTTATAGTCCTTCATCTTCTTACATTCATTACATAATCTAATTGGTTTCCATATACTCGTTTATTTTATCATGTTGAACGATTACCCAATCACTTCTTAATTTGATTACCTTTACATAACCTCTTAATCATTACTTTCCAATATATAAATGCACATGGATCTTAACCGTGTTTATTCATAAATTTTGTATCCCTATTCTTCTAGTTATTATGATTTTGGTTATGTTTCGAACATTTATCTAAATTTCACAATCTAAAGTGTGCTAAACATTTCATAATTATATTCATCTGCATAGGGATTTGTGGAGATTTTAGTATTTTCACAGTTAAAATCCTGAGTCTATCTAAGCTAGACCACCTTTGAAAACCTGGGAGCACTGGATCATGGATGCACACTACTAAGGAGTCCCATACTAGAACGAAACAGCCGTTCGGTGCTCCCAGGTTTTCAAAGGTGGTCTAGCTTAGATCGTCTGATAATTTTAACTTTGAAAATTTTATTTATATTGATAATTGTAACTTTAGGTTGTATGCAGTCGATGAGAAACTGTAAAATAGACTGATAGATTCCACAAACCTTGTTGTTCTTGTTCTGTTTAAATGTATCAAGGGATCTCGGTTGTATAAAAAATTATTTCGAAACCCAGAGAAAAACCAACGACCGAAAGGAATTCACAATATCATACCGAACTTTCGGAATGAGTACCAACATGAAACACAGTACAAAAGGATTTGACTGTACACTTCCTAAACTATATTACTTGCTAATATCTATCCATTACCCATATAATTTCGTTAAGACTTGTAAAGTTTTGTAATTTCAAATGACGGCGAACAGTGTTGACCTGTATAACTTTTTCACTGTCAATATTTTTGTTAAGTGAAAGCAACTCTACGTACAGTAGTTTAGTCTAAATTACTTACCATTTTAATTCCTACGTATTCGTTACATATTAATTTAGTCGTTTATATTATTTCAAACTGTTTGATTAGTCCATTAAAATAATTCCAAGTGTTGTTTCAATGAAATGGGTTCTTTATTGTTTTTATTTTCTTGTCACTCTAGATATTGGTGAACTTGAAACAGGTCTTGCTTTGCCAAGTTCTGAATGGTCAAAAGATGATGATGTTAGTCGATTCTGGAAGTAAGTTTTTAATTCTTTTTGAGCAGAATAGTTACACTATAAGGTCGTGATGTATTTTGAAGGGAGTTTACGTCCTTGTTTTAACTACAGTTCTATTGCTAATACTTGTTAACTGATAACTACTGGAATTTCTACGACACAGACAATGAGCATGGAAGATTGGTACAGATGCAAATTTTATCGATACTGCAAAACACTTTATTTTTAACTGAAAATACACTTTTGTATACTGATTTATGCACACGCTTAATGATATCACATATAGGAAAAACATGTTAAATGTAGTTCACATTTAATTGATTTAGAAAATGTAATTGTTACACTGAAAGACGAAAACTAGTTTTACATTGAAACTATTAGGCCTAACTCACTTTTTTCATCCGTCTTACTAATCATGGATTAATTTTAGTTAAAGATATCTGTTTATAACTGTTTTATGAAAGTTTGAAACTGCTCTCATTAGTTGGGACCAACAATTTTGTCAGTGATAGATACTTGAACTAGATAATTTGTCTTTGATCCAAACCATCTTTGAGTTGAAAAATCTTCATGTTTATCTTACCAATTATTTAATGATATAACCTAGGAGGAGAGTCCTAGCATCACTTGGTAATTTTTCCATCATTGTTTGAACGTACTTAACAAATTTTTTCATGGTTATCTAGCTTCAATTGACTCATGAATTCAACTATAAAATTACTACAATCCACACAAAAACCCCATCTGGTAATAATCATATGCTCACTGGTGGCTGGCTTCAAGAGGTATTTCATGAAGTTCCAATGAGAAGTAGTGACTAGTGGAGTTCAAGTGGGTCTGTTGTGAGATAGTAACTCACTGAAGACAATGGTGGACTGTCACGCCATATCGTAGATTGGTTGAAGTTAGACATCGTTGGTTGCCGGCTGGTTCAGTGGTCTAGAGGTTAAGCGCTCGTGAGCGAGACCGAATGTCCCGGGTCGGAATTTCGCGTGCGGGATCTTGGACGAAACGACCGTCCAGTGCATCCAGGTTTTCCATGGTGGTCTAGCTTCAATTGACTCATCAATTCAACTATAAAATTACTAAGACCTCCTTTTCTAAAAATATCAATTATTTTAAGTACTTGAGTTAAAACTATTTAGGCTGTCTACTGATGTCAACTCTATTCGAATGGAATAATAATGGCTTAGGGAATAAAGTACCTGATTGTCAAAAATTAAGTCTCTAGTTCAATTTCCGTCTTACTTACTGCAATTTGAGCAGCCGAGTGGTATTACTAATATTTACACAAGAGTATAAACGTGTATTTGGTAGATAAATTATTATTTAGATTGTGTTAATAACTTCTATACAATTTAAATATCAATGCCAATGTTAAACTTGATAGTTTCAAATAAATTTATCATTGGGTAGAAAGTTAATAATAAATATATATTTTTTCTATATCCCAATCAGTAGAAAATAGTAATTCTGACGTTTCGTGACTTAATGTAAGCCACTTCTTCAGAATAAATAAATGACCGTTATCGTTTATCATTGGGATGTAACAAAAAATATATTTACTATTACAATACAATTAGTTATTGTTATCTTGCTGTAGTCTAGTCTATATTAATTTTTTATTTATATTTACTTAAAAAGTACTTACTTACGCCTGTTATACTCCCAATGGAGCATAGGCTGCCGACCAGCATTTTTCGACCCACTCTGTCCTGGGCCTTCCTTTCTAGTTCTATCCAATTTTTGTTCATTCTCTCTCATATCTGTCTCCATTTCTCAGCGTAATGTAATCTTTGGTCTTCCTCTTCTCATTTGCCTTTCAATAATTCATATGCAATTTTCATATCATTCTTCGTTTCTTTTCTTTTTTTTTCCAATAGAAAATTCCCATCATGGCAACGTATGGCTACACATGAAGCACGTTTATTAGCTAATAACACAATAATGGAGAAATCATTAGCTAAGAAAAAAACCCACGAGACAACTTATAATCATGATGATAAACCAATGAATGCCAATTCATTTGATAATATACAAATAAAACGATTGGAAGAAAAAGAAAATAATGACAAATTAAATTCTAGGGATAAAATAAATGAAAGTGATACAATTATTAAACCAGTTTGCGCAATTGCATTAGGCTTATATAATAGTGATACAATCGGTTGTAATAATATTAATATACCAAGTATAATACCATTTACTAATGGATTAAATAATACTTCGGATAATATAGATGATGCAGAAAGAGGTTTAGAATATATGGTATGTTTTAGCCAGCTTAAATGCTTCGTTTTTCTTTTCTTATTTTGTAAAAAGGATTATCATCATAAACGAATGTGAGGTTTTTTATTTATTTATATATTTAAACATATAAATATTGGTACAAGGAATCACCAGATACATGTGTGCCACACAAACCTCATTTGATTTGTGTGAGAGCTGTGATACTACCCGGGTGCCCAAACCGAAGCAGGTGGTGTCCTTAGGGAGCCACATGCGGAGCCTTCGACCTAAAGGTCTGATCAACGATACAGTGGAACCTCGTGAGGAGATGCACTCCCATGGTAGCCGGTGACCGACGATTGATTCATACGCCATTTGTTCCCTCAACAGGATACTGGAGCCCATGTGCACCATTGGTTTGGAATCAGGGTTTTCCAACTCCTCTAGGAGGACTCGCAGTGTCCACCAACCCAGTTAAAGCTCCGGACATTCGGTTTTTGTCCTCTCAATTTCTTAAACAACGCCCCTGCCACGAGAAAGCAGTGGGCAGGACTTCCCCGGCAGAGGCTATATACGCGTGGCCATGTGAGAGCATTTGGAGAGGGAGAGCGGACTCTTCCCACTGTCGGCTGTACCATTTGGGGGCCTCTTTGGAAACTCTTTGGAAAAGCAAAGTAAAACGTCGATGGATTTTTTTCTTTGAATTGTAAAACTTTTTAAAAGTATACCCCCATTTGGTGTGATAACACAGTAGATAAGATGATCCATTCCTAAATCATATATTCGAATCTCGTTCCACTTGTAGCGAATAGTACTATTGTACGCTTACATGATTTATTTTTACTTTTGAACAGACAACTTTGAGCCATTACATATACATATATTTAACCTTGACAATTATTCACTTGTTCAGTTAATCGTCTTTATTCATGTGTATATTTGTTTATCACTTATTACATTCTTCACATGTCCTTTAGCTTGATTTTCATGTCTAACTATATGTTTTGAGCCACGATTCATAAAATTTAGTAGTCTAGGTAACCTTTCCCTATGTTCCATTCCCTAAAGTCAGTCGAGATAGATGAATGCCTGAAATAACTTCTGTTAACTCAGTTTGTATCTGACTTTTATAACTACCGTTGTCCAATGGAATCTGTTTATATATAATATATGGAATTAAACAGAGAATGCATATCTCATGATTCATTTGTTTGTTCAGTCTATCTAATTGGTTTGCTGGAGGACAAACTTGCTTGCAATAAACCTTATCTAATAATGCTTTGTGCTGTCACCTAACTATTATTACATTACATCGAAACGCAATCGAAAAGATGTTTGCGTCAATTAACAGTACGAAAATAGTCTGGATACGTTGGTTCCCTTCACTGTTCCCTGTGTTTCACATGTACTTTACTTACTAAATCTAATTATTTTTGTCAACGTGTTATTTGAAATGAAAGAAGATATCAATTGTGATAATCGTTTAGTTGGGAAATTATTTATTAAAATAAAGTTAGTAGGATAAATGAAAATAATCCTAGAAAACAAATAATGATCTTTAGGTTCATTATTAAGGCAAATTGTAAACATCGTTCGGTGATTTTGTTCAAATACACCAACAATTGTTACTTTGATATAGTTACTATTACTATTACTACCAATTGTAGTGGTGGTGGTATACCGCACCTAACCCTCAGATTTAAAATCTAAACCATAATTGAGTACATTCACCCATACCTAGTAAATTAATTACATTATAATTAGTAGTATCGGTTGGGGACAATCGAATGTATTTAAGCACAAATTACAGACTATCTCACTCAATTCTGATAACCATGCAACAAACAGTTAATTTGCAAAATAACAAGCAATTGTCTCAATCTTCACTTTTCCTTCTGTAAATATCAGTTCATCTTCTCTAATTCCATAGTTAATACATTTTGCTACCAATTGCGCTTTATTTCAGTTCTTTCCTTATCGGTCTTCTGCCAAAATACATTCTATGAGTGACCCTCACCATATACTACTTATATGGATATAAGTAGACCATACTACAGTAATAATATTTTAACTAACCCTCATTTTTATAATACAGTACTGTAAATGAGTAGCTATAATTGTGTCTAACTTATTGAATGTATTCACTGCTATTTTAATACATATTTATTTTTGTACAAAAAAATACAGCGTTTACATGGAATAATTCATGAACGTGAAGCGACAAGATTAGCTGTTGCTGAAACTGACCAATTAATTCATATGATAAGACATGAACTACCTGAATGTGAGAAAAAATCTGATCAAATTTTACCTACCTTACGAAATATTCAATTAATTAAAGCATTGGGTCGGTTAACTGAATCATTAGTAAGTTAGTCAAATTAGACAAAGTATTTTATTTTTCATAGTTGAAATCATAAGTCAATTAAAGCTAGACCACCATGAAAAACCTGGAAGCACTGGACGGCCGTTTCGTTCTATTATGGGACTCCTCAGCAGTGCGCATCCACGATCTCGCATTTGCGAGATTCGAAACCAGGACCTACCTACTATTTTATTCTAAAATTATTAGATTTTTGATAATTTACAGACATACATTAGTAGGCGAAATGTTTATCTAGTGACACAAAGGGGCTAGCAAGCTCTACATCTGTTCTCTCTATGAAACAGTCTATTAAAATAGAAAATATGTGTTGGCTGGAGGTTTTTTAAAATCATAAATCTCTTTGAGGCATTACTCATGTATCGTGGAACAGCCTACCGAGTAACTTTGGCTAATCCACATTCATCCTAGGGTCTACGTTGGTTATGAATAAAGTATAGAGAACATAAAACCTGAAACAAATGTATATCGTTTGTCACATGTTTAATCACTCAATAATGATGAAAATTAAAGGTTTGGAAAAATTTGAAGTCTAGGATTCAAGTTATTACTACTAAATGTTACTCATTTACTAATATATGGGTTAATGTATTTGGTGATGATTACCATTTAGATCAATCCCTAAGTAGTCGAAACGAGACTTGAACTTGTGATCTATTGTTTAAAAGCTACGTAACATCATGAAATGTCACACTATAACTACTTTATATATATCTAGGTCACAAACTTCTACGCCGTTTTTAAATTAATCCTTAATCTTCCATCTTTTCGTAATTGCTTGACTTATCCGAGTACTTCCAGCTATACATGTTTTTTTTGTAAACAAGCTAGTATTCATGAAATAAATGTATGAAATATCATGAAACGTTAAGAGTGAGCACATCTGGATGCTTCAAAGAGTTAAACACAATCAACCTCAATATCTTAGTTTCGCACATGTGTATGTACATTGTTGACGAGTACTAACTACTTCTATTAACCAACTGTTTCGTAGTAACATACTGTAGTAATTTATGTACCTACAAACATGTATTTTAAGTGACATTTTCATATAAACTGTCTTAATGTCAAAACGAATGAAATTTTTTTTTTATTGTAAGGCTTTAATACTTTTAAATAATATTCCTCTATTGCTTATAACCCCTTTCTCTTATTTCTGCACTGTTAATTGTATAATTGAACAACATATCAAAATTAATAAATCAGCTGTCTCCTCGTGAAGTGTATTTCCTTAATGTTTCTTCTTCATCTTGTTACGAATTTTTAACTTTCATAATTAAACATATAGATATATATAGATCTTAATTATGGTAAAATTTAACGGCGTAGATTCATTGACAGTGTGATGTACAGCTGGTGATATTGAAAATATGTACCTATATAAAGTCATAAAAGAATTTTGATTGAGATCATGAATGGATCGATGTTAGACTACCATTGAAAACCCTGGAGCATTGGACGGCCATTTCATCCTACCATGGGATTCGCCATAGGTGACGTAAGTTGGCAAAAGCCAAATGAGCTTTTCGAATCCGTGCTGAGATTTCATCAGACACCAACCCATTAGGACTGATCAGACTTCCAAGATAAGTGAAGTTGTCAACGCGTTCGACTACTTCACTCCCTATCCTTAGTTCAGGTGTTGACGTAGGCCAGTCCTGGAGTAACAATTTACATTTAGATGGGGAGAAACGCATCCCAAACATCCTGGCATTATTACTGAGTTCCAACAGAAGACTCTGCATTTTGCCAGTGTCTTCACCAAACAGGACCATATCATCTGCGTATTCTAAGTCGCTTAGTGGTCCCCCTGGTAGGAGATCAATTCCTGTAAATTCAGTCGAAGAGAGTGTTATTTCCAGCAACAGGTCTATAATGAAGTTAAACAAAAATGTGGATAGTGGACAGCCTTGACGGACACCACTTGAGGTTGTAAAATCTTATGACAGTTCGCCATAAGCTCTCACTCGACTGATAGTGTTCGAGTAAAGAGCCTTCACAAGGTTTATGTACATCTGAGGTACACCTTTCAATGACAGACACTGCCACAGAACCTCTCGGTCTACAGAGTCAAATGCTGTTTTCAAGTCAAGAAAAACTATCATTGTCGGACGCCGATAAGCGTGTCTGTGCTCTAAAACTTGACGAATGGTGAATATGTGGTCGATACAGCCACGACCAGGTCTGAAGCCAGCCTGATTTTCTCGTGTTTGCAGTTCACGAGTCTTAGTTAGGCGCCCGATAATTATTGAGGCTAGTATTTTAGATGCTATGTTGGTCAGACTAATCCCTCTATGGTTATCACAGGATGATTTTGACCTCTTCTTTTATATTGGGACAATCAGTGATTATGACCAGTGAGATGGGATTACGTCCAATTCCCAGATTATAGCTAAAATATTAGTCAACCTAATCCGATTATTCAATCGGAAGATAAATTTTATCAGGATTTTGTGTGATCTTATTATCACCATACATTTTGAACAATAATCTAACCACACATTTATATGTTAAGACACTTGTTTATAAAAAAATATAAACTGTAACTAAACTAGGTGAAATATAAGAAACAACTAAGATCATAAGGGGAAATAATCTAAATCATACCACTGTGGATAATATATCAATATAACCACCAACTTAAGTGTGATATAAGCACTAATTTATTTGTTTTTGTCAACATTCAGTTACTGGCTTCAACGAACCTTAGTGTTGGTATGTGGTTGTGGAGATTGTTCAATGTTACTGAAATCACAAAACGACTTAAATTAACAAGTCATTAGAAACATGAAAGCATTTGATAGCCGTTTTGCCATAGTATGAAACTCTTCATCAATGCTCATCTAATACCATATAACCGGAAATCAAAGCCAGTTACTTCAGCCTCGAGCTCAAATACTTAACCTCTAGAACACAGAGTTAGGATATAGTTGTGCACAAATCTAACTGCATTCACTCCAAAGTGTATTCATCCTAGACAACATTTTATACAAGACAATCATATTTATATTCATTTTTCTATTTTCCAATATGTATTTCCCCCTCTATTTTAGTGCTGGCTCTGTTATCGTGTACTGAATCTAGACACATGGACTCAAGGTTCAAAAAAATATCAAATAAAATCTTCTACTGTATCTATTAGTGCTAACAGAAGTGAATCCGTAGTTGGTGGAATACGTACACCTTCTGATTATTATTATAATTCTTTTGTTTCTTATGCAAAAGAATTAAATCGTTTCTCAGAAGCATGTTTATTAATGACTTATTTAGAAGTAAGAATACAGGCGTATAACTATTTTGGTACATTACCTGATGGTGTTACATATTGGTGTCCATTAGATGATGTTGATGTTGATAAATATGTGACAGATTTTCTTGGATATATTGAACAAGTTAAAGATTTGTCCATACATACATTTAGTCGGCATAAATTTCGGTAAGTTGTACTGTAGTGAACGAAAATTTAGGTGGGTAAAATTAACCTATTGTTTTGCGTAAAATTATACGTTGCTTTCGTATACTATGAAAATCATACATTAAATGCATAGTTTGCTTATATTTCTTCAGTTGTCCAATACATAATTCTTCATTCTTCCACTTCGATTGGTATTTCAATATTATGATAACAGGCATTCCATTTGTGATTAGTGATACATACTACTTATATCTGTCAGCAAAAGTAGCATGTAACACAGTAATTTCATACTGATACCCACTTCTTCTACACGCAAGTCTGGCTACTCAAAATAAAAGATGTTTAGTGAGGGAGAACGTTTATTTGGCTAAATTAAATCTACTGTTTCTGCAGTCATTTTTGTATATTTATATATGCCTGTCACCTAATCAGTTAAACCTATCAGAAGTTTATGTCGTATACCTTGCAAGTATGAATCATTTCTTGACCATTCACATTCACTTATCTATTTGATGAGTCTTCATTATCCTACTGTCAAAATACCTTTTAGTTTATATTCCAGGTGAATAGAATGCTCTATAATTCCCACTGGTTTATGTCTTCTTCGGTTTTTCACTTGGTTAGTTTTTTGAATAGATCAAAATTGTCTTGAATTCGTCACTTTTAATCTTATTCACCCTAACGTAGTATTGTCCCCTATCCTGGTATATATTACAGTCTTTACGTGTGTTATTTTGAGCGGTCATCCAATCTCATACATTGTCATACACGCTTCTTATACGTGAGACCAACCAGCTACTTGAGTGATATAATCAAAAGTGAGTGGTAAATTGTATTGACCAACAGAATCATAATATGTGAGCAAACTGATTTGTTAATATAGATGTGTGCTACAAAAGATTGAATAAGATTTACAGCCAGTCAGACATATCTCCCTGTACCGGGACAATTAAATCAGTTCTTTACCAGTAGCGTATACAAGTCAGTATTTCTCACTCATTATTTTGCATTCAACAAATATGTCCGATTAGCTCAGCTTATCAGCAAGTCAGATATTATCTACAAATTTACAAGGAAACCAAGTTTAAAACGAACAGATTTCATGAAGTACAAATCTCTGTTAAAGTTTTTAATTATAGTGACTCATTCAATTTTTATCGATTGTCTAAAGGTGAATTTTGTAATGAATTCAATAATCCAATATTATTTAGTTAATCACCAAAGTTGGAAGACAAATAATTTCATAGAAATATTTATTCAATGGATTCTACATTCATTCTTTTTGTTCTCTATCCAATATCATGTCACAGTGATAAAGATTTATAAAGAAAAATAAAATAAAATTACTCACCATAGTAATATAACCATCCAAAAAATTTATTTCTTTATTTCAACTCTTTATTGTTTGCACATATGTCAATTTGATGTGTGGACGAGAATGTCAATGATTGGTTGTCTCGATGAGTCGGACATTAGATAGGATGACAAGTGTTATGTGTTATATATATATTCCCCTATCCTTATTATGTATTGACTGTTCCTTGATGTTGGATACTTATTGATTGACTGTTCTTTGTGTCGGATTTTGGTGTGGAAATATATTGACGTTATAGTCAGGCTAATCTCGTGTTCTTGATCTGAGTTGTGTTGAAATCCTGTAGAATAGACACTGGGTGGGAATCTAGTGTAGATATTCGTCTAAGATAAATTAACGTCCCACATACGTGTAAAAAGTAAAAGGACTGTTATAACAAGAACCCCTATTGTTATAGCCAGCATCCTCTCCTTTAAGCATATAACAATTAGTGACGGCATACTTACGTTTATAACACAATTAGAGACTGACCAGTTGCAGTCCTAAAAACATCAATGGGAAGATTCAAACAAACAATACTAAGTTAATTTTAACTTCACCCCATTGCACAAGCAAGTAGCTATCAGGACTCAGTGGCCGAGTGGATAACGCCATGGCTTTTGAAGCGAAAGGTACTGAGTTCGAGTACCAGATTGAACATCAACTCTGATATGCAGGTACATTTAGTTGACGAGTCCCAAATAAGACGTAACGCACGTCCTAGATTCCACTGCCAGCCACTATCCATCTTTGCTTACCAAGCTCTATTGTTTTTGTTTATATATATATATATATATATATACTAAACTGTTGCTTTTTTCCTTGACTTTTTCTGATTAGATTTATTTTCGATGGCCTTGGTGATTTCATTTCACAATTATTATTACGTTTAATTCCACAAATTGAAAGAATGAATTCAAATGGTAATAAGAAAATGTGAGTACTTTGTTTTTATACTACTTTTCAATAGTATAGTTATGTGATACATAGATTTCATGTGAGAAGATATCTGATCAATTTCTTTGACTTGTCACTAATTCGTGTAAGCTTTTTTTTTAAAGACTAGTGAAATAATAAATCAGATTTTACAATTCTACGTTAAACCGGAACATTAAGTTTTGTCATTCCTTTTAAACTCAATAGTTTCATTCACGTTCTGGACATCATCATCATTTATTTAACATAGAAGTCAGCTGTTTCAATAATTCACAAGCGTTAAATCAGTCTGTTTTGATGGCCTTGTCGATGAATGGTTCATCCCAGAGGTTCATTCAGCTCTTCTTGTCTTTTTACTATAACTTACGCCTGTTACCACTCGTGAAGGATTATAGACCGCCCATCAATCTTACCCTGTCCTATGCAATCCTTTTCAGTTGTTGTTCATCCTTATCATATTTGCTTCTATTTCCCGGCGTAATGTGTTCTTTCTTCCTCTTCTCCGCTTCCCTTCACAATTCCAAGTTAGGGTTTGCCTCTTGATGCAGTTTTGTGATTTCTTTAATGTATGTCCGATCCAATTCCAACGTCTTTTCCCAATTTCCTCTTCAGCTGGAAGCTGGTTTGTTCTCTCCTGACCGTTGCTGCTACCTTGACGTGGCGGTCGGGCTTGCCTATCGTGATGAACCAATCGAGCTATGCTGGCTGGAACAATCGTTCCTCGAGGTCCTACCATGCCAGACAAGTCGGTTGAAGAGCGGTGAGACTAAAAGCAGCAAACCCAAGGTCCGAAGTCGAAGTCGTACTGCCGACTGTACAGAGGTGTGACGGCAGTAAGGTGTTTCCTTCAGACAACCAGCATGACAGCGATGCTGCCTTCCCACAAGGAGGGGGGGGGTTAGAAAAGGTCGACCCTAAAAATGCACACCTAGCCTTATCCCACGGATTTCTGTCTCCGGCGGTAAGGTATTTTTTGAAGAACGGAGCTAACACAAAAACTACCCACAAAAAGGTCGTGTGTGACCGACCTCAAGCAGTTGTCCCTTGGGCACTGTGGTCACGCTCTCAGGTCATTAAGACCACTTCTAACCCAATTCCCTTTTCAGGTACCTTTAGAAGAACCCTTCCACTGTGTGGGCGACCGGGGAGTGATAACTGCCCTCATACCTCTAACAGCACTCAAGACCACTGTATTCATAATCAATCTTCTTCTTCAATTCCTACTATTCCTTCTACCTTGACTTTCAACACTAAACTTCCTCTCTCGGTTTCCTCCTCAAGTGTCACCATGGCCAACGATTCTAGTGCGCGAAACGCTGTCCCAGGTCTACTTAAACCTCGCTCCAAACTACACATTGGAGCCTTCAACGTACGTACCCTATGCCAAATCGGTCAACAGGCCTCCTTAGCTAAAACCCTAGAATCTCGTACCATTGATGTATGCTGTGTCTCCGAAACACGCATACAGGATCCCAGTGTGGTCATTCACTTGACCTCACCTCTCCAAAATGGTCAGCCAACGAAATACACCCTCCGTGTATCTGGCGACCCGTTGCCTAGTTCTGGCGGACTTGCAGGTGTAGGCATAGCACTAAGTACAAGGGCAGAACAAGCACTACTAGAATGGATCCCCGTTAACAGTCGCCTGTGTGCTGTCCGGCTAAATGGCTCCGTAAGAACTCGGAAGGATAGGGACACACGTCGTTGCCTTTTCGTTGTTTCTGCCTACGCTCCCACTGACTGCAGCCATGATGAGGTGAAAGATGACTTTTACAGAAAGCTCTCTGAGCTTCTTCAGAAAGCTAAGCGCTCAGACATAGTAGTCGTAGCGGGTGACTTTAATGCCCAGGTAGGCAGCTTGAATCAAACAGAAAGACATTTAGGTGGGTGTTTTAGTATTCCGGCTCAACGGACCGATAATGGTGATCGTCTGTTGCAACTATGCTCAGACAATCGTTTATTTTTAGCAAGCACTAATTTTAAGCATAAGGAGAGACATCGTCTAACATGGCGACCACCTGCACCAAACCAACGATGGACTCAAATAGACCATATTGTCATCGTTGGAGAGGCTCAATAGAAGATTGTCGCTCGTATTGGAATACTTGTTTAGACTCTGATCACGCTTTAATACGAGCGCGCATTTGTCTGCGCCTCACTGGACGCAGGAAAAGTAAACTAAGAAGACCCATTAGGATTGAACTGGAGGACGAGAAAGCCAAATGCGAATTCCAGAAACAACTGAGTTCACATCTAGGCAGTTCTGTAAACAAGACTGACACAGATGCTGCTTGGAAAGACATACGAACAGCTGTGAAAACAGCAGTAACATCTATTAGTCATTTAAACCATAGGGCTCCAAAAAACCAATGGATTTCTTCTAAGTGTATTTCACTGATGGATTCGCGTAAACTCATTCCATCAGGCTCTGAACATGACGAAGAGCGTTATGAAATTAGATCTAGGTTAACTAAAAGTCTAAGGAACGATCGTGAGCAGTGGTGGGCAACGAAAGCAAAAGAGATGGAAAAGGCAGCGGCTGTAGGGAACACCAGGCAACTATTCAGACTAATAAAAGAAACCGGAATTAAGAAGTCAAGTGTAAGTGAGACAATCTCGGAAAAAGACGGAACCCTTATCTGCTCTCAACCCAAACGTTCAGATCGATGGGCGAAACACTTTAAGGAGCAGTTTAGCTGGCCTTCAGCTACTGCACAACTACCCACTATTCCTAGAAAACCTGAATGGAACATTGAGGTAGGCCCCCCGACCCTACTTGAAGTTCAAAAGGCTATAGGTAATCTGAAACGAGGAAGAGCAGCTGGTCCTGATGGATTGGCTCCAGAGGTCTTTAAATATGGTGGTCCGATTTTAGTGATTAGGTTGACTAATATTCTGGCTAAAATCTGGGAGACGGATGTAATCCCATCCGACTGGTCACAATCACTGATTGTCCCAATATATAAAAAGGGGTCAAAATCATCCTGCGATAACCATAGAGGGATTAGTCTGACCAACATAGCATCTAAAATACTAGCCTCAATAATTATCGGGCGCCTAACTAAGACTCGTGAACTGCAAACACGAGAAAATCAGGCTGGCTTCAGACCTGGTCGTGGCTGTATCGACCACATATTCACCATTCGTCAAGTTTTAGAGCACAGACAAGCTTATCGGCGTCCGACAATGATAGTTTTTCTTGACTTGAAAACAGCATTTGACTCTGTAGACCGAGAGGTTCTGTGGCAGTGTCTGTCATTGAAAGGTGTACCTCAGATGTACATAAACCTTGTGAAGGCTCTTTACTCGAACACTATCAGTCGAGTGAGAGCTTATGGCGAACTGTCATAAGATTTTACAACCTCAAGTGGTGTCCGTCAAGGCTGTCCACTATCCCCATTTTTGTTTAACTTCATTATAGACCTGTTGCTGGAAATAACACTCTCTTCGACTGAATTTACAGGAATTGATCTCCTACCAGGGGGACCACTAAGCGACTTAGAATACGCAGATGATATGGTCCTGTTTGGTGAAGACACTGGCAAAATGCAGAGTCTTCTGTTGGAACTGAGTAATAATGCCAGGATGTTTGGGATGCGTTTCTCCCCATCTAAATGTAAATTGTTACTCCAGGACTGGCCTACGTCAACACCTGAACTAAGGATAGGGAGTGAAGTAGTCGAATGCGTTGACAACTTCACTTATCTTGGAAGTCTGATCAGTCCTAATGGGTTGGTGTCTGATGAAATCTCAGCACGGATTCGAAAAGCTCATTTGGCTTTTGCCAACTTACGTCACCTATGGCGAAGACGAGATATCCGTCTATCAATTAAGGGACGAGTATACTGCGCAGCAGTTCGTTCTGTTCTACTTTACGGCTGTGAAACATGGCCATTAAGAGTAGAAGATACTCGTAGGTTACTAGTATTTGACCACAGATGCCTTAGAAATATTGCTCGCATCTGCTGGGATAACCGGGTACGTAATAATGAGGTTAGACGCAGGGTATTAGGGAATGATGGTAAATCAGTTGATGAGGTTGTGAATCTTCATCGACTGAGATGGTTGGGCCACGCGTTACGTATGCCTGAACACCGATTACCACGACGCGCAATGCTGACTAATGTAGGGGATGGTTGGAAAAGAGTTAGGGGCGGTCAAACTAAAACATGGCATCAGTGCTTGAAGTCACTAATTTCTAGTCTGAGTCATGTTGGCAGATGCAGACTACTTGGTTGGGGTCCGCGTGACTATCGTAATCAATGGTTGGAGACTGTGGGTGACATGGCTCAGAATCGATCACAATGGCGTAGGTGTATACACTCTTTATCTTCCCTTAAACCTTGAGATTAAAATTGCTTCATATCTCTCTTCCTTCCTGTACTATATCCTTATATACAACCTATCTTTTATATATTACCACCACTAAATTAAATACTTCTATGAATCCGGTGTTCATCTTGTTGTGCTAACGAGGTATGGCAACTTTGACCGATGCATAAATGTGCCTGGTCCTACGTTGTAGCTGACTGACTCTCCCAAAAAACACTGCTGCTGGTAGTATCCGGCCAGTAAATGTTGAGTATTTTTGGTAGATTACTGTTTATAAATATTTGTACGTTCTTGTCGATGGATTTAGTAGTTCTCCACGTTTTAGCTCGATACAGTAGGACTGTCTTGACGTTCGTATTGAAGATTCTTACTTTGAAATTAGTTGAGAGCTGTTTTAATTTCCATATATTCTTCAATTGTAGAAACGCTGTCCTTAATTTGCCATCCCTCGTATTTTCATCTGCATCAGATCCTCCTAGTTTATCAATCATGCTTCGTAGGTACGCGAATAATTCTCCATCTTTCAGAGTTTCTCCATCAAGTGTGATTGGGTTGGTGTTCTCCGTGTTTTATTTGAGGGTCTTACTTTTTACTTTGTATATGATGAGACCTATTGATGCAGGGGCTGCCTCTACATCTGTTGTCTGCGTTTGTATTTGTTTATGTGCATGAGATGGGAGGGATAGGTCATCTGCGAAGTACAAATCGTCTAGTTGCATCCAAGCTGTACATTGTATTCCGTGCTTCCCTTCAGATGTCGACGTTTTCATAATCCAGTCAATCACGAGAACAAAGAGGAAGGGTGAGTGCACACAGATTTGCAGATTTCTCACCATTCTCATTCCTTTATCCTAGTTCATGTCGTCCCATGATATATTCATAACCGTTGTAGTCCATACCGACTTTGACCTTTAGATCTCCAATTAGGATGGTGAGATCTTTCCTTGGGTAATTCTCTATGATCGACTGCAGACTTGAGTAGGACTAATTTTTATCGTCGTCATTGATATCATTGGTGGGTGGATAACATTGATCGTAATTCCCTCCTTTGTTTTGAAGGATGCTTTGATGATCTTGGATCCATGAGATTCCTATCCTACAAGTGTGTTTCGTGCTTCTCTGGACAGCATCAGAGCAACTCCCTGAGTGGGTGCAGCACTTTTCTCTTCGTGACCGGAGTACAGCAGCATCTCTCCCGTACCTAGCCTTTGTTGTTCAGCTTGTGTCCAATGGGTTTCGATGATTCCGAGTACTCCTAATTTGTATCTCTTCGTTTCCGTTACTATTTGGCTGGTCTTTCATGTCCCCCATTTAGTCCGAACGTTCCATGTACCTATAAAAATTGTTGCTCTGGTTGTTAGAAGGTGCATCGGTCTCGTGACTTCCGAAAAATTTCGGTTTTCACCCTGAGGCGTCATAATTCTTCCTTCATTGTCCAGAAGAGAGTTTAAATAGTTTGAATTATTTTTTCTGATTATCGTGTGTTAGCAAGTTAGTTTTCTACAGGATGGGGTCGCTAACCCCATGGGTAACTGTCTCACATCCGATACGGATTGAACTTCATTTGTCACGGCTTTTCAATAGAACTCCAGGAAATCCATGTTTAAGCTTGTCATTAGTGAGGACAGGATGATTGTGATCCAAATGCAGGTTTTTGGAGATATTAGTAATTCTATTAGTTGAATTCATGAATCGATCTAAGCTAGAATTTATTCAAAAATGAAATATTTGTTTAAGAAATACCAAATTTTAGTAGGAATTCTGAGCATTAAAATTAACTTCCATTTTTTTTTAAAATTGCTATTATTTAGGTGTCGAAATGTTTATCGACTACAACAAGCATTGGCAACTTTAACTGAAACACATGAGTCTGATTTAATTCGTGTAAAACAATTATATGAATTGTTCTTTTTAACACCTGAAGTAAGTATTGCTGGCTACAGTCACCAAAGTTCACATATAATTAATGAAAGTTTAATTCGCAAGAATAACTATTCAATATAAAGATGAAACAGCTGTTATAATCCTTTAAATGTAAAACAAAAATACTGTTATCTTAGGAAGGTTTTGATATGTTAACTTGTTCATATGTAACATGTTTAAATGATAGACATAGATTCTTATGTAATAAAATTGTGCAGAGTTTGTAGAAGGAACGAGGAGCCTGGTGGTTAGAGAGTGTTAAAAATTTGAAAATAGAAGCTGGCCATGTCATGATGTTCATATGGATGTAGACGGTTGGGTTTACAACCCATCGATTATAGGAGTTATTGTTTATACTTGCGAAACCTGTTTTCACCAAGTCAGGAAATTCGGTGTTTAATCCTAGTTGTCTCTAAAGGATTGCTGACATTCATTGGCAACTTCAATGTTAGTAATGTGGATGTTCGGTATCGTGTATTTGGACACAGTGGCGATAATTTAATTATTTTCACCATCTTGAAACATCGACTTCAGTGGCCTGAATATGTACTACTAATGTCTTCGCAGTAAATGCCAAGTAGTGTATTATTTGCCGACGCTAGGATGGGTTGGAAAAATTGGATAAATAGTCTTTGTGTATAACTTGATGTCATGGTATGAGTAGGAGTTATTAGTTATTGGTCCAAGAGGAGTACATTAGCTTATATATTTTTAATGAACTATATTAATTTCATGTGTAATTTCAATAATTTGCTCTGTGGTGATATTATAAATCATATAACAGCTTTGATCTAAAACGCCTTGAATTCTGCTGTCTTTTATTTATTTCAGTCTGAATGCCTGGGTAATATTACTAACTTTTTTTTTATCTCAAATGTAGCTCAAATCTGATTACGTAAACATATATCTCATAAGGGGTTTTGTGGAGATTTATTATTTTCATAGTTGAAAGCGTTAGTCAATTGAAGCTAGACAACCGTGGAAAACCTGGAAGCACTGGAAGGCCGTTTCGTCCTATTTCGGGACTCCTCATCCATGATCCTGCACTCGCGAGATTCGAACCCAGGACCTACTAGTCTCGAGCCATAGCCCTTATCCGATAGACCACTGAGCCGGCATCCAACGGTGTTAATGTCTAACCTCGGTTGATCCACGAAGTTGAGCAACCGTTCACCAATGTCTTCAGTGAGTTGATATCTCCCAACAAACCTGGTTGAACTCAGTGGTCTATCGTATAAGGGCTCTGGCTCGAAACTGGCAGGTCCTGGGTTCGAATCTCGCGAGTGCGGGATCGTGGATACGCACTGCTGAGGAGTCCCAAAATAGGACGAAACGGCCCTCCAGGTTTTCCCTGGTGGTCTAGTTTCAATTGACTCACGCTTTCAACTATGAAAATATATCTCGTAATTAAATCAATGATCGAGTTTCCATAGATATTAGTTGATATTTCATCCAAATTATTAAATCGAATCGTTTCGATGAATATGATCATCAATCGGTCTTTTTGTATTCATCAAATAATTATACAAATTGTCACATTTTTATATCTACTTCAAAAATACCAAGGTAAAAGAGTTGAGAACAACCCTTACTTTATTATTTTGCTTTGGTTTTCCTAATGAAATCAGGTGTTAACTACACAGAATTAATTGTTTTTCAATAACATACAAAGTTTGAAATGCTGAATAGTTAGGCGTCATCATGATATAACAACAGACTACTACTACTACTACCAGAATCGAAATTTACGCTACTACTAGGCTAAATACTTGATCGATATGCTGCACTTGTGGATCATGTTCTAACAGATACACGATTTACGACCGTAAATAGAGAACCAAAGATAAACTAACTAGACAATACTAATTATATCCAACACAATTACAAGTCGCCTACAGTCATTGAGTCCAGAGTCAAAGTCAATGGAAGGAAACCATATTAATTAGTCAGTAATCTGTTTGTCCACGCTAAGTAGCAATCATATTTTGCGTTCATCAGCCACATATTATATTGCCGAAAACGTTAAACTTAGGTTATACATATGATACTTTTAACTTTGACGTTTTGCTATTTGTTTTTTTTTTTGGTGTCCTTTATTCCTTATTTAATAGGCGGTTGTGAATCGTTTAATGGAACATGGTATTGCATTCGATCATGCAGTTTATGCTAATCTCTTTCATTTATATCAACGTAGTCATTCAACATATGCATATTCGAAAATACAAAGTTGTATCTCTAGACTGGCTACTGTTACACATAGTGGACAACTTTAAAAAGAAAACGCACATAAATCCTATCTCATATTGAATGCCAGATCGGTTGAATTTATCCTCTTGTTGACTGTTTACAAACAATAATCTAATTTGCGTTTTTTTATATGACCAATTAACTTTTATTTTTCTTATGAAATAATCATATTTTAATTTTCTTTAGTGGTTCTTGTTATATTATCAGATATTTAAAAGTGCACAATGTTTATCTAGGGAAAGTTTCCAGAAATGGTGATAGACATTTTGGTGTATAATTATTTGCATAGTTGAAATCATTGGTCAATTGAAGCTAGACCACTATAGAAAACCTAAAAGCACTAGATGGCCGTTTCGTTCTATTATGGGACTCCTCAGCAGTGCGCATCCACGATCGGAACCCAGGACCTACCAGTCTTGCGCCTGAGCACTTAATCGATAGCTTTTTCATACTGCTAGAGGTGACCAGCAACAAAATTTGAATGTAGGTTGTTTTTCTTCGTGCTAGTTCTTACTTGTCAATACAATCTGTCAGTCTGGAATTTCGAAAAAACAATTTGTTATATCAGTGCAATTGGAATCGGAGTTAATCAGTGGAATTATCAGAGGTGTTATTAATAGTATTTCCGGATTATAAATGACTGACTTCCTGTGAAAAATGAAATAGTCAATCTAACTGATCACGTATTTTTAACTAGTCGCATATCTATTTGCTGCCAATGGAAATGAAACATGAACACTATTTTAACTGAATTGATATTAATGATAACGTGGTTAGAGATAATTGTCACTAGTCCTTGGAACTAGATTTCATGCTAGTTGCAACCACTAATTAGCAAGGCTGACAAATTACCTATCGGTTTATCTAAATCAGCCTTAAAGGCACGTATATCTTAAGCTAAAATAGTTAACGATGATTTCCATGTAATTGGTTTAAACGTCGTTTAACAGTTTCGCGTACACACTTTGTTTCACTAAAACAGCGTTATTTGCTTTTGTAGCTAGACAAGAAAATCTCACCCCCATGTCAAGGATGTACAGTTAGGTATCATTTTCGTATTCTGTTTCGAGCGCTGGTGCACCATTATAAACTATAATTACATCTAAGATAGTCATCAATCAAGTTGTATGTATTAGCACAAAACCTGTAGGTCTATTTGTTTCTTATTACCTAACCAATTGGCAAGGAGTATTTGCTGCAATGGTTAATATGGTGCTTTTCCAAAGACTTTGTTCCCACTATTCATTGCTCAATTTAGAGATTTTACTAAGTCCAAAGATTTATAATACTTTATTCTATGTCTATAATAGTTCCTACACTATGTTTTAGTATTATGATTATTTTTTTAGGTTTATGTGGCCATACTCTAGAGTTTTGTCATGAATGATCGAAAACTATCCGACATACCCATTCGTAAATTCTTTGGTTGTTCGATAACCTTTCAACCTAATTGCATGCCAATAAATAGGTCACACACACACTTTTTTTACATACATTTATTTTACGTATTTGCGGTTTAGAGAATACGATTAAATGTTCAGTGTTATTTTCAATTGTCATTCGATTCACTGTTGTTAGTGAACGTGGAAATGTTGTATTTCTAAATTCACTAGCAGATATTATTTTCCTTCGGTTATCGTAACGTTTTTTCCACTTACGTCGAAAATCACGCCATGATCTACAAATGTATTCAATACAAGTGATGTAGGATAGAATTTTGTTGTTTCTATTTTTGTGTCATTTTACGCGTTTCATTTTTTGATCGTATTCAATTCTCGTGTTTGTCTTTTCCTGGAGGTTATTATTCTTTCCTGACCCCTGCTTCTCATCTCTCACTAATTTCGTGTTGACGAGATTCATAACAGCCTGTGGATACTTAGTACATCATATGTTGTCTTCAGATAGATGAGAACTCTTCAAAATATTGGTTGTGTATAATTATTCATAAAACCTACTGAAAGTCACTACTGGTGTCGGATTGTTCGATATCAAATTTGAATACGCAAGCCAAATCGGTCACTCTAGTAGGAAGAATGAGTGAGATTGAAGTTTGTTGACTAAAGTGAATCGGGAATTTATGTACAAACATTCATATATGTCTATCCCTTAGGAAATAAAATCACCAATGACTTCTATCTTATTTATTAGGAACGCAAACTATTTTTCGCAAAGTCGCGTAAACATATCATGTGGTCAAATTCTGATTGCACCAATGTATCAATTAGGTCACAAATCTCCAATCCAAGTAACACCTTCAGTTTGAAAAGTCGTGGTATTGCCAGCAGTAACAGAGTGATTTAAAGTCAAGTTTTTAAAAACCAACTTCTCAAATAAGTTACTAGTGATTTCCATATCCCAAACATTTCCCACGTGTAAGCTATTTTCATTCAACTCAATTTTTGACTGGGCCTATTTAAAGTTATTTTTGAGTAGTAAATAATTTCGAACGTTAATTACATCTAGCAACAAAATTAACCCACAAGCGTACTTTAAGTGATGTATATCATTTGCTGTCTTATATGTTTCACCCGTTTCTCTTACTGATATAACAGAGGAATAAGTTTTTTTCTGGTTACACGAATACGCTGCACACAAACTGGTGGATCATGTTCTACGAGATACACTATTCACGACCAAACACAGACCCAGAGTATAGTCTAGACAGAGCTAGACAATACTTTTATTCAACGCAATCACAAGCAGTCTACAATCTGTGAGTCCAGAATCAAAATCACTAGCAAGTAGGAAACCACACATAAGCTGAGCATCTGTCCGTCCATGCTCAGTGTTCAATCGCATAATACGTTCACTGCCACACAACATTGTTATTCAACACATAGAGCAGAAAACTATGTCCATATCTCGTCGTCACATTTAATTGCTCGAAAGTTTTATGTATCTTGGCAACAGAACGAATTGACCCATCATTAAAATTATTTAGAACTAATCAGGTTAAAGTCATAAACTGAAGTGAATAATTATTGGACATGAATGATTTAGCATTTCAATTTGTTACTACTATCATCATTATTAAAGCTTACAAAGATTACCAGTCACTACTCAGTAATAATTGCTTTATGTCAAGTTCATAAGAGTCATTTAACTAAAAGTCATTAACCCTATTGTAGTAACGTATGAAGTAGGCAACTCAATAATATATATATGTTTGTGTACAATGAATTTTGAAAGATAATTATCATATGTTGTTGTAGCCAGGAAACATTCAATTTGTCTAATGGAAAATGGTAAACCGTAAGAATAAACATTCGAAATAGTTGATACAATACCACAAAGAACTAAACTGTTACAGTTTTAAATGTTAATTCATTATATGTCGTACTAGTTCTACTAGGTTAAGGGAGTATATCAGATTACCAAAAAACAATGCCTTCTGAATACAATTCACTGAGATTCTCCTTTGTATAGATCACGTTATCCATTGAAATCGATGTATGAATGAGGAATATAATAAATAAATAAATAGGTAGCAGATAACTAGATATAACACACATAGTACAATTCGAGTTTAGTGAGATCTAGTATGTATGTTATGTACCAAAAATAACAAAAGCGCAAATATATATGCCGAGGGAGAGTGAGATAGCGGCGGTATTTCATACAATGCAAAACAGGGACGAACTAAATGTTTTGAATGTTTATTGTTAAACCAGATCCAATATTTCTATATAATAGGTAGTTCCTATTATTACTAATGATAGCTATCCATTTCAAGAAAATATGATACGAGTAAAGTATTCAACATTAACAATGAATACCACTAGATCATAACAAAGAAACAAAAATGAATGACAACAAACTTCGAAACTATAAACACTTTAAGGATAATGAAGATTACTACATATAGCACTTTCTAAGGACATACAATGAATCAATGAATGAGTGAGTGACTGGTAACACATATGAAAAGGAATAATGATAAAGTTAAATGAGATGTATGAAACTTTAAATAACATAATCTTAGTGATAAAAATAATCAGAAAAAAAAATATACAAAGACTACAAATAATATTATGTATCATATAAAGCATATTAAAGACCATGAAATGGAAGATGTGAACAGAACTACATTGAATATCACGAAATGCATATCTATATATGTACACGGATTAACTAACTGGTCGAAATCATGACTGACAAAATACAATGTCATAATTTCCACATTAAAACAATGCCAATGTAGAGAGATAAAAAGAGAAAAGAAACAAGAGAATATCACAAAAAAAAAGCAAAACAACGGACTGAATTAAATGCTAAACTTGAATTAAAATATGAAGAAGGAGACTATTACCATCATTATTCTTGTTTTAGTGATCTAAATCAAAATCACCAACGGTGTAATCATGCTTTGGAGATACGACAGATGGAAGATAGATAACCAATAAAAGTTGTTGAATACATATCATTCAAAGAGGTAGATATTATTATTATTGGTTGGTTAATCAAATAAAAAATGCATACATTAACAGAATAGAAATGGAACAACAGATTGCTCCATACATACACACCCACCCACACAAAACTATTCATTTGATAAAAGCAAAAATGAAGTGGTTTAAGTTATCCAAAAAGTAAAGAGAAAGCCAATTAGCCAAAGGGAAGCTTTTTATATATTCTCATCGTATTTGTTTTATTAATCATTCTATGTTGTTGCCTTCCCTTATATTTGTTTTATTATTATGATCCATTAGTTTGAACAAGATTTGGAATACGTATATTAGTACAGTTTGTATGACGTCGATCATTGCCACTAATGTGTTGATTGTCATTGTGGTTAGTACTAGTACTAGTCGCCATGGTAGTAGTGACAATAGAAGGATGAGGAGCAGTAGTGGATGAAGAGATATTGTTATTCTTAGTATTATTATTATGACATCCTATACCATTTTTCACAACTTTACATGATGGATTTGCATTGCCTGGGACCACTACTTCCGGTGGCTCAACATTTTCGTAAACATTAGTAGCAAGATGTTGAAATACAGCGAGAAGTTGAGCAAATGTTGGTCGTGCATCTGGATTATACGCCCAACAATCATGCATAATAGCAAAAACATCATCATTAGCTAAATTAGGCTTAGGCAGGCGTACACCTTCTTCAATTTGACGTAAAACTTCAAAACTATCTTGATCTGCATATGGATGTTCGCCTAATGAAAACATTTCCCATAAGCATATACCAAACGACCAGACATCACTAGCATGACTGAATGTTTTGTAATAAATTGATTCTGGTGCATACCATTTCACTGGCCATTTACCACGTTGTGTAGCTTTGTAATAGTCGGATTCAACACCAACTGCACGTGACAAACCAAAATCAGAAATTTTTGCACAAGAATGATTTGATAATAGGACATTACGACATGCCAAATCTCGATGAACAAATCTAGCTGATTCTAGAAAGCTCATACCACTTGCAATCTAGTGTTGTATTTTTTCAATATGACAAGAAAAGATATTACATCATTAATTTACATTCATAACAGTCACAAATGAGGATAGTAAAAATTCGACCGATATTAAAACCAGATCATATAGAACAACTTGTTTATTTCAGCTTAAGACTGATACTAGTAAAAGTCTGAGTTGGGATCGTTTATGAATAGTTCATTCAATGAAAGGAATTGTGAAATTTGAAGTTGAAGAAATATGAATAGTAATTTTAAGGTGTCAGCTTTCTTATGGATTACAGGCAGAAAATGATATTTAGCGTCAGTGAAACATTCTTTCGCGATTAAGTACAAACATTTAATCATGGGACGGTTGATCACTCCTACATTCATTAATGATAAAATAATCTCTAGAAAGAAATATATCAATTTTTCTTATCAGTTAAAACCCAAGGGTGACAAAAATATCCACCAGGAGGATTACTAGAAGCCTTGTATCATCAAACTGACAAAAGAATATAGTCTATATTAATTACTGTAATATTTTTTCAACAAGAATAATAGAAGAGAAATTTAAACACTGGAAAAGCATTTGAGGCAAGTGGATTAGAATCAGTTACAATAGTGAACATGTATTCTGTCTTTTTATCTTACTTTAAATTCTGATTTTCCGAATGATCTTTTTCTCTCTGTATCTCTGCCTAATTCTTATTTGCTATGACTGGTGTCGCTACTGTTTGTAATAACTTGGTATTATCAGAAGGGGCTTTGTGGAGGTTTGGTATTTCCATAGTAGAAAGCGTGAGTCAATTGAAGCTAGACAACCATGGAAAACCTGGAAGCACTGGAAGGCCGTTTCGTCCTATTATGGGACTTCTCAGCAGTGCGCATCCATGATCCCACCTCGCGAGATTTGAACCCAGGACCTACCAATCTCGAGCCAGAGCACTTAACCGATAGACCACTGAGCCGGCATCCAACGTTGTTAGTGTGTAACTTCAACTGATCCACGAAGTTGAGCAACCGTTCACCAATTGCCTTCAGTGAGTTGATATCTCACAACAGACGTGGTTTGAATTCCACTGGTCATTGCTTCTCACTAGAATTCCTGGATTTACCTCTCGAAGTCAGTCACTAGTGAGCATATGATTATTATTATCAGAAGGGGTTTTGTGGAGATTTAGTATTTCCATAGTTGAAAGCGTGAGTCAATTGAGAAGTCCCATAATGGGACGAAACGGCCGTCCAGTGCTTCCAGGTTTTCCATGGTAGTCTAGCTTCAATTGACTCATGCTTTCAACTATGGAAATAACTTGGTATTCATATTTACAATTTTTTTTACTGCGCTGAGCGTGGTATGGTAAATTGAACCGATATACATTTGTGTCACATTCTTACTATGATTATGACTGACAAAAAGACTGACTAAACGACCATTTGAACAATTTTACGACAGATCTTGTCATCAGACGGTAAAGTAACTGATCAAAAATAGATTATTTGGGTTGATGAATCAATAAATAGAGTAATACTTAGCACTAAATGTAAAACGATACAATTGTTCATGATTCACATAAGGACGATGAGAGGTGAAATCACATGGATGAATAGTAAGACAAAATAATAATGGAAAATCTATTAAAAATGAACTAGTGAAATCGCGAAACAAAAGGTATGAAATATCATTACAACTCATAGAGGATGATAAATACTCAATAGACCTGCACTATTCCCACTGATTTGAAGTCGTATCTTCTTTAAATAGCCAACAAACGATTACGTTATTGCCTCCAATATTTTGAGATGTAAAGGTGATTGAAGTTAGTTGGCAGGTTGTGATGGATTTAAGTATTGTTAGTTGACATTCACTAATAAGGAGCACCTGAAATCTTGAGGGGACGAATGCTCCTAGTGCGATTCGAATCCACACCGCTCACCTTTATAGCTTAAGATGTTACCACTAAAAAGATGAGTGTTGTAAGTTAAAATACTACTGGTTATCGATTCCTTTATTTTATTTTATTTAAACACATAAATATTGGTACAAGGAATCACCAGATAAACATGCGCCTCACAAATCTCATATGATTTGTACGTATGCTTTGTGGAAGAATGTCAACTAAAAGGAAACCTAAGTCTGGGGGTTTCCTGCCAATTCCTTCCAAGAGATCAATTAACACTTAAACATTGTAAACTATAAGTTTGACTTTGTTATACTGTATATAGAAATCCAATGAGTTGTGCATCTATACAAAAAAGGAACTCTTTTGCTAACCAAGAAACACATAATAAAAAGTAGTCTATCAAGATGCACAGACTTTTTCTTCAACACTAAATAAATTAGATACAAAAAAAGGAAATAGATAAAAATTAACTTACTTGCATACTCCAATTGTATAATTCAGGTAGTTGACATTTTTCCGGATAATCTAATAGATAATCTAATAAACTGCCAAGTTCAGCTAATTCTAATATCATCATTAGGCGTTTATTTTCACATACACCATAAATTGTTACAATATGTGGATGAGATAATTGCATCATGATCGTAGCCTCTTTTAAAAAATCCAATCTTTGCGATGGTTGGACAAGGACCTTCAAATAATAATAATAATAATAATAATAATAATAATAATAAGAAGAAGAAGAAGAAACTAAGAAACCACAACTCTTGCATAAAATAAGTAGAATGTAGCTAGCAGTGGAATCCAGCACACGTATTTCGTCTTATTTGGGACTCGTCAGCTATGTAGACTAATTTAACAATACTACTTCATTAGACGGTTAGAGAGGACTTAGTGTTAATGTTCATAACTTCTACCTCACATGTAGTCAAACTAACGTATAGTATTTCTTAAGATTCTATCATATCCGACAGGTAAGTTGAAGAGCTGGAAAGTAGTAAATTCAAAGTGTGTGTGTGAATTTCTCAAAAAAATAACCAAGGTCATCGTGGTCACTTTTCAAAGACTCGAACATTCAATACATAATCTAGTTTTTCAAAAAATATTTTTTAGTATAGGCATTCGGTAAGTATTCAATGATCTCCACGTTTGATAACTTACCGGTTAAAGTTCACAATATTTCATTACTGAATTACAGGTTGGAACTCTATCCCACCACTTCGATGTTTAAGTAGTCGTCGGGTAGTATCACTATTCTTCACACACGCAAGTATATCTAAAAGTCTGTCAGTCAGCTACAACGTAGGACCAGGCACATATATGCATCGGTCCAAAATGCCATACCTAGTTAGCACAACAAGATATACATCGGGTTCATAGAAGTAGTTAATTTAGTGGTGGAAATATATAAAAGATAGGTTGTATATAAGGATATAGTATAGGAAGGAAGTTATGAAGCAATTTTAGTCTTACGGTTTAAGGGAAGATAAAGAGTGTATACACCCACGCCATTGTGGTCGATTCTGAGCCATGTCACCCACAGTCTCCAACCATTGGCTACGATTGTCGCGCGGACCCCAACCAGGTAGTCTGCATCTACCAACATGGCTCACAACAGATGTTAGTGATTTCAAGCACTGATGCCATGTTTTGGTTTGGCCGTCCCTAACTTTCTTCCAACCATGCCTAATACTAGTTAGCACAGCGCGTCTTGTTAATCAGTGTTCAGACATATGTAACACATGGTCCAACCACTTCAGTTGATGAAGATTTATGACGTCATCAACTGATTTACCATAATACCCTAATACCCTCTGTCTAACATATGACTCTAAATAAGTGAAAAGAAATTCCTTCCAATTATTTATTGAATAATTCTAGATCAACGAATCAATGTTTAGAAAAATAGACAGACAAAAAAATATATACTTTCCTTATTTTTCATTTTATTTACTATTACCATATCAAAATCAACAACAACAAAAATTATTAGACTGTATATATTGAAGAAAAGGAAAACTACCGCATAAAAATTATTTCTGTTATTAATATTGAATCAACTAGTCTATTCATTAATATTATGTAAGTTCATTTAATCTAATTAACAAATAATTGAATGGCATCTACCATATATACATATATATAGTTATATCATACACTGTAATTGTACATTTCACATGTTAACTATTTAAGAGTATCTATTAATCATTATCATTACTAGTAGTCATATCAACAGTTTATATAGATAGATAGATATATATGAAACTATACACTAATGACCTAATAGGAAAGCTCAAATACTTATCTTCAAATAAATGAATTATGCAAATACAGAAAATGATTCATCACCAATGGAATTAGTCTAAACAAACGAATAGACTATTGGCATTTAAATAAATGATGATGTAGATATTGTATATCAATAATAGGAAGATTTATAAAGATTGTTGAACTTCTTATAGTCTATGTCATGGACTAATATCAGTTATATAACCATTGAAAAATAAAACAAAAACATTAGAAAGATGTCTTATCATGGTGTTAAGACTATTAAGGGCCCCCAAATGCCCTGTTACGGCCGAGAACAGGGAGAGTCCGTTCTCCCCCTCCAAATGCTATCACATGGCCACGCGAATATATAGCCTCTACCAGGGTAGTCCTACTCATTGCCTTCTCATGGCACCGGTGTTGTTTACGAAATTGAGAGGAAGAAAAACGAATGTCTGGCGCTTTAACCGCGTTGGTGGACACGGAGGGTCCAACTAGGGGAGTTGGAAAACCCTGATTCCAAACCAATGATCCACATGAGCTTCAGTATCCTGATGAAACGAATGGCGGACGAACCTGTCATTGGTCAACGACTACCATGGGACCGCATCTCCTTACGATATTCCACTGCCTTGTGGATCAGACCTTAAGGTTAAAGGCTCCGGGTGTGGCCCCCTAAGAAAGCCACCGGTTTCAGTTTGGGCACCTGAGCAGTATCACAGCCCTCATACAAATCAAATGAGATTTGTGAGGCGCATATTTATCTGGTGCTTCCTTGTACCAATATTTATGTGTTGAAATAAATAAATAAGTAAAATAAGACTATTAAGGAGTGTATATCCATGACTCATCCTATTGTGGATCGAATTCAAGACATTTCAATCTATAAGCCGGAACTTAACCTTTAGACAACTGAGTCGGTAGTCAGTGGTTTGTAATTTTAACTTCTAACTCAATAAAAAGAAAATAGGCTTACACTGAGTCACGAAACGTCAGAAAATCTAATTTTTCTACTCATTGGGATATTACAAATATATAATTTATTTAAAATAGTAAAAAGTTGTTTTGGATAATAAATAACCTAGAACACAAGATTTCCAGATCTCATGATGAGAAAAATAATGAAAATCATCGTCGAAACACTTAAAATCTTTGCAAAAACGCTTAATATGATCCTCAGGAACAGAAACTTATCACAGTAAGACTGACAATAACAATATGTTTTATGCTACGTTGATAAATGTCTACTCTCCCCATTCCTCTTCCTTCTAGTGATTGACTGAATTATGAAGACTTCAACATCTGAGACGAAATACGGAATACAATGGATTTCTCAGAATCATTTAGATGAATTGAACTTCGCAGATGACCTAGCCCTCGCATCTCATACACACGAACAAATGCAGATGAAGACAGCAAATGTAGCAGCAGCCTCTGCATCGATAGGTCTCCACATTCACAAAAGAAAAAGCAAGATTCTCAAATACAACACGTAGAACACTAACCCAATCACACTTGATGGCGAAACTCTGGAAGAAGTGGAAACATTCAAGTACCTGGGGAGCATCGTTGATAAACAAGGAGGATCGGATGTAGATGTAAAGGCGAAGATTGACAAAGCAAGGACAGCATTTCTACAATTGAACAATATATGGAACTCAAAACAACTGTCAACTAATTTCAGAATCTTCAATACGAACGTCAAGACAATCCTACTGTATGGAGCTGAAACGTGGAGAACTACTACGATCATCATCAGGAAGGTACAAGTATTTATAAATAGTTGTCTACGCAAAATACTCAACATCCATTGGCCGGATACTATCAGCAACAGCGTTTTATGGGAGAGGACAAACCAGCTTCCAGCTGAAGAGGAAATTAGGAAAAGACGTTGGAAGTGGATCGGACATACATTAAGGAAATCAATGTGCATTACAAGGCAATCTCTAACTTGGAATCCGGAAGGGAAGAGGAAAAGAAGAAGGCCAAAGAACCCATTACGCCGGGAAATAGAAGCAGATATGAAAAGGATGAATAGAAACTGGAAAGAACTGGAAAAGAAGGTTCAGGACAGAGTTGGATGGAAAATGCTGGTGAGCGGCCTATGCTCCTCGACTAGGGGTAACAGGCGTAAGTAAGTACGTTGATAAAACCTAAAGGATCCTCCAGGTACAAGAAGTCAACAACATAGATCAGTTACAAAGTGCCATTTTAAAGTAGTTAAGCGATGAATACGATGAATTCAATATAAATTTATATAGTGTAATAAAAGGACGAAGATTATCAGAACTATGTGAAGGAAAACACGGTCCACGCTTTACCAAATACCTAGAAAGACATGAGAATGATTGCGTCACATCCCATTGTATTTACCAATTCAAATGCGTGTGTGGCTACACACACGTAGGGAGGAGTATTCGTAGTCTCCAAATTAGGGCGTGTGAACATGTACCTGAATGGTCGCAAAAGTAAATAAAATCAAATGCCCCTATAGGAGTAGATGATAAACATCCATCATTCTATGTTGCCAAACATATAGTCACAACAGGTCATAGGATTGATCTTAACACAGCTTTTGTGGTTTTATACAAAAGTGTATAATAAGCTTTAATGAGGTTTTAGACATACGAAAATTCAAACCCCCTTTATGTATTAAAAAATGGTTTGTTTTCACTACAATTTATCCTGGTAATATAAGCTTATTATCCAGAGCGATGAATTTTCACATTGTTTTTCATATTATTCATATCTCCACTTACCCCCTTCCATTTGTCTAGCTGATCTTTTATTTTTATATATAAATGTTCTTACCAAGTATATGTGTCTACTACTCTAATATATCACGTAGTTCTGATAATCTTCGTCTTCTTATTACACAAATACAATGTAACCACTATGGAGATCCAAGCAACATGAAACACGCGGTCTCGATTTCATTTCTAGTAACATCCCATCTTTTCTAAATAATCGAGATAGTTTAAACCCCAATGGAAATAAACTAGTATCTAAGATCAGGCGGACAGAGAAGTAATGAATAATTCTCAAAACTCTTGAGTTCGCTTCATAGGTGAATACTATTGAAAGGCAATAAAATTTAGTGTGATATTTAAAACTATTTATTAAGTGCGAAATTCACTAGGTATTGTTTGTTTGAATCTTCCCATTGATGTTTAGGACTGCGACTGATCAGTCTCTTATTGGCATATGTGCATCCTGTGCGTATTTCCTTGACATGGCCTTAATTCACAAGCTTTATAAGCAAATATGGATAGCGACTAGCAGATTCAAACAAACAATACTAAGTGAATTTAAACTTCACTCCATTGCACAAGCAAGTGGTTATCAGGATACAGTAGCTGAATGGATAACGCGATGGCGTTCGAAGCGAAAGGTACTGGGTTCGAGTCACAGAGTGGACATCAACCCTGAGATGCCAGTACATTCGGCTGACGAGACCCAAATAGAACGAAACGTGCGTTTTTGGTTTCACTGCTAGCCATTATCCATCATTGCTTATTTATTGTCTGTCAAATTTTCAGCCTTCATTTTTAAATAGTTTTTTTTAGAATTACAAAAGTGGTTTGGATAAGAATTGCTGGAGTTCTTGACATTTGATTATTTGCGCTGTAACATGAAACTGAATCCATGAGGTTAATAAGCATTACTTATCCCGCTGTAGATCATATCATCATGATCTTTTTCTTATAGTCTTTAATAACTTGTTTGCTTCAAGTTTCTTACCTAACGTAGAGCGATTAGTTTCATTCTTTTGATTATCCTCTTGCCACTTACTCATCGATGTACTGATTTCAAACGTGATAACAACGTTCAACCAATTCAATATTGAATTCAATCATATACTTTGCTTGGAAAAAAATAATTCCTCAGTTATATTTAAATACTCGTGTATAAAATGTCAACAACATTCGCATGTTTGAAACTTAGGCGACATTTATTTACACTACCTTATGTTTTTTAATACTATAAGAAAGCTACAGGTTGAAAAGCCACCTCCTAAATCTTCTTCTTTAGTGTGTGTATGTCCATGTGTAGCATTGTTTAGAGTCGACCAGCAAAAAAACTAATTAAAACAAAACGTACTACAATTGACCAATCACAGATAAGAAGACATTTAGAATTACAATTTAGTTCAGACTAACTAATAACAGGTCAGTAGTAGTGTTAGTAGTAGTAATAGTTTCTACCTTCTCAAACGTGTTTTTGACAATTTGACTTGACATAAATTTACGTATGTGGTCTTTCGTATATATTAACTAGGTACACCAATAGGTCAAATAACAACAACAGCTAATACTACTATTATTAGTCAATTATTCAGTCGAGACAAAGCATGAAACAAAGGAAAATAAAACGGAAACAACAAAAAAAGAAACAGAAAAGATTAAATTGTGAACTGACTTACTTTCACAGCCACTTCTTGGACTATACCATTATCCAAGTGCAGTCTGCCTCGATAAACTTCACCAAATTCACCTTCACCAAGTCTATACAATAGAATGACAGCATCGCTAGGAATTAAACGAAGTTCACCAGAACCACTTGTTGATCCTATACAGGATGTTCCAGATGAAGTTAATTGTAGACCAGCTGCAACTGGAAGGAGGCCACCACCACTGGACATACCAGAGACACCGGAACTCGATGAACTATGTTTTCCCTGTAAGTGATTGGTGAATAATTTAAAAAGAAAAAGAAAAGTGATCTTTAGAGAGACTAAGTCAACTAATATGATACGAGAAAAATAATTTGATGTAAATTAAATACCTGATTTGATTTTTGTCCATGACGTGAAGCACCTTTAGCGATTGACATTGATAACGGTGCACCCATACGACCACCATGTAAACTGGATGAAATAGTTCTTAAAGCCCATGCATCACCAACGGCAGAAGATTCAATTTTTCTTAATTCTTGACCATGATTGTCTAGATTGTGAGGTACCAATTGTTCAATATTAGTAACTCTACCAGACGGAGATATAGCATAGTGTAAACGTACAGGTATTCCATCTGCAAAACGACTATAATGTTCTACCAAGTGTTCTAAGGATAAATGAAGCGGACCCTAAAATGAAAAAAATAGATGCTACGTTTAAAAACAAGTTAAATTAAAGAAGATAAGTAGTTGAAATATGCGATTAAATAAAAACGAAAAACTAACCAAAATAAGATGATCGAAATTAGCTAACAATATGAATTAACTATCACTGGAAGGAATGAGGGAAGAAAATGACTCGATTAGCTCTGTTCGTGATGAGTCACGAACATCGGTGTAAAACGAACATGACAATGTGAACAGTTGTAATGCTATCTATGAAATCTAACTGCTGACGAAGTTTAATCGAAATAACTAGTGTACAAGATTAAGAAAGGTTTGGAGATTTATTCCTGAGAAAATCAGTAAAAATGGCAGGTGATCCTAGAATGAAAGTCATCCAGAACATGTAGACGAAGTTCTGGATAAGAGTCTTACGAAGCTGGTAATATTTAGTGCAGGTTTTTATAGTTCAGTAATTCCTTGAGAATTTAAACAAACATACAGATCACTCAGATTAAATCTAAACTGTCCACAGTTACATTTTCATAATGAAACATTTCAATGAATTATAACAGATAGGATGTTTATTTTTGTTATATCTTGTGGCCGAGTGGATGCCCAGATAATGTATGACTTGATAAGACCGCCAATCAGAAAGCAGAGAATTATCGATTGGAACAGTAACACACGAAAACCGTACGAGCAGTCTGGAGAGCTAATCGGTTCTGGTTTCTGCCTAGCCCAACTAGTTAAGTCCAGAACACCAATAACAGCCTCTACGGTATGAATCCTTGTATTTCAAACATACTGAGTTTATATACCAATCAAACTGACCACATTGTGCCAATAAAATAGAAAATAACGTTTGTACAAGAGTTAGCCGAATGTGGGTGTGAATAGGGGGAGCAGTAATTAATAGACTGGGTATAACTCAGGAATGGTAAATCGTGCAATAATAGTCCAAGGGTCAAAATAAAGCTTATAATAAGAGGAACATGAATATGAGTAGTTTAATTATTTAGCAAATATACGATAAAAATTATATGCATAATATTGATCCATAAACGGATCCCAAAGTTACCATTCACGATTGTTATCGGGGCATAACAATTTTTGAGCCATACGAGAACATTGTAATAATCAGTACATAGTTTATAATAATTCAAATAGTCTTATCACTACACTCGATAACCACCTTTAAAATAACCCTGTTTTATAGATTAATAAGAAAATTAAAAAAACGTGCATACTTTATCAATGAAATAAGCTTCTTTGGTATCCATATGAAATGAAAAATCAACTACTTCTATTTGATATTTTAATGTTTGATGTTGATAATATAAAACAAGTACAAATTTTCTTTCTGATTGTGATGATCGTCGAATTAGAAATGCACCATCTTTAATTGTTGAACAATTGGAAAATATTTTATCAGTTTCTGATTTTGATAATGAAGGATGATACCAATCGTTCTATATGGAAATAATGATAATAAATAAAGGAAGTGGAGAGGGGTTGGTGGTGGAAAACAAGAAGAATACATTGTCAAAGTTACATATATTGAAGAGTTCATGATGAATTTTTGTATTAAAAAAAAAATAAACTTTTGTTGAATTGTGTCATATGTCATAATAATTATATACTCATATAACTATCAAAAAGTTAGTACATTGCGTCTTGTGATTACTTTATGACTATGTTTCGAGTGCCATTAGAGCTATGAGGGCCGTTATCACAATTCAATTTCTTACACTGTAGAAAGATAATTTTTCTTCAAGTATCTGAAAAGGAGACTGCGTTATGGATGGTCTAGGAGCATAAACGCAGTGCTCAACTTTTTAAGGCTAGTCACATACAAACTTTCTGTGAATAATCTAAGATGTGTTAATTCCCTATTTCCAAGACCTTATCACAGGAGACGAAAAGCCGTGGGGAAAGATAAGGTAAGTTAGTTTAAAGCCAACATTTTCCAGTCCTCTCCTTCACTGAGAAGTCAGCATTTCCGCAGGTTCTGGTTTTTTGAGAAAAACATCTTACTGACATCACACTTCAACAGTCGGTGGTACAATTTCGCGCATATGTATCTGGTGCTCTTTTGTACCAATATGTATGTATTTAAGTAAAAATAAATAAATAAAACGATTTTGCTCTCTAACTACGGGTTTGGTGCTTGTAGTTGAGCTATACTGCAACCGGCCTACCTGGTACGAGACCATAAGAGAAGAGAATATCCCAGCCAATAGAATTCGATTGGGTGATCACGATAGGTAACCCCGACAATCATATCAAGATAGCAGTCACAACCTGGTTACAGCTTTGTATAAATTGGTAACAGTATCGTAGACATTTTCGAAGCATTACTTTGTAGAAACACTAAGCGAGTAGTACTGAGGGTAAAGTATTTTCTTTTTGTTAAACCCATACAATATACCAAGATATTCATTGAAATTCTAAACTACACATAAACATTAAATTCAGATAATGAGCAGAATGTAATTGTTATATCGTATGCACTCGTAATATATATGAACGCCAATTTAGAGAGGAGTGAATTTATTGATCGGCCGCAAATGATACTTGAAATCGTACAAGCAGTCTTGGGTGCTATTCGGTCCTTCCTATCTGCCTAGCCCAGCCAGTTGAGTCCAGAACACAAATAACAGCCTCGGCAATATGAATCATTATTTACAAGCATACTGGGTTTTTATACAAACCAAAGTAATCAATAAACTGATTATAACTCAAGAATCGTATGATCATAAATCAAAGATCAAAATAATAGAAAACACGAATATGAATAATTTAGTTACGTAACAACTGTACAATAAGAAATAGGCATAATACATTGGTCGATAAATAGTCCTTAGAGTTACCATTCATAATTCACCAGGGGATATAACAGTAATAAAACTTAACTCTTACTATACCCATATCTTTTTGTCAGAAGTTCACTAAATTCCCACTGATTGTACATACATGACATAACGTGTAAACTGCAGAGATACATTTTAGTTGATCTAAGCAATGGATTTTTTTTATATTTAACGTTATAGAAAAAAAGCCCAACTAGCTAATTTTTGATTTTCTTATAACTGAAAAAGACAGTATAATTATCTTTCGTTTAATAGATGTATTATTGAAAGTCTGGTCTACGAATGGTTGTAATTCGATTACTGAGATTGTATTTTTTGTTTTAAAGATAAATTCTAACTTCCGTATAATACTAATCAGTCAGTCAGTCACAACGTAGAACTTCGTACGTACGTACATCAGTTCGAGTTGCCATACCACATTAGCACAGAGATCAAGTTGTCGATTCAAATCCCATAGTGGTAGAAGTAGTAAGAGTATAAGCAGTAATCCGAAAGGTTAGGGTTTGAAGATGTTATTGAAGAAGTATAATACAGTGAAATAAATTTGGAAAGAGAAAAAGGATATGAACATGAGGAATCCAGATTAGAATTTAGGAGAACACAAAGAGTGGATGCACCTTCGCCATTGCAAGGTGCATATAACTTAGTTTTACGCATTAAAAAGAAGAATCATAATGTCATTTCGATAAGTAAACTGTTATATAATCATACTTTTTTATTTTTATACATCCAGTTATAATACTACCAACATCAATCACAACACGATGGCATCTTAACATTAGTGTTATTATTGATTTTAACACTTGGGAGGTCGGTTATCAATTTTAAAATACTCATGTACGTGCCAATCTGCGAAAAACAACCTATATACAGGATGATATGTGATTGGGTATATTATTCATATTACTGTATATGCATTACATTATTAATGGTGAATCAATCAAAATTCAATCATAAAATTGTATATTATTAATAAATTTGACCTCATTCAGTCAATTATAAACAAAATATGGGACCTAACACAAATATATATGTATTAGTTAAAGTTGCCAAAATTTACATCAATGTGGTAAGAGGAAATTAACATTTTTTCAGTCTACGCACAACTCAACAATTCATGTTGTAAATCACCAAACGCCTCTATAAAAAGTACCTCCTAAATGCTGAGGTCAAAGTATTGCACATTTAGCACACTTAGCTAAACATGAAACTGGGGTTAGTTGTGCATCGGTTGAAGTTGCCATACATCGGTGGTTCTCAAAATGTTCAGTCAGTCAGTCAGCGACAACGTAGGACCAGGCACACATATGCATCGTTCCAAGTTGCCATACCTCACTCGTTAGCACAACAAGATGAACATCGGGTTCATAGAAGTAGTTAATTTAGTGGTGGTAATATATAAAAGATAGGTTGTATATAAGGATATAGTATAGGAAGGAAAAAAGTTATGAAGCAATTTTAATCTCAAGGTTTAAGGGAAGATAAAGAGCGTATACACCTACACCATTGTGATCGATTCTGAGCCATGTCACCCAGAGTTTCCAACCATTGATTACGATAGTCACGCGGACCCCAACCAGGTAGTCTGCATTTACCAAAACGGCTCAGACTAGAAGTTAGTGACTTCAAGTCTCAAAATGTTACCGTTATGATTTATCTTACTACGACCCAGTTACTCATATTGCTCAGTATTCTTCGGACACTAATTCACTTGACAAGTTCCCAAATCAGAGCACATTTCAACAGGAACGTAATTATATTCCAAATAACAAGGTTGGATGGAAGTAGGAATCATAATAAGAAAAACGTTAGTATATTTATAGTTTTTATATAGGATTCCAGAGTGTGCGCTAGAGTTGATTGGTTAAGGAATAGCCAGAGTACCCCAACACAATCCTGCACGGGACATGCTTTAATCTTATCTATACCCCACTAATAGTTACTAACCCATGAAAAAAGCCACTAGAGTGTTGATCAGCTCCACAATTCATTGGTACACTCTTTTACTAAATGTCTGTCGGCTGATCATCACTTGAAGAGTTAAATGGGGGGTGAACACAAATTCCCACAGATAGCCATCACTGATTGTCAGGGTGTTATTGCATCTACATTAAATAACCTAAACCTTATGTTTGATACAACAAGGATTAGTAAATTCATGACTTGATTTTTTGATAGAACACCTCAGTATCACTACCGTGAGATACATTATCTTTATTTTTTGCTGTAACATTTCACTTAGATATAGGCTGAACAAGCACCTTAAAAAACCAACAATAATCTAAATCTGAGGATCATGACATGATCCCAATAGAATTAACTGAAATTTCTGGATTCCACCTGTTGGATGGGATTACCTGGTGCACTAGTCAATTTAAATCATAATAGTTCTCAAGTTTTCGTAACACATGTCCTCAGTGAATTTATAAACAATACCCTTCCCAATCATTTTCAATGTTACACTATGTTTTACTTTGCTCCTTACTTTTTTTAATAGTCTAATGTCTTGTATCAACTACACATAAAAACATGTTGAATAATAATTATCTTCTCCTAGAAACAATAAAGTCCTTTTGTGGAAGATAACCTTTTCTTTTCTTGTCACGTGCAATGCTACATAATGGCCGAATTATCGTCGTCTCATATATCAGGCTCTTAATTGCAGTGTTAAGCTTCTATGATTCATAAAGTAAGAGTGTGGTCACAGCCCTACAAAGTGAGTGTAACAACATATTTATGTACTCCCGTAAAATTACGAACAGTATACTTAGATCACCGATTAAAGCAAACACAAGTCAAAATATACCAACCGATCCTATTCAATCAGTCATCAAGATATTGTGACAACCCTTACTGACCGATAACTACTGTACAATACGCAGTTAATTTAAATCAGTAATAAAGTAGGTAAAGCTCTGACATCGAAAAGTACAGAATAAGCTATATAGTGGAGATTACGCTACACTGTTTAGAATTAAGCTACAATTGAGAATATAACCAACAATTTCATGTTAATGTTTCCAACGCCCCCAAATGCCCTGGTACGGCCGAGAGTGGGGAGAGTCTACTCTCCCTCTCGAAATACTCTCATATGGCCAGCGAATATATAGCCTCTACCAGGGAAGTCCTACTCACTGCCTTCTCGCGGCGGGGGTGTTGTTTACGAAAGTGAGAGGAAGAAAAGCGAATGTCTGGCGCTTTAACCGGGTTGGTGGACACGGAGGGTCCACCTAGGGGAGTTGGAAAACCCTGATTCCAAACCAATGATCCACATGAGCTCCAGTATCCTGATGAAATGAATGGCGGACGAACCTGTCATTGGTTAACGACTACCATGGGACTGCATCTCCTCACGATGCTCCACTGCCTTGTGGTTCAGACATTCAGGTCAAAGGCTCCGGGTGTAGCCCTTTAAGAAAACCACCTGCTTCAGTCTGGGCACTTGGGCAGTATCACAGCCCTCACACAAATCGAATGAGATTTGTGAGGCGCATATTTATCTGGTGCTTCATTGTACCAATATTTATGTGTTTAAATAAATAAATAAATAATAATGTTTCCAACAGTACTAGTATGGCGAATCAAGTAATTTACTTAGTAATAATATCGACCAATAACTAATATATAAGGACAAAAATAACTTTCACAAAAAGGTGAAAATATAATTTACCTGCACTGTAATTGCTGGAGCAGGTTTGTAACCGGCTAGAGCAGCAGCTAAATCAGCGAATCCATAGCGTAGAGCTAATTCAAAAGGCATCTCAGCTTCAGCATTCCTTGCCCATGGAGCAGCATGGTAACGTAGGAGACAGTTTACACAATCGGCATGACCTAACATAGCAGCTTCATGAAGTGCAGTATTCCCAGAAAATGGGCATTTAATCTGAGGATTAGCACGGCCGACTCTTAAAAGAGTTTCAGCAACATGTGCAAAACTTTTTTGACATGCACGATGAAGTGCTGTGAATCCACCACAGTCTCTCAAATTTACAGATGCATTGTGCTCTAATAAAAGCTAAATTGAACAAAGAAGTACAGTAAATAGAGCTTGCTTAACAGGCACAATGATGTACAAGAAGTAATTATCCACACAATAATAGATAAATGTAGCATGAAAGGCAAGCTTGAGTGTACACCGAATAATGAACTACGTCTACTGCTCCATTTCCTGAGAATTCGACGAAAATCGAGTTAAAAAAGAGAAGTGTTTAAGTCACAGCCTCTGTACTTTTAATTCACTGTGCTTACTAGCATGTACATTCGTCATAACTTTTTGAAGAATAAGTCCCTAGAAAGCATAAGTTCGAAAAAAAGGGCCGAAGAATGTCTAAAGACTATGCAATATAGTAGGATGCCCATCTATTCGCTTTGTAAAATAAAGAGAATAAATATTAAAGTTATAAAGTACATTAATGACTATCGATAGTGATGCATGTGGTAAGCACAGGTTCAACAGTTTACTGGGTATAATCATTATTATCACACAAAACACTGGAAAAAATTGCATGAGGAACAATCAAATTACGGGAAACTAATATAAACAAACTACAACTTGTAAGTTATACTTACCCGGACAATATCATTAGAGCCTGTTTTGGCAGCTTCGATTAATGGAGTAGCGCCACTGTCAGCTGATTTTTCATTCACATAATCCGACAAACTTGTTACTTCCATTGAACTGACACGTGTGAAGAGGTCACGAACACCCTTACAAACACAAAAGTATACCAAAAAGCTTTACACACAGTCACTGTAATCTTGATTAAGGATACTGTTTTAAATGAGATTTGTGACAAGACAGCCAGGTTACTGATTGCGGCATAAGTTATTTATGAAAACGACTAAACCATAAATATGAGGAGCACGGACTAGCACGGAGACTTGTGTTGCTTCTCTTACTTAACGATAGTGATAATGAGTGGTTACGGAAAGTAATAAAATACAGGCTATAACAAGGTCGAGATTTCCATTCCATTTGATGTCCAGTGGCTTTTGCTTTCACCCTCGGTTATACATGCACATGTCACCGACCATCAGTCATTCCAGTGGTTTACGAATTACAAGTTTCACCAATAAAAGTATCGAGCACAGTAATCTATTTAAAGCTAACAGCTAGATAATGGAAGCAATTGTATCACCGAAACCAGCTTCGTGTTAAGTAAAAATTCACCAGTTCTCGTTCAGAGGACCTTTATTATGCAACACGATTCCTCCTATGAAATCGAAGGGTAGCTTAGTTCCATAGATTAGCTCAATGTTTTGGTTTTGGCCATCTTGAAACCTTTTGAATTCTCTGTAGATTCCAGCAGAAATAGCCTACCGATGGTAAACGTGAGTGCATAAAGGGTTCTCAATTGTTATTCGATGAGTTTACAAATTAGTCAACTGGTTCACTTTTTACAAACACCAAACTCAATATTTAACTTCCAGTTCCATGACTCCACGATGCATCAGCAAAGCTTTAGAAATATGGTTGGTTGACTACTTGTGTCTTAACACTAACTGCTATTAAATACACATGTTTAATAGATCGGGAGAGAATTTGTATCAATTTATATAATAATTGACTAACCTTAAGATTTGCTTTCCTTACAGCATGATGTAAATCATTGGTTACTCCATAAACAGTAATATGTGGAGGCGGTCGGAGACCTGGCACAGGCTTCCCTAAAGAGCAAACTATGCAGTTATTTGCACGCCTGAACTCTGATACAAGTAGGTCAATACCCAGGTATTTAGCATTCGTACCATTGACCTGAAAAAGTAAGTAAAATCCAGACAAACATTTTAGAGAGTAACACAAGGTTAATTAAGTTATTAGGAAGGCCTTATACAGTATAATACCAACACTGACAATATCCTAACTATACATAAAAAATTAACTGGTATATAATTTTTATATCATCACCCCAATCTTAAAGTCCACTAGGTTTATTGTCGAGAAAAACACGATTATAAAACAGTACGGACAGCACTAATCATAAACAAAATTATGACTCGCTGCCGCATCGAAGCAACTTGAAATAACAAACCGTTTTCAAAACTCATCAGGTACCTGATAAAATCCATCGGACAATTCTTCTATTGGATAATGATAAAGCTGCTGATTGTAAATGACGCTCAGAACATATTTGTGAGTCGATATGCTGAATCTTATAAGAAAAGTCCCATTTTGTGAATGATGTTTCAGAAGTCTCTCAGTGTCCTCCCGACTAATATTTCCGTGAAACCAGTGACTAGACGGGACCATTTCTGGTGGATCGGCCACAGTTCGTACAGGCATTCTAGGAGTGACTAGTTCGAAAGGTGAAAGTACAACAGACGACGCAGTAATTGGGATTGGTCTGTGGATTACACGGGGAAGTGGTTGGTTTAGAACATTACAATTGTCATTTACTTGTTTTCGATGTTGTGGCATTACAATGACGTATCGAAACAAAAAAATCGGTCAGATAGTATTCAAAAACTTGATATATGTCTAACATGTACAACCAAACAATCAAGAAGACCAGAACAACCCCGCCATGTGTTACTAGTGACCTTAAGATCCGAGTCAAGAAATTAAAACGAGGATATTGTTCCAAATTACATGTGTAATATAATTATTTACAAGTACAGTATGGTGTCCTAATAGGTGGCTAGAAAATATTTGGATATTCAAGCATAGTTCATCAGTCATTTGGAATCTAAGCAGTTTCAAGTTTTTGGATTGAAACAAATAAACTCTTGAATTACAAGCTATTATTGACAGAGGCTATTGACAGTCTTGTTTTTTATCTATGACACCATGGATTCGGAAAACCTCTATGTAAAGAAGAAGAAGTTAAAGGGAAGAACTGCCCTGACTTGATTTGCATTTGTTAGACTTGCTTCATCCTTAAGTAAAAAAAATGCTATATTTGGTCTCAAGAGTTCTCCCTGAGCTCAACGTTTTGTAGATTACTGTTTTAAAGACTTATCTGAACAAATATCTAACTGAGTTTTGCCTGTGATTACTATTGGGTTTTTCCGATTTTTCATGTCTAGGCAAATTTCAAAATATCTCGGCCTCTTAGATTAACTATTTTACCGGTTTCATCCATTTCGGGAAGGTTGTTTTTCCACGGTTTGACTTCGCACGTGATTTGGCTCTTCTATCACAAACGCAATAACAAATGCAGGAGAAAAAGATCATTGTAGCAGCAGCCTCAGTAGCAGTAGGTCTCAATGTAAACAAAGGGAAAAGCAAGACTCTCGGATGCAATACAACAAGCACCAATCAAATTACACTTGAAGGAGAGGCTTTGTAGGATGTGGAAACCTTTACATATCTGGGCAGCGTCATTGATGAACACGGTGGATCAGATGCAGATGTTAGGATGAGCATCGGCAAAGCAAGAGCAGCATATTTTACAACTGAAGAACATCTGGAACGCCAAGAAATAGAAACAGACATTAGTAGAATGAACAAAAACTGGATAGAACTAGAAAGGAAAGCCCAGGACAGATTTGTTTGGAGAAAGCTGGTCGGCGGCCTATGCTCCATTGGAAGTAACAGGCGTAAGTAAGTAAGTTTTTTCACGGTACATAGGTTTTCTAGGATTCATTTAACAACTTATGTTTCATTATGGCCATTACGATCACATGTGGGCTATCTGGATACAATTTTCGATGTATGTGGGGTGATAAATTCAAAGGTCTTTTTCACGAAACATAGACACATCTTACAGTAACTGCCTTCAGCTGACTTACAGTCATATCGCTAGTGAGCGTTTGACACATGTAACATGAATGCCAAATATTTTCAGAGCGATATCACCATTCTTCTGACATGTCTGAGGAAAAAATTATCAGTGACCCCAAAGCGTTTATGTCCTGAAACGCATAAAAAACAAAGACGCGCGGTGTGGTCAGGAAAATTATTTTCCACAACAATAGTACAGATGTGAGGTGTATCAACACGAGCGAAGACATACTGAAACTCGTCATAACACCAACAGCGATTAGCTCTCTCATGAATACTGTTTCCTCCAGTGGAGACTTTTAGAATGCAACTATGATCTCATAAACGTCCGCTGTAGATGATCAGACCACCTTAACAGGGTTAAGAGAGATCTACCTTCGCTGTTAGACGTGCTAAACATTACAAGTCTTGTAAGAAAACCAGCTGGTGAATCAGTCATACGATCGATTACGAAGGCTGTCCAACCAGTCAACTAAAAGCACGAGAACTAGAACTACAATCTAACTACAAAAATGAAACGACCCCAATCACAACGGACCCAAAAACTTAAGAGATCAATCACCATTCGCTATGATTCTCTTATAATCATTTTTTTGTTGTCTTTTTCAATACTATCTCAGTCTGATGATTATTCATTGCAATATTAGTTTGGTTTTCCGGTTTGCATGCTTTTCAGTATGACACTAATTTACTCGAGTGTGATGTTTATTCAGGAATCGATATTCTTGAAACAAATTACTCTGAACCGTGCTCATCATGAAATGCTGCATGCGGTTTGTCATAACTCTGCGCATTTTTCATGAGTGTGATTTTATTCTAATTATTAATAGAAATAGGTGTACAATGAATGTACAAATGAGCTTATTTTCGGCTTGATTCGTCTAGACTTTTGGGTTTAATAAATGTTCACTTGTACCAGTCTTGATATTCTTACTTTGAGTCGTGGGAATTAGTGGAATAATGATCCATTTGTACTTGATGACTATTTGTTTTCGAACTACAAATACAACACATTCGTTCGTGCTCATCTAGTGATTCCCAGTTAAATTGCCTTATATGTGGGATTCCTATTTTATACTATAATTCGAGTACTCCTTATCACCATAGAATTACAGTGGTCCCTCGCTCTTTAATGTGAGCATTAAGCAACACAGACATAACAGATGCTTTAGTAATAGTTCAACAGGTAGCACAAACTTCCCAAAACTGGGCCAACTCACCTAAGGGAAAGATACCAAGCACCGAAATCATCCAGGACTAAACAACAAAAGTAACAGTTGATAAACAAGAGTTCGCTACCTGAAAATCAATATAAGTAGTTTCGACAACATGAATCAGATATTTGTCTACAAGGATTTCAGCAATCCTTCCAGGAGGACAGGCTAAGGTTCACATTCGCGCAGTGAAACCGTGACCATGAGCTAAGTCAAATGCAACCCTAATCTCAACAGGGTGTAGCAAATGGTATGTCTTTCACCTACGTTACATAATAAAGGCTGAGACGAGGAAAACTGGCGAACACAAAGTGCGGATTATAGAGATCTGAATAAAGTTAAAAACAAACACGATAGAGAGAAGAAACAAATTAAAGACAGTACTGTCTAATGAAATGCTGTCTAGCGACGTTTAGCGTTTTTTTCTGTTACAATAGGGTCAGTCGTACATATCTCATCAATAAGCACAAAGGTCAAACATAAAGTCACTGATAATTGGTTGGATTAATTTATATCTCAATAATCGACTTTTTAGCGTCAGGTCAAACTTCGTTTTGCAACATATTGGTAGAGTTCAGTTGTGTGTTTATTTACTGGAAATCAATGGGGGCTCAAGATATCTAACTGACTGACGATTGTAGTCAGAAAAAAAGCCAGGCAACTTAGTAAGATGCTTCTGTTATATCTCTTAATAGAGCGGAGAAGCGTACTAGTTTTTGATCGGCAAAGCAAACCAATTGTCAAAACTAATACTGCGTACCGAAGTACTAACCAATTTATCTGCTCGAGGTAAGCAATGATCTGTCTGGGTTTCCTGACAAAATATTCATTATTAAACAAACAGCCCGTTTCAGATAACTTAAACTAAGTAGCGCCTTCGACAGACTTGTGACCAAGTTAGAAAAGTCACCTGTTTGTGGCGACCAACATATGCTTATTACATTGATAATCCTACCCGAAAAAGCATTCGTGGTGCAAATGAAACTATTTCGGGCAGTCGTGTTCCATAAATTTCAATGACGGAAAAGTCATGAGTTAGCATCTTGTCAAGATATCGGGCCGGCATACTTTCATAGTTGATGTGACCCAAGCCACATAACTCATGAACGACGATGGTACGAAAATGATTTGAGCGAGTGCTGCTAGGCCACCAAAAAGTAGTGCTTTCAAACCAGAAGTGTTCGCACTGCCGTTATCGACAACGTGTAGTGCCGCAATTCGTTAATCGTTTACTTCGATAACCGTTACAATTCTAATCTTAACGGTGCGTAAAATCAGAAGACAAAGGATAGCAGCAACTACAGTTTATTGTCGAATAATTCAGGTCAAAATGTTAACAACACCTGAGCGAATAATAACGAGCGGGTGAACAGGCGAATAAGCAAAGAAAGCGAACGAGGCGGAAATGACATGCATGGGAGATGGCTGGGAAACCAACTCGATTTAAGCAAGCGTTAATCAACATTTATAGTCGGACAAAAATGAGTGACAGACATACGATGAATAAGATACGAAGTGTACACATATATGCTCATATAAAAGTATAGTCAAGGTTAATAAGCAAATGATTAAAAAGATCAAAATATGACTCGTGACGGGCGAATTGGCTTGGCCAGCAACTGGAATAAAGTATATGGGCTTAACGTATAAACTGATACTACAAACGGTTCATCAATCCTTAATTTACGTTAAATCCCCAGTTTTTTAGTAGGATCTAAGCTGAAGTGCATAAAGTTGTATTACTGCCGGACATTAGTTCTGCCGCATTCATGTCTCTAATATTTAGTTAACAGTAGCCTAACATCTAAGAAAAATCGACTTTGACTTGTCAAAACGAGTATGTGATCGAAGTGATTTCTTCGTTTGAAAAACCTTCAGATTAATGTAGAACTAATCAGATGCGGATTCTTCCCTATTAAATAAGACTAGTGTCAATTCAGCTTATGTGTTTTTATACAAAAGTGGACCCAGTAGCCTTAACTTCACCATCACAATAGTGAATCAAATAGTTCAACCTAGATCTACTTTCAACACTTTCTTCAAAATTCCGTATGAATGTCAAAAAATACATAGGATTACCATCAAAATTTTTGATTTCTCTCTTTGGTAAGTCTAAGGCTTTAGATAAAATCGTTTTCCAGTCCAGGAGGAACATCAACTGCATATGAGGCAGATGTAGACTCGTATGAAATCACCTTGTCAGCCACAACATGAATATAATATTTTCTTCCCTTTTGACGTAACCCTTCCAATCCGATTACTCTTTCTGTCTGAGCTAAGCGCACTTTGTCAAACTTCAATCCCAACAAGAGATTTCTTCAAAAACTGATCAACAGTATGAGATTCTGAATATGGGGGAGACAACTCAGGAATCTCATCAGTTTTATAATTCTCCGTAGATATTGAACTGAACTCAACGTATGAATTTCTGATGAGTTACTGGTCGAAACTTTGCAGGATTTAATTTGTCCTACAGATATTCTACTAGAAGTAAAAACGCGATGCTAGCGACCGCAGAGTCTATATGAAAGCCATAATCAGAACAAGGACAACTTGGTTTTAAACTCTGTCTCTAAACGTAAAAACAATTAGTTAGTACAATAATTAAAAGAATTATACTCATTAAATGGAATGCACAAACATATAAACCAGCATTGAGTGTTTTATCTAAATGAATAAGAATCATGAGTCGCACTAATATATTACGATAATAATGTCCATCAATTGGCAGGTAACAGGAAACAGGGATAGTCTACAGGTACATCAGATCAAATTGACGTGATGGGGGCTTGAGCAACGATTTGATTAGTTAGTTATTCACATAACTAACAATAATATTTTAAAAATTTTGTGTGCTCAGACTGTTCGAAATTCACTGCAAAGAAGTATCACCATACTTTTGATAACCTTCATCTCACCATCGAATTATCCAAATATATCAAAGGGAGTGATCGTACGGCCGACAGTGAGGAGAGTCTGCTCTCCTTCTCCAAGTGCTCTCACATGGCTACGCGTATATAGACTCTACCAGGGAAGTCCTTCTCGTGCCACATGTGTTGTTTACGAAATAGAGAAGGTGAAAAGCGAATGTCTGGCGCTTTAACCGGTTTGGTGGACACGGAAACTCCACCTAGGGAAGTTGGAAAACCCTGATTCCAAACCAATGGTCCACATGGGCTCCATTATACTGAGGGAACAAATGTATGAATCAATCGTTGGTCACCGGCTACCGTGGGACTGTATCTTCTCACGACGTGCCACTGCCTTATGCATCTGACCTTTATGTCGAAGGCTCCGGATGCGGCCCCCTAAGAAAATCACCTGCTTCGGTTTGGGCACCTGGGCAGTATCACAGCCCTCACACAAATCAAATGAGATTTGTGCGGCGCATATATATCTGGTGCCCTTTTGTACCAATAATTATGTGTTTAAATAAATAAATAAATAAGCACATTTCATATTCATTTGAACCAAATAACAATATCGATATACTTTAAACACTTAATCTGTTTAGAAAATGTTGCACAATGTTAAAAAAAGACCTGTGTGAAAAATAGAATAAAAAGTGAAGTATCGTTTTATCATTAAAATAGATGTTCAAACAACAATTTCTTTTAAGATCTGTAAATATAAAAGAATGAATTATTTATGAAATCAGAGATAAAAATGAGGAATATATATATAATAGAATCAGATTAGGCCATCAAGAGACATATCACACCAATAATTAGTAGTAAAATTGTAATGGGCATCACAAAAACAAGGTAAGATAATAAAGGTATAGGAACAATAACAGAGAAAGACTGTTGACTATTTATATTTTTGAAGTTATAGTTTTTGGGACAATTGAGTATAGGATGTTTAATTTCAGTAATATAAATAGAATCATCATTAGTGTTATCAGTTTTCGTTGATGGGAGACTAAATAAAAAACAAAAAAAACAAAGAAATAATGAAAGTCTGAGATGAATAGAACAAGACTTAATTTAATTATAAATGCTAAATGATTGAATATAAATATAAAGTGATATTGCATTGAGAAATCGGTTTGAAGCGAGGTCGTCCACTTCCACTGAGGTTAAATCAGTTAATCAGAATGTGTCAGCTACGGTTTACATTTCCAGCTATTAGATGATAAGCACAAATCAACGTTTAGTAAGTGAAATCTTGTATGTTTTTTGGGTCATATCACGAATAATATGGATTTTGCATACACATTATAACATTTAATCGGTTTACTTAACCTAACTTCTATAAGGATGCATAACATAAGTGGATATTACTGAATACATGTTGGCAAATTTATGGTATTAAGCTATCATAGATACACAATTATATTCACTCATCAAAAGGGGAGAAGAATAAGACTTGATAGTCAGATCTTTATTTCATTGATATTTAAGTGACCTATGAAGTCTGTATCTTACAGTCGTTTACGTTTTAATGATATTTAATATTTCATACATAAGTGTGAAATTTTACAGAAGGAAAACCGATTTCTTTGGTTAGTGGTATTGATTCTGACATCAAATCATTTTGGAATAATTGATAATTCAGTCTCGTCAGAAGTAATCACTGAATTTCATTTATTAAAAGGGATTCTATTTGTTTATTTTAACTATTGAAAACTTCTTCATCAAATGCTAAAATTCTAATCCATAACAACAACAACAACAACAACAACGAAATAACCGCCTATGTGCCCAAATCTTTCTGTGATGCCAATTGATATAACTCATCTGAGTGATTCGAATTGGATAGCAGTTTAAACCTGCAATCAGATCTTACAGAGATTTGACTTATCCAAAATCCCCTATGGCTAAGTAACAACAAATTTTAAGAGATCTAGAAAAAACTGGGAACCATAAGAAGCTTGAATTGTTGACGCATTTATGAGAATGGCTGGATATAATCAAAAAGGAATTATGTTGTGAATGTTTGACTGAAATTTAGATGACACAAGGCATGATTCTTAATTATTAGAAGGGATAACAAACTCAAATTTAATACTAATGATTCGCAAACTTATCATCAGGTTAATAACGATTTAATTATAACCGAACACTATTGAACAGCATTACAGCAAACAGATATTTGTGAATTAACTATGTTAGATGATTGAAGATAGATGCAGGAAAATCTGGACCTAGGTTTCGTATTGACTCTCGTCAGCAAGAAGTACCTGAAATATTGATGGGATTAATAAACTTAATGGAATCCAAACATGTGTCACCCAGTTTGTCAGTATGATACATTACCATTGAGATATTTAGGGCGCGGCCAACTTAATGTAGAACAAACATTTACGACTGATTGATCATTGAATAATGTTTTCATAGTTGAAATCATGAGTCAATTGAAGCTAGACCACCATGGAAAACCTGGAAGCACTGGACGGCCGTTTCGTCCTATTATGGGACTCCTCGGTAGTGCGCATTCACGATCCCGCCTCGCGAACGAGATTAGAACCCAGGACCTACCAGCTTCGCGCCAGAGCACTTAACCGATAGACCACTGAGCCGACCGGCATCCAACGGTGTTAATATCTAACTTCAACTGACCCACGAAGTTAAGCAATGATTTATGCTGTGTTCATCTAGTCAATTCATACCGATAGGACTATGTTGATGAAGTTCCATTACATCTACTAGCTTAAGTAAGTCGACATTATATGCCATATATTGAGATGTTAGACGGTTGACGATAGTTGATAAAGTTTATTGTCAAACATAATGTGCACTCAAAACTCATTTAACCAATGAATACATTAAATAAAACCTACTGATATCGTAGATGAATAGGTAAATCTAAATAACTAGTTGATTTATTTATTCCCAGTTGATTAATATTAAATTTGAATGTTAACGGCTGAGCAAGCCATTCTGGAGCTTCAATATCGACCAAATTATTTTGTATAATTAATTGTTTACTTTCATCGAAATGATCGGTAATTTTCTTTCGTAACTTAGAGTATGTAAACCAATTTACAAACTGTTTAATGGTAGAATGTAGTTTTCGTTGTATTCCCGGTTGAATAATTGAAAATTTTAAATTAGGTTGACTGGAAGTCAGTTCATATGGATCAATGAAAAAACCTGAAAATTTATAAAACACATAGCTGAAAATTTATTTTATTATTATTATTTAAACACATAAATATTGGTACAAAGGGGCACCAAATAGATATGCGCCGCACAAATCTCATTTGATCTGTGTGAGAGCTGTGATACTGCCCAGGTGCCCAAACTGAAACAGGTGGTTTTCTTAGGGGGCTACACCCGGAGCCTTTGACCTAAAGATCTGATCCACAAGACAGTGGAGCATCGTGAGGAGATGCATTCCCATGGTAGCCGATGACCAATGATTGGTTCATACTCCATTTGTTCCCTCAGAATACTGGAGCCCATGTGGACCATTGGTTTGGAATCGGGGTTTTCAAACTCCCCTAGGTGGGCGCGCCGTGTCCACAAACCCGGTTAAAGCACCGGACATTTGTTTTTCGTCTTCTCAATTTCGTAAACAACAGTAATGCCACTGTGAAAAAGCAGTGAGTAGGACTTCCCTGATACAGGCTATAAACGCGTGGTCATGTGAGAGCATTTGGAGAGTAAGAGTGGACTCTCTCCACTCCCGGCCGTATCAGGGCATTTGGGGGCTAAAAATGAGTTAGGAAATATCCGTAAATTTATATTAAGCAGTGAATAAAAAATATAATAGAATGAAATTCAGAAGTGAATGACATAAAAGCAGAGAATAGTCGTCCATTTTTCTTGCATATATCATTTAGATAACTCGTCTCCCATTTCGTTGTAGAATACATCATTAATAGAACAAGATTACAATCGGCTAGATTTACAAGAGATAGTCCTTATGTACATAACATGATATGTAACACATTTGTAATTCTAATTTACAATCTTCAAGATTTCATTTTCAGGTTATCGCGATCTCACACCTTTGTTATTCCTAATTATTAACGATTGCTTTTATTCTTGAGTGTAAACATATACTAAGTTTATTGAGTCATTGCACCACTTTTCCTGTTATTCTTCCATATTTAAGATTTTATCAAACACATTACACGATTGCAAGCACACAACGTACCTTTAAACTACTTGTAAACTGTCATGTGAATCTCACTGGGAAGTTTACTTCTAAGACAATTGCACATATCTGATCGCGTTGCACAATGCAGTAAATGAACATATGTAGGTAAATTGAAGATAGAAGTTGACTGAACTTGACGTTTTTTGCAACAACATATAAAGGAAATGATGCATTGGTCTATTTAAAAAAAAATGGGTAACCAACAGACGTTTAGTTTTAGTAGACCTTAAATTATATAGCAAGTGATTTGATGAACCGAGAGCGCTACCGCTGAACTCGTTTATACTCCCTAGTTCGTGGTATGCAACAACTGTTTGTCCTAAGACAGATTTCATATCTTAGCTTCAAACTCACATCAATATGTATAACATTATTGATAAGAACATTTAAAATAAAATACATCATAAAATACCTGATGGTAAGTGTACATGAAGTTGACAATGCTCCAGTAAACTAATTGAAAAATCATGGAAATCACAATGTAATCGAAGATGAAAACCATGTTGAGTCATATTACAACTAAAATAAGGTTTTACATTATTCAATGTTATAGTAGTAGGAGTAGTAGTAACAGTAATATCAGCGTAGGTAAATGATAGAATTGAAACTGTACACAGTATTAACAATTGAATCATCATTGTCTAATTGAAATAAATCACAAATGAAAAATAAAGGTATTATATTTAAATATACATATATGGTATAGACTAAACGCCAGTTTACAAGATTGACAGTAGTTTACTAAAAATTGCTACGTAACAATAGTAAAAGAATAAAATTACTATTTACTGATTGGATAAGTATGAACTACATGTAAATTCTTTCAGGACAAATTTAAATTAATGAATATTCAACAATGAGTGAGAAGAGAGGTGTAAAAGTCTGAGTAAATTGGTTGGTTTTACAAATATAAGAGATAGTAGTAGGCCCCTAAATGCCCTGGTACGGCCGAGAGTGGGGAGGGGTCACGCGTATATAGCCTGTACCAGGGAAGTCCTACTCACTGCCTTCTCAGTGTCATTACTGTTGTTTACGAAATTGAGAGGACGAAAAACGAATGTCCGGAGCTTTAACCAGGTTGGTGGACACGGAAATCCACCTAAGGAAGTTGGATGACCCCGATTCCAAACCAATGGTCCACATGGGCTCCAGTATCCTGAGGGAACAAATGGAGTATGAACCAATTGTTGGTCACCGGCTACCATGGGACTGCATCTCCTCACGATGCTCCACTGCCTTGTGGATCAGATCTTTCGGTCAAAGGCTCCGGGTGGGGCCCCCTAAGAAAACCAACTGCTTCGGTTTGGGCACCCGGGCGGTATCACAGCCCTCGCGCAAACATATGAAATAACGTTTTTTGCTCACGATGCTTTCCTTGCTCCCACTAAAAGTATTAGTGAAGCATAATAAATTCAATCTATAGTACATACCTCAAGTCATATTCACTATACAGTGAGCTTATGATAACGTTGGTATTAAGTAATATGATGGATATTTTGACTTTGTTTGGACACGTTACTTATTTCACTACAGAATTTAAAAAGAACTGTTAATATCTCCCCCAGAAAACGGCTATATAACCACAATAACGACATTATGTAGTAAGAACATCGAAATGGCTATAGCTGGATATATTTATCATTGGAATGCTGTCTTCGTGACAAAAGTGACCAGTAGGATCACCGATAGACATTTATTTTAAAGCGTTAGCGTGAACGACAACCTTAAGATAACAACTTTGATATAAATGTAAAGAAGTACTTGAATGTTTATTGATTGATAGATTCCCACTTATAGATCAGAAGGGGTTTTGTGGAGATTTCAGTATTTTCATAGTTGAAATCATGAGTCAATTGAAGCTAGACTACCATGGAAAACTTGGAAGCACTGGACAATTGGTGAACGGTTGCTCAAAAACATCGTCGTTTGGTTGAAGTTAGACAAACACCATCGATGCCGGCTCAGTGGTCTATCGGTTAAGTGCTCTGGTGCAAGACTGATAGGTCCTGGGTTCAAATCTTGTGAGTGCAGGATCGTGGATACGCACTGCTGAAAAGTCCCATAATAGGACGAAACGGCCGTCCAGTGCTTCCAGGTTTTCCATGGTGGTCTAGCTTTAATTGACTAGTGATTTCAACTATGAAGATTCCTACTTAACTGTATGAGCTCCCACTATCCATAAGATGATGTACTAGCTTAAGGTTTAACTAAAAATTTGACGTTTCACGCCATAGACTGATTTTGGTGAGTGTACTATTGGAAACCAGGGAACACTAGACAGCTAGCTTCGTCCTAGTATGGAATTTACTGGCAGTGAAAACCCACAACCACACCAATATTGCATATTAACTGGAATTAGAAATGTAAATCGTCCAAAGTCAACTGAGCTCGTGAATATTCACTAACGGGAGTCACATGTTAGAACTAAACAGCGGCTGAATGCTTTCTAGTTTTCAATGGTGGTCAAACCAAAATTTGGTTCGCAACGCAAACCCTAAAATTCAACAGTCAAGTATTATTCATTGAATTTAGTGAGATTTTTATGTACTTATCGTCTACTATGATGTACACAGTTATCAAAGTATCCCAACGGTGAAAAAGGTTTAAACTGAAATTGTTTCATTTCAGATTGTAATTTTTTTTAGAAAGGAGGACTAACTGATTGAACATTAATACATCGCAAAATAACGACAATAAACATGTTGGCTTCTGAGACTACATACTCTCATAATGAGTGAATGTTTTGGACAGTTTTATAGATCCACCAGGACGTTAATTAAGAAAACAATTTAAATAGAAAGGAATTCGAATTAGACAATAACTAACTTAATAAACATCTATGTCAAAAAAGGTCAGAATTAATATTACCTACATTAATAATTCATAACATGATGTCAGTTTATTTACGACAAATTTACATGCTAGGTTCTGAGTAAATCAAGTTAAAGGTAACTCTAGGGAGAATCGCCATATGAGCTTAAGAAAATTAAAACCTAAATATTTAGATACAAAATAGTGTAGGTAGTTTATTTACTCAGGTTTGAGGTATACTTTTTGTATAGAGGTTAGTAATGTTAACTTCAAAAGCTGATTGAATTACGTAGAGTGAGATTTCAGACAAGCAGCCTTGTCGTCTGAAAATCTTTAAAAGCTCTAACCGCTAAGCCACTGCTTCAAACGGGATACAGAGTACACAAACGGACAATGCTGAAATAATGTATGCCATCGTAATATTCTGAAAAGAAAATAACGAAGTATTATAGAAACGACATCCTGTCATTATTCATAACTAATAATGCTACAGACATGTTAATAAAAGTGGTTCTTATTATTTCCGAGTTCTCCGAGATATGAAACATTACATTGAATCTCTAAACAATTCATATCAAGTGGATAATGATGGTTTCACATGGGACTTTTAACCTACATCAACTGAAGTGACTATAATACGAATTACACACACAGCCATTTTCTAAACATGTGGAACGAACTGGTTTCGGAACAACTCAAGGACAGGACAGATAAGAACCTCCTAATTTAGAATGAATGGTTTTACAGTAGTTCCGCACTAAACATGTGGAAAACGTTAAAATATTCGAAAACATTCCAGCGAATAAAAGTGAAAACAGTTCCGACATTTAGCACAGCAATTTTTAGGGAGATAATCAAAACTATCGAATATGAATAGTGTTACAAAATAACCGTTAACTAAACAACTTTCTAATCATGTTAAGATATTGAATATGAATTTTTAAAGCATTAATATATAAATCATTTGGTGTGTAAATGTGTTCAAATTATAGTCAGTGAAGAACTTCCAATATATCACATTAAATAATATTTAATAAAACATCAGTTGTAGGCTGATGTAGATATGGAAACTTCGAAATGATTAACATGGGAATATACTGAATATTGGTGTTTAGTGATGAAAGGGAACTGTGGGAAGAAGTTGAGAAAAAGATTAGTTGCATTAAAACCGTTGAATGCCGGCTGGTTCAGTGGTATAGAGGTTAAGAGTTCGCGCGCGAGACCGAAAGTCCCGGGTTCAAATGCCACGTGCGGGATCTTGGATATGCACTGCTGAGGAGTCCTACAATAAAACAAGTTGGCCGTCAAGTGCTTCCAGGTTTTCCATGGTGATCTAGCTTCGATTAACTTATGATGTCAACTATTAAAATTACTATAATATCCACAAAAACCCCCTTCTGATATTTAGTTTACTTAATATATTGTTAATTTTTTTCGTGTCAGAAAAATCATTCCCTAGTTCATGTGTTATATGGATTGTAGTGTAAATCATGTTAAAATAACCAAAGATGACTGTTAAAAACAACATGGCCCAAAATCGTTTGCGAACGTGCATCTACTCTTTGTGTTCTATCAAATTCTAATCTTCTGAATTCTTCATGTCCAACGTTTTTCTCTTTCCAAATTTATTTCATTGGATTATACTCCTTGAGTAACATCTTCAAACCCTAGTCTTTCGGATTACTGCTTATATTCTTACTACTTCTACCACTATGGGATTTGAATCGACAACTGCATCTCTGTGCTAATGTGGTATGGCAACTCGAACTGATGTACGTACGTACGAAGTTCTACGTTGTGACTGACTGACTGTTAAAAACAACCATCCCGTATCAAATTATGCAAATATAAATGAGAAAAAAAAGAAGTATATCAAAATTCACCAAGTAAACAAACAAAACCCAGACAATTGACACACATCCACATACTAAACTCTTGTTAAAACACCGAAATATCTCAGTAACATGAAGTTTAATAATTAAGAAAAAACTCAGCGTTCACATCTTAGCAACTAATTTATTTGTTTACAAAATTTATATAGGGCTACTGTACAGTTAATGCCTATATACATATAAAGGCATGTTAGAAATATACAGTAAAATAATGTTCAATTTTGACTCAACATTAATTTGTTCTTATTTTTATATTTACTCTTCGACTTATTATTGTTTTTCATTGATTCATCCGAAACAAGTTTGTTATAATTCTCTTGTTTTGAAAGATCATCGATGTATTTTTTTATCTGAAATCTTTAAAATAATTGAAAGTTAGATAAGGCTGAAATATTATTAATATTATTGCCATTATATCGGATACTAATAATGAGTGGCCGGGCTCGTATACAGATAACGTGCATCAATATCAAGCCTCAGATACTGCTGGTCACAACAAACAGGATTCTATACTTCACGAGGTTTTACGGAGGAGGAATGTTAGGAATAATTTAATATCCCCAAAACTGCTTGTATTAGTAAGTACTTTATTAGTTTCTGTAGTTTCAACGTTACGCTTCAGTACTGCGATCAAAAATGCTTTTTTGCCAACTAGTTCGTACCTTTATTAACCAAATGAATTCGAATAGTCAAATAAGATCACAGGATAGACAAACATCTTCCTCTATTGCGAAACATTTAGTTGAAACTGGTCATAAGGTTGACATCAAATCAGCATTTGTAGTGTTGTACAAAAGCCTTCAAGGACGTATACTAAGGTTTATTGAAGCCTTGGCTATACGGAAATTGAAACCCCCTTTATGTGTTCAAAAACAATTTGTTCTTACCCTTAACCTACCCTGGTAATGCTTATTTATTATCCAGAGTAGCCATTACATTGTTTTTGGGTACTTTATTTATTTTCTTACCTTAACCTGTCTAGTTGACCTTTTAATTTTCATATAAAAAATGTCTTAACAAGTATATGTGTGATCAGATTGTTCGAAATGTATTGCGCTAATATATCACATAATTCTGATAAACTTCGTCTTCTCATTGCATTATCGAAATTTATCAAAGGGACTAATTGTTTTAATATATTATTTTTAGCCTTACATCATAAGGCATCGTAAATGTGTGGCAACATATTGGCTGCATTATGAAGGATGTTGAATAAACCATTTGACTTAGTATAGTTCACTTAGGCTAACCC